GGAAGACAATTGACGATGAGGAGATCCCCAATTCACTTAAATCGCCTTCCAAACTCTTAGCTCAAAGCGCAAGCCGGCCCTTGCAACAGTCACGATCTTTTACCGACCTCAAGACCGCGCCCGCCGCATCGGACAACCGTGACAATGCCGAGCAGCAACCTGCATCGCGACTACGGAGGAGAAGCACGCTACCATGGAATGACCCTAATCCACGGACGAGACAGATCAAGCTGGAGGATATTACAAAGACCAGAATGGCAGATACGTGGTTCTCAGTTCATTGCGACGGCATCGATACGCCGGTTTATGTGAGCGAAGTTGTGGAGAATGCTACGAACCCCAGCTTCAGGGCCTTTGATCTGAACGTTTGCGGACCGAAAGTCTCTCGCTCGGATTGCCTTACTCTAAAGCTTTGGGCGAAAGCAGCGACCATGGAGGACTACGTGTTGCTGGTCGAACTGCAATTGTGTCTGCAGTCGCTACAGTTTTTGGGCAAATCGTTGGATAGCTTCCACCAACCCTTGCCCTCGAACTCCATTCTTTTCCATCTCACAGACGGTGTATATACTAATCTAACTGGCATTCCATCCTCCTACACCCTGATACTTCCGGGCGGGTCAAAGTTTTCAGACGGAGTTGTTTTGCCAACGTCTTCCTACGACGCGCTGATGCGCTTGGCGAATCTGGACGAATGCATTCAAGACGCACTGGCTACGAGACAGAAACTGGAGTCGCAGATTAGTGCGATTCTAGAAAAGAACCATCATGCCATGACGCTCACCAGCGACGCCTCCCGCGCCCAAGATAAGCTCGCCCTGACCAAGCATGCCGTTGCGGTGGGGAAAAAACAGCTTCGCGCGACAGGCAAGCGCAAAGAGGAACTGATTGCCAGTATCAAAGCTAGAAGAGAAGCCATGGACCGTGGACGGTATAGTCAGGAAAAGGCTCGCGGTCATCTTCCAGACGCTCAGCAGAAATTGGCCTCCAGCGCCAAGCTGCTGAGCCAGAATACAGAAGAGACCAAAGGTCAAATTCGGCGCATTTCCGAAGACTTGATTGCGATTTACCCAATCGAGCCGATTCCCGACAAGCCGTTGGCATTCACTATTGCCGGGCTTGCGCTTCCCAACTCGAGTTTCGGCGACATTGATCGGGACGCCGTCGCGGCCGCACTTGGGTATACAGCGCACCTGGTTTACTTGCTTTCATTCTACCTATCGGTTCCGATGCCATATCCGATTAATCCGTATCTGTCGAACTCCTTGATTCAAGATCCGGTGTCCGCCTCATTACCCCAAAGGACCTACCCTCTGTACCCGGTTAATGTCCAGTACCGGTTTGAATATGGAGTCTTCCTGCTGAACAAAGACATCGAGTTCCTGTTGAATAAGCTAAGCCTGCGAGCACTCGACATTCGACATACCCTCCCCAACCTGAAATATCTTTTGTACATTCTCACCGCTGGTACCTCAGAGATTCCTGCACGAAAGGCAGGTGGCATTCGTGGTCTTCTCCAAGGACGGCTGACTCCCAGCCTGTCGCGACGGGGAAGCGAAGACAGTGTTGCCTATAACGAGTCGATCTTACCTCGCAGAGACGTGAGATCGAGCTCGAAATTAATCGGAGACCTCGCGTCAGACAAGGCCAAACAAACGAGCACACCCTTGACTAGCACCGCAACCTCCTATCAAGTGGCTTAGAACGCCATTCCATCTGTTGCCCTAATAATGCGTCTTAGGTAGTCTTGAGAGTATGATGTTCGTCTTGTCGACTGTCAATCATTTACCCCTGTACCGGTCTCTTATCTGTGTCTTTTCCCACCTCCCTTTCCACTCGACTCGTTCTGTCTTCTTCCACAGTTTCTCGAATGTTGGATGGTCGTTCCTGGCTATTTCTGGCCTAGAAAGGTGTTTTTGTTCCAATGAGCGGACGCCATATCCGCTGTTATCTGTACTTTAATTAGGAGGAACAGGGAATCTGGCCCATTCGCCCTGATTAGCCCGGAGTCTAATAGCATTATTATTGATAACAGATATCCCTCTGAGCCTCTCACAATTGAGGAACCCCAGGACACGAGGAACTTGGAACGAACGAGAGCGCACGCAAGGGCTTCGTTTGAACGCTTCTCTGCTTAGATTCCAAGGAATAATTGTCTATTATTCTGCTTTTTTATCTTTTGCGCCTTTTTTTCTCTCTGTTTTACCCCGCATTTTTCGGACCCAGCGAATTCTGGCTTAGCGAAGTTAATACATTCTCCATCGTCTCATAATCCGCCCTTGTCTTCCATTTCATCATCACAGAACTTTCCATCCATTTTTTCCGTCGATAGTAGGACAATTGCATTGCCTACACGTGCTTTACCCCGAGGAAAAGGGACCTGCAGCCAGAACGTGGAGCCCTCGAGTCCATAAAAGTCGCCGGACAAGTCTGATAAACGGCCGCAAAACCCCACCGCTTTCTGGCGGCCCCTTCGCTTTGCATCGGCATACCCCAAATCCATAATCCACCCCCCTCTATTGCACCGGCAGAAGGCGGCTATACACGATCATGATGGCTGCAAGCAATACACAGCAGGATGACGGCATCTATACGCAGAACGGCCAAGGGCAGAAGTCGCTATCGCCTCAACCCCAGCATCGTCGCGGTTATCAGGCCTGCGACCCTTGCCGCAAGCGCAAGGTCAAATGTGACCTTGGCAGTGAGTTTCCGCCCTACGTCTTGATCATACAATCTGCACAGCGATTTAGGAAGCGCGCAGTTAGAAGAAAAAGAGAAGAGCTAATCCCAAGGTCACAGGTGTCGATAACCCGCGTCCCCCTCCGTGTGTACGATGTCGTCGCGAAAGCAAACGATGCGAGTTCTCCGCTACCAGGCGCAAGCGGAAACCCTCCGAGGTCGAGGACGGCGTCGATGGGGTTCTCCTCCGTGACAAGCGGATGATGGTCGCAGACGCGGCTCCCAATGGTTCTTCGCCGGATGGGTCTTACAACGCACGGCCGGAGCCGACATCGCTCGATGGCGACAGTCTTCATTCGCGACAGAAGTGGTCCGAGGGACCTCCTCCAGCACCTAATCAAATACCACACGCCGATGCCGGTCAGCGATACGGCACTAATCAATCTACATCCTCTTCTTCACAGTTCCAGGATGCGAGACCCGTGCGCCCTCCTATGTGGCCGCTCGGGGAGCGCCCTGGAATGAATTTTGGTCTTGAGGGAAGCCAGCCCATGATGAATCGCACCGCCGTTGAGCTGTTGTCGCCCGCGATCAGCAACAGTCACGATGCTTTGCACTTACTGTCTGAAGCGGCAGGGCGGACTGAGGATCTGAATCGTCAGAGCCTCGAGAATCGATACGCCGCGCGGCGATCGGTTTCGTCCTTCAATTCTCCCATATCTCCTTTGACACAGGCCGGGACTCCTAGAAGCGGAGGTGGTTCCTTTTCGCGAGCGCCTCGGTCCGGAACCATGCCCATGGGTAACTTCTATAATGCCGCAGGATCGGGTTCCGTGGATCCTCCAAATTCGGATGCTCGCGATCACAATGAACCTATGGATAACTTGCAGGACCCAGGGTACGTCGATGCGGTCAGAGCTTGGTCACGTCTGCGGTTTGTTCGAGCAGGGTGGCTCACCGTGGAAGAATCCATGGCATATGTGGCATAGTAAGTCCTCATTTCTTCTCTTGTCCTTTGATGTTTTCGTTCTGACAGATTATAGCTACTATGAACATCTTGCTCCGTTGAGCCCTATCGTCATTCCTGATTTCTCACATCCTTCGACACATCGCACCCTTCTCACTGATGAGCCTGTATTGGCTGTTACTATTCTTACGACGGCATCACGGCACATGAAACCCAAGGGTGACGGGGCATATACCCGGTCATTCTACATTCATGATCGACTCTGGTCGTATCTTCGGGGAATGATCGAGCGTCTTTTCTGGGGCCAAGAGAAGTTTGGCGGAAACGGTATTGGAATCAGCAAGCCTCGGTCGTTTGACCTGGCCCCGAGTGCAGCCAAAGTGAGTCTCAAAGGAAACTTGAGATCGCTGGGCACTATCGAGGCCCTCTTGATCCTCACGGACTGGCACCCCAGAAATCTGCACTTCCCTCCTGGTGACGATGAAAACACACTCTTGGACTTGGACGCGCACGCACAAACACGCCTTGAGAAAGAGCTCGATCATGATGGTGAGCAGACCCACAATCGGGCCTCCCAAATCTCAGGCGAGGGGAGACTCGCCTTCCAGAAGTGGTTGGAGCCCGCTTGGCGGTCTGATCGGATGTCCTGGATGCTGTTGAGTACCGCACAAGCACTGGCTTTTGAACTGGGAGTCTTTGACCAGAAGAGCGAAGCGAAGACTGCGAACGAGTCTCCCGCTGAACAGACTCGAAAACGTCGACTTCGGCGTCTGATTCTCGTTTACATCACGCAAAGCAGCGGCCGTCTGGGAATTCCTTCTATGCTTCCATTGCCACAGTGGACGAATGACATTCAACCAACTCCTGCGTCAACCTCAAAAGGTGGTGATACGACTATTGATCGGATGCATGACTGCTGGATTGGGATCACCAAGATTATGTATCAGAGCAATCAGCTATTGTTCGCATCTAATGAACAGACATCGGAGCTGATTAGGAGTGGGCGATATCGTGACCAGATTGATCGATTCCAGCCTTTTCTACGAGAATGGCGGAACAATATCGACACAATTGACCGTAAGTACTGTGTACCAACTTTGCTCTTGACATAACGCTGACTGTTTAGTCGCCCCTGCTATGCGGCATATCTTGATGATTGAATACGAATATACCCGTAAGTGGCCACTTATTGTCCCCTTAGAAGATAATCTCCTAACCTTCAGCAGGCGTTTATGTCAATTCATTAGCTCTGCAAGCCGTTGTGGACCGCTGGACGACAATGTCCAACGAGGCTGCACAGGCTCAGAACGGAAGACCAGGCTCTGGTCCCTCGTCGAACAATTGGTTTCATATGCTCATGGAGCTGTACCGTGTCAACGAGCAATACATTCAGGAAGTTGTTGACGCGTCACGTCGGATCCTGCAGACTGTGCTGGATGACCTGGTTCCCGGCGATCTCCTCAAGCACGCTCCTGTGCGGACATGCTTTCGGATTCTGTCTGGCATGATTTTCATCCTAAAGGTAGGTCTCAGTCAATTTTTTCTTGTGAATGGGAAATCTGACTGACGCCGCAGACATTCACCCTTGGAGCCAAAGAAGACGATGTGCGTGTATCGCTGGACCTTCAGGATCGAACGGTGGAAGCGTTAAGGACATGTGTCGTCGATGATGTCCACCTGAGTCACGCCATTGCTCGGCTGTTGGAAATGCTTACGACCAGCATTCGCACCCGATTCCTGCGATTTGCCCCGTTGGACAGAGGTGGTGATGGTGACGGCCAGGATCGCACCTCCGCACCGGTCTCCAGGCACCAGTCGCCGCGTCCTCGCGACGGCGCCCAAGGCCGTCGGGATGGATCGAACCATGCATGGACCCCTGCTCACAGCGCAGCACAGAATATTGGCTATGTTGATGGCAATAACCAGACGAGTACCACAATGGGATCAGTGCATGATCCTCTGGCAGCCATCCCAGCGCAGCCGATCAATTCTTCAAATATTAATGTCTCATTCATGCCACCACCGCCGTCGGTGTACCATAATTACTATGACCCGCACACGACACCTCCCGCCGGGGGAATGGAGGGCTCTAACGTTCCGTCGCAATCGATGAACGATAATTCCGGCACCTCCGGCGGGCTTCCGGACTGGTTCGCGCTCCCGCTCGATCAATTCTTCAACAGTTCGACGGCTGTTGTTGATCACGGCCTCGGAGGAACAGGGCCAATGGTAGGCGAGTTTGACATGCTTGAAGTCCTGCTGAACGAGCAATATGACGGCACGGGCGACGGCCTCGATTCAGCAGCGCGCGAGGGTCTTCCGTCCCAGTTCCTGCAGTCTTAGCTGATCCCACTCCTGACAATGACGAATGCTTATCATGCTTAATTTGATGATGGCTTTGGCCAAAAGTTTTGTTGGGCTATATACATGATTGCTTTTTCTTATTTTACCTCGGACAAGGAGTTTACACTTTACCCTGCCACTGCGAATCATGCTTAGCGTTTTGTGGCTTGTTCTTATCTGTTCTTGTCTTAACATTGTTTCTTGGTATCTAGAACTAGAAGTCGACCCTCACGGGAATTGCATTCTGCGGACTTCTAATTGTTCACCGAGATGCCATGCCATCCACCATTTCTGAAAGGATCGTCCCTCGACTTATCGACTCTCGACAAAGTCTTGTATAGTGTATGAGAAAGGGTTGTCTGACAGCTTGGCGGTTTCAGGACATTTCCATGTGTCATTGTTTGTTTCTTTGCAGGCGTTTCACATGTCAGGGCCCAAGACCCTTGGATACGAGCTTAAATGACCTTCTAGAATGCGCGGTTTTCTGGTAAAGCACTTTGGATGTTTCACACTGTCGCACAGTTATCTATGCGGTGTGATGACGACCGGTTGGTTTTCTGTCAGTGTCTACTGTCCACCAGTGAGCCTAACGGAGATTTATCTACTCGTTGTAATCGTCTAAAGGTAGTGATATCACCTCGCATATGAGTTCCGCAGGATGCGATTCTCCTTGTGCTGCCGACTTCATACTCTATCCGAAGTACCCGAAGAGCTCTAACTGCCGATCAGGAAGGAAATGGACTGCGCCATGATGCCACCCTTGTCAGATCTCTTGGAATTTATAGGGATGATTGGCATTGTTACGACTGACTGCGGCTATATTTGTCTTATCTTAATGTTAATTGCTGGTTCAGACGACTGCAGCTTGTAGGGATGGTCATGGTGATATTACTACAAGATCCAGGGACGTATTCGCCATGTAGGTACATCCAGCTTCAGATGATAATAGCCTTGCCATTTGACTCTGCAGAGCAGTCAATGATCTGACCCTGATGAACGACTCATTTTAGTCAAACTATGCTCCAGAGTCCTTTCCTCATCGCTTATCTTGAATATCAACATCGCAGTCTGTACCTGATGAGCAGTCAAGCATCGGTGATCCACCCGGACTCCGATATATTCTCCCTCAATTTCAATATGGTATTTCGCGAGTGAAACTCTGATCGAAGCTTCTGAATGGCTGAAGTTCTGGAACTATGGACGGAACTTCGGAGAGACTACCTGAGAACTAATAAAGAGGATGATAAGGGTCAGGGTGTGAGTGGATGGTGGAAGTCACAAAGTGACATCGCGCTGTTGTTAGTCTCTGCAGGTGGATAGGGGTGTCGCTTGGCGTTTGGGGTTGAGAGAATGGATGATTTGGAGGATTCTAAGATCTGTAGGTATTTTCATTAGTTTGACATGAGAGTTATGGTGATGATATTTGATGTGAGACCAGTATATTCCATAGCCGGAAAGTATGTATACAACAAGGAAGAGATAGAAAAGAGAGGTGGAAGATGATGGGATCTTCAGGGACTAAGGCACTAAGGCACTAAGGCTCATTGCTTACCTTGGTCTCGAACTCGGGATCGTTCTTCACGCTCCACCTCCTACGGAGTGTACCACCATCCATGTGATATCCTGAATCATCCAATGGAGGTTTCAATGGCCCTGCTAAGACTCTGATCTCTCACGCTCATCCTCTGACTGGTTCGCATGCTCCCATCCCCTCAGGGGCATGCATCGGACTCCGGCCAAGCCCAGATGACCCTGAGTATTCGCATCAATTTCTCCGTCAACCCATGTAGTCAATTTACGGAGTACACCAATCTCCTAGGATTGGCTCACTACCATGAATCCTGTGCTTCCACATCTCCACTGACGACACTAACACCACCGATGACGATCGTCAGGTCATAACGAATGAGGTTGTTTCCTTGGCTTGCCTTGGATGGCTTCATAACTGGCCAGCCGGCATTGTCCGTCCAATCAAGCTGAGCAGCATGAATAGAGTAGCCAGAAGGACAAGAGAAATCTTGTCCTAAACAAGCAACATGCTACTCCGCCGTAGCATTCGAGGCGTCCCCGCTAGCCTCCTGAATGATGGATACTGCCTTATTCGCTCTGCGACGCTATCCTATCCACAACCGACAATCGCGGCCAGGGCGTTGTTCCGTCTTTCTCTTGGCCTTGCCGGGTGGGTGTGACAATTCGTCTTCGAGCCCTGGGCAACGGGATGAATGTCCCTGGATCTTGTAGATCTTTATCGCTGACTTCCTCGATAAGCAATATGTCCTGGAGGCTTAGGTGAAACTTGCTCCTCCTGACCCGGCTGACTTGGTCACAACGTGCTATCTCTGCTAGGCTCAGGGTAGAGAGAAAACTATATAAAGGAGGCATGTTCAGCAGCTCTTGACTGAACCTCATCCTCATTCTCATTCAGCAAAAGTCTGAGATCCTCTCCTTCTTTCTCTTCTTCGTTTCTACTTCCTCCGGTCAAGTCGTCCGTTGTTCCGTCAAGATGGTTGTCTTCAGCAAAGTCACAGCCATCGTCGTCGGTCTCTCGACCATTGCATCTGCTGTCCCTGTGGCCCAGCCGCGCAAGGGCTTCACTATCAACCAAGTGGCCAAGCCTGTGGCCGAGAAGAAGACCGTCAATCTTCCAGCCGTCTATGCCAATGCTTTGTCCAAGTACGGTGCTACTGTTCCTCAGAGCGTCAAGGCGGCTGCAAGCTCCGGCAGTGCTGTGACCACCCCCGAGCAATACGACACGGAATACCTGACTCCCGTCAACGTCGGTGGCACAACCCTGAACTTGGACTTTGACACTGGCTCTGCCGATCTGTAAGCCTATCCTGGTCTTTTCTCATGAATTGAATTGACTGACTGTTGTAGTTGGGTCTTCTCCTCCGAGCTCTCTGCTTCCCAGTCGAGCGGCCATGCCATCTACAAGCCATCCTCCAGCGCAAGCAAGCTGAGTGGCTACACCTGGAAGATCTCCTATGGTGATGGTAGCTCTGCCAGCGGTGATGTCTACAAAGACACCGTCACTGTCGGTGGTGTCACTGCCAAGAGCCAGGCTGTCGAGGCTGCCAAGCAAATCAGCTCTGAGTTTGTGCAGGATAAGGACAACGATGGTCTGCTGGGTCTGGCATTTAGCTCCATCAACACTGGTAAGTTTCCGCCAAAATTTTGAGCTCCGAGGTCGACCGTTGACTTGAATCGATGTAGTCTCTCCTCGGCCTCAGACTACCTTCTTTGATACTGTCAAGTCCCAGTTGGACGCTCCTCTCTTTGCTGTGACCCTGAAGTACCACGCTCCAGGAACCTACGACTTTGGATATATTGACAACTCCAAGTACACCGGTCAACTCACTTACGCCGACGTCGACAGCTCCCAAGGTTTCTGGATGTTCACTGCTGATGGCTACGGTGTTGGCGACGGGGCTCCCAACTCCAACCAGATCAGTGGTATTGCTGGTATGTTTTCCTCGGTTTTGTTCGAAAAGCACCAGGGCTGATTCATTTTAGACACCGGCACCACCCTCCTCCTGCTTGATGACAGCGTCGTTTCCGACTACTACCAGCAAGTTCCAGGTGCTCAGAACAGCTACCAATACGGCGGTTATGTCTTCCCCTGCTCCACCACTCTTCCTTCCTTCACTACCGTCATCGGTGGCTACAACGCGGTCGTTCCCGGTGAATACATCAACTACGCCCCCATCACTGAAGGCAGCTCTACCTGCTTCGGTGGTATCCAGAGCAACTCCGGCCTAGGATTCTCCATCTTCGGAGATATCTTCCTCAAGAGCCAGTACGTCGTCTTCGACTCCCAAGGCCCCAGACTCGGCTTCGCCGCTCAGGCCTAGATGGTTCTAATGGGTAATGCTCGTGCTCCGTGAGCATTGTACCCGTTTCTCGATCCTGAGACCCAGCTCTGGCCATAGCTACGGGGTCTGTGACCGTCGATAATCATCTCGAGTTTAGTTCTTGTATATGTCATTAGTTTAAAACAGCAATGTGATTTATGACCCTGAGGATCTTTCTGATTTGCATTAACAAAAATAGTAACCATATGCTATCTTTCTCTGAAATCCAGATATATATCGAATATATACATTAGCCAGGCAGCAGGCTTAATACTCTGTTATCTTGTTATGTGCAGGCGCACGTGCGAGGACCGGATCTCATCAACTGCAGGGCGTCCCTTCTCCTCTCAAACGTATAACGATTCCTCCGAGCTCCTTCACCTAAAGCATCAACATTTGAATGATCATGAGTGCTATTGCGGGTTGAGGTGTGTAGACCAATATCCTCTTGCATTTGCGTTGTCGACTGAGATTGAAGGGACAAGATCTGCTTCCTGATCAACCAACCGATATTGCGAGCAAGCCCTCAACTGCAAAACCTCCCCTTCATCCTGCTGTGTTATCAAAGACATTCCAGAAGAGCTCACCGCTTTATGCTGGGGATGATTTCAAGCCAGCAGATGATACGCCTCACATATTTGGCCTCGATTGAGGGTCAATGCAAGGGACAAGAGTGAGGTAACGCATATCGCCTTGGACAGTCAGAGTTCGCATGAGCATCTATATAAAGGGTGACGGGGGTCCAATTGTCAAGATGGCTTCTTCATCTGGCACATTGCGCAAGTCTGATCTGAAAAATGGTGGAAAAAGTGCTTCGATATAATGACGGGTCGTCCACGCATTACTCGACACCCGTTATCGACTCACTCTCCGAGGATGAGCGCGAGATCGAGCCCAAACTGCGTCGCAAGCTGGATGTACGAATCATGCCTGTTGCTGTTTTGATATATCTTCTCAACTTCATTGACCGGTATACCGCATCCGCAAATCCATGGAGGTTTCAAAGCTGACCTCATAGGTCAAACTATTCCGCTGCCCGTCTTCAGGGTTTAGAGCGCGATCTCCATCTCTCTCCGTCGGAATACCAGGTCGGGCTCTCGGTGTTCTTTGTGGGATATGTCCTTGGGCCAGTTCCATCGAACCTGCTTCTGAATTATCTCGGCCGTCCCTCGTCTTATATCGGTCTCTTTGGTGTCGCCTGGGGACTGGTGACGCTATTGACCTCGCAGGTGAAAGGCTATGGATCCCTTGCTGCTTGCAGGTTCATCCTCGGTGTAGTTGGTAAGCCCGGTCTTTGCCTTTTGGACGATTGGCTCTGGGCTGATTCGATACATGAGATAGAGGCGCCCTTGTTCCCGGGAATCATGTTCTATCTCTCGGTGTGTGAAGATTTCTCACGAAGATACGAGCCTGCCTCTGACCTACACAGAAATGGTACACGCAGAGAGAACTGAGTGTGCGGATCACCATATTCTTCTCGGCCGCTCATGTTGCCAATGCTTTTGGGAGCTTGATTGCCGCCGGCATACTGAACGGTTTGGATGGTGATCGGGGGCTATCTGCCTGGCAATGGCTGTATATCATCGAGGGGGCTAGTAAGACGCACTTACCCTGTTTATTGAAGCACACTCACTAACCCTGGAGAGTCTCGGTCTTCGTCGGTTTCATCGCTTGGTACCTGCTGCCAGACTTTCCAGAGAACTGGCGTGCATTATCCCCCGAGATGAAACACGTCGGTACGTCTGCTTCATCCAGGCTTTTTACACTTTCGCTGACCTAGCAGCCATCCGACGGATGGCCCTCCAAGCCACCGAATCCGACCTGGACGAAGGCAACGCCGCCTCCCAACTCACCGGCCTCAAACTCGCCTTCACAGACCCCAAAGTCTACATCTTCGCAGGCATCTACATCTGCATCATCGGCTCCTTCGGCTTCACCAACTTCTTCCCAACAATCACCTCCTCCCTGGGCTACAACCACACCATCTCGCTGCTCCTCGCCGCGCCGCCCTTCATCTTCATGACCCTCTACAGCTACCTCCACAGCCTCATCAGCGACCGCCTCCAATCCCGCTTCTGGTTCTTCATCTACCCGATCCCCATCGCCATCACCGGTCTCGTGCTCTTCATGAACGCCGACACCTTCGCCTGGAAATACTTCGCCACCTTCCTGATGATGTTCTGCGTCTGCATGAACGGGACGGCGCTGAGCTGGGCCGCCAGCTCCATGCCCCGGCCCCCGGCTAAACGGGCCGTCGCGTACGCGTTCATGAACGGCGTCGGCAACACGACGGGCATCTGGACGCCGTTCACGTACCGGGATCAGGACCGGCCGCATTATCGGCTTGCGCTGGGGATCTGTATCGGGTTGCAGGCTGGGGCGGCGGTGCTGGGGACCTTGCTGCGGGTTATGCTGATGAGGGAGAATAAGCGGCTGGAGAGGGAGGAGAGGGAGGCGGTGCAGGGCTTGCAGGATGGGATCTCGAGTGGAGTTACTGGGTTTCGGTATATTCTGTGAAGGGATAGTAGGGGTTGGATTTCTGGCTTTGGGATGCGCAGATTGATAGACTTGGCTTGGGACTTAGATCGACGCAACAGGCTATATCAGCTGAATCAGCTGAATATGGGCCGTGACACTAGCAAGCACAAAATGAATGTTTGTCACTTTAGCCTAGTGCTACTGCATTCATTCCATCGTTGACAGGTTGACCCGCCGGGCCCTGATACTATCTATGCCCGATAGGGCACACGTACCACAGAATATAAAATCCCAGTCAGGATCTGCTCGAGTTGATAGTCACACAGTCATCAACTGCTATATCCACTGCTGACCTATATTATATGCATCTAGGTACAAATATTCTAAGAATAAGATATAGCCATGCCTCAGCCAGAGTGGAGAGTGGAAGGAATCAATCACCTCTTAGTTAATGCTTCCTGTACGTCCATGCCGACGAACTCCAGGGTCAGGGATTTAGTAGAATAGATAACGAAGAATAGAGACTTTCGTGGAAAAACACCAGGCACAGACATCACCGATATACGCCGTCCGGGTATGATGCAAAAGCAGAGACACAGGCAGAATCAAATATCCTGAGAATCCAGAGCCCATATCTCCCAGTGTTGCAACACCTCCCACCCCACGCGGCGAACCCGTCGTCTCCAGAGCCGGCCATCCTTGCCCATCTGTTTCGGAATGCACGGGTCCCAATCATCCATCCCGGTTTCCCAGTTCTTCGCCCGCTGGGCAGGCGGGGAGCTATCTTGGCGCTGACGTTTTCCGAGGAGAGACGATGGTTGACTGGCTTTCTGAAAAGGCTCGGCTGTGACGGGAGTATCGTTAGGTGCCGGCGTGAGAGGATTCTGTGGTTGCGAGGCGGGTCGATCACGGGCCATGAGGCTCCGGTCCTGTTGACCGTTGACTACTGGACTGGCTGCAGAGGCAACTGTGGGCGTCGTGGGTTGCGGCTCCGGGTTGGGAGCTGCGTTGTCTGCAGGGACCGTGTAGTAATCGCCTAATTGCCAGGCTTTGTGGCCCATGCCGATAATCTTCAACTGGCGGAATAGATGCTGATCCGCTAGTGACTCGCTGAATTTTTCCGTAAGGATCTGATCGTCCAGCTCGACAATATCAGCAAGAGTTCGTGCCGAGGTAAACAGATTTGATGTAGATGACGAAGATTTCGACGAGTGCTCTGGAACATGCTTCGTGAGTCGTGGTGCATCGCTTCCAGCCGATGGCGAAGACCCCGGGCCAGTCGGGATAAGCAGGCGAACAGCGACTAGATTGCGAAGAAATGGGAGTACAAGACCCAAAGTATCTATACTGGAAAGATCTGCTGCCAAAGCCAGTTGCTCCAGTTGCGGACTGGCATGAACAAGACGAGCTATTGTGGACGCTGAGAGTGGCCAGCGAGAGGGGAGTAGAAGATGGCGTAGGGTTGCGGAGTGGTTCATGATGATGTTATTCAGGTAGATATCACGGATGCTAGCCTGCAGGCCGGTATTCGACACCGGCGAAGCGACAGGAGTTTCCTCAGTAGAGGCGCTCAGAGTTGAATTGGTAGTATGATCGAAGGACGGCGGCGTGAGCGCCGAAGACGGGAGTAATCGCCGGGGGGAGTTGACATTGTCAGGTGAATCGCGCGATGCACTGACGAAATACAACCTTTCCAGGCCGGTGAAATACGACAAGAATTCAGCATGTCTCTTGGAGATGGAATCTTGTCTGAGCGATTTGAAATTCACTTCACCGGGAGGACCGGTGGGCCAGCTGCTGTCAAAAAACGTATTCAGCGATTTGGCGCTATCCGATCCGCATTCGCTCAGAAACGTCATATCTTCGAGCGCACTGGGGTCAAGCGCAACCTTGAAGTCCTCGCTGTGACGGGCATAAAGATTCTGAAGCGCCAGCTTCTTGACCTTCAACGGCTGCCTAGCGGCAATGCACTTGCGGAAGTAATCATGCAGCATGACGCTGGGCTCCTGCTCGATGCGCATGCGCGGCGACCAGTGCATCTTGAGCTCCCGCAATTTCTTACATTTCCACAACAGAGTCGAGATATCATCGGGATAGCACAGCGGATCGATATGCGTGATCTTTAGCGAGCGCAGGTGAGGCATCGGGGGTATAACGATCGTCGGCCGCGGGTGCCGACTCGAGGGAAACCGCACAGTGAGGGAGGTGAGCTTCGGCCGCTGCGCCAGCCCCAGGTACACCGTCTCGAGCATCTTCGTGCTCAGCTCCCAGCTGAAACTCTCCAGCTCCGTCATCCGATCGACTGCCGCCCGCACCGCGATGTTCAACATCATCGACGAGTCCGGCACCCGGCCGACCCGCGCGTGTTCCTCCAGCTCATTCTCCCGCCAGTCTCCGCGCAGCATCAGCGACCGCACCAGCGAGGCGTAGGGTCTCGTAATGACAGCATTGAGGCCCATGGAGAAGGGACTGGCGCTGCCGATTCCTTCGGGCTCATCCCCGCGGTATCGGATTTTGTCGTAGGAGGTCAAGGTGATGTTCTTGTAGAGCTGCGGGAGCGCCATGTAATTGAGAACCCGACATGTTCTGCACAGACGGGCAATGTCGCCGGTATTATCGAGCTGTATGTATCAAATTGCGTCAGATTTCATCACTTCCTATCAAAAAACAACACGTTCTGGGACAGCAAACCTGAGCTATAATGAGAGCGAGCAGATTCAGCGGCAGAACTAGCAATGACGCACCATGCGGCCGCTCCGTCGTGATGCTGGCATCAAACATATTCCGATTGACGGCCGCCATGATGCGACGCCCGATGATGGAGTCGCAGCATTGACTGACACGAGGTACGGTTCTGGACAAGGGGGCTAGGCATCGAGGGTCTGGCCGAAGATCACCACAGCAGGTGGATGACAATTCAGTCGAGGCGGTGCGGGAAGCAACTTTTTCGATCTGCGCGGATCTAAAAGTTCCCGAGAGACGGCTTGTGAGGCTTAATTAGGCTACATTATTATGACTCCATTACCACGGTGGTCTATCTACGAAGTCGAAGTACTGAGAATACTGAGAACGGCAAGCAGATCGAAATATTAAAGATTCATGGATTTTTGTTATGGTTATGTGACAGAAAGATTCCAAGGGTATCTTTTAAACAGCGACTGCTTCTGTAAACGCGCCAGTTGCTCTACCTTTCCCGAATATTCAAGTGATGCGCATTCATAAGCGACGAGACGCTGTGCACATAGATCCAGCTCGTATCTAAGAGTGACAACGTATCATCGAAAGAGGAAAAAGAAAGAAACCGATTACCATGTGGTGAATGACCCCCGACTCCTCGCTAAATTAACCGTCGAAAGTAATATGGGAATGAAAAGAGGACCCGGCCAATGAAAGACAAGCGAAGGTCGTGCAGTGCGCAATACTAACAGCTATCGCTCGGATCGTGTGCCGCCTTGACTTGGATCATCTCGAGGACCCTGGTGATTAGGGGAATATCGCTCACCCTGCTGTGACGGCGCCGACAATGATTGCTGCTCAGTTGGACCGCTGTTTTGGCTCTCGTGCTGAGAATCAGGAGCATCATGTCCCGCAGGTCCACTTGCTACCTGATCAACAGGTTGACCGTCTACATTGCGGGTCGTGTCTGCTGCAGCTTGTTGCTGTGAATGATGATCATCAGGCCCGATAAGCGCCGCAGTTTCCGGATCATAGCGCAGTTCATAGTTGACATTGCCGAAAATTGAATCCCCCTCAGGCATATTCCACGGAGCGGCAGTTCGAGTCTGCGGCTGGATCACCCTCACAGGCAGATCGGAGCGGTCGGAACGGACGAGACGATTGGGCGTCGGTTCCAGTATGTTTGCATCGTTCAGCCATTGCGGGGACCATGTATTCTGGCCCCGGCGTCTTGCAGGAATGACGGTCACGGGGAGGGAAGCATCCACGTCTCGCTTATCAGAACCAGGCCTGATTCTGAAGTTAAATGGGAACAAGTGTCCGTGTTCGCCGCGTGCAGCATGCTGCTCGTCACTTTCCTCGCCATACAAATCTTCCTGCGCAGTCGAAGGATCCTCGTCTGCCTGCGCTGAGGCAACTTCCCTGGGCAGACAGGCATGCCTCTTCTTGAAGGGATTGAGAATCGTTCGCCAACGGTGGTCCATATTGACGATCTGAGGGGACTCTTCGCGGGTCTGCTGTGCTGAAAGACGCGGCTGAGCGACGTCAGCTTCTCCTTCCTCGGTTTTCATGGCCATTTCCTTCAGCTGGTCTGTTCCATATTCATCTTCCTCTTCCATATGAGGCATCACGACAGGAGGCGTCGGGCTCGACACCGGGTGGTAATGGACATTATAGACGGTGCTGGCTGCACTCGTGGTATCCGCCCGACTAACTGGAGTGGCAGCCGCAGGGGGCGGTGTCGGCCGTCCAGCTCCGAGATGTCGCACATTGGAACCAACAGTTTTGCGTTGTTTGTCCGGCTTGCGGTTACCACGGGGTAGACCAACCCTTGTGCGCAGAGGTCGATGCGCCAACCCCATGACACCTCCCCATCCCGAGGACATACCGGTTCCCCCGCCCCGATCGCCTCCACCATAGGTCTGGCGAGGCCAGTCGACCTCTTCCGATGGTGTGACTTCCAGCATTTCGTCTCCGTCGAATAACTCCCTCCCGAGAATGCCATCCTTCCTTTCGTCCCGTTCCAGTGCTTCAATTCGTTCCACCCACTCCCAAACCACGACACTCGCAGCCGCAGATCCAACCCATCGTATGTAGGTACCCCAACCGGCAATTTCCTCTTTCGCGATATCCAGAACGAAGAAAATGACAGGTATGAGAACAGCACATAAAGATAAAAGTGCGACCAAGCAGATATTCCTCATCTTTGGGTGAAAGAAGGCATATCGGTGTTTGGATAGTGAATAGAAGATCACCCATGCGGCGTATAGAAGGTTGAGCGCGAGCTCAAACAGATAGCTGAGCGCGGGAATCGCATCGTCGTAGAGCCGAGGCCGCGTAGTATTGGTCTTGACCAAGAACTTATCCAGAATGCTAAATATGGTGTCCAGGACAATTAACGCGAATCCGGCCCATTTGATCATGATCTTCTCCTTATGTCGCGGGAATAATCGAATCAGCGTCTGCACCTGGGCCAGCCAGAGGAAGGTGCTCGATATAACTCTGACCACGCGGATCTCCGTGCCATCGATGACCTCCTCGGTGAGCGCTTCGGCATCGGAATAACCGTAGTTATACTGCCGCTCAGCGACCCGGAACGAGTCCGCAGACGCGATAGTCAACGATACCGCCACCAATATCGCAGCTACTTTCTGTAGCCACGGTCTTCCACCAACGCCGACCACCGAGGAATTGCCGCTATATGATCCGCTGATCATGCCATGGCGCCCCAAGAAATTGGCGCCGCCACCGGGACCTCCAACATAAAACGTTCGTGGTGTGATGAGTAGGATTATGACGAGGAGATAGCTCACGACGGTCGCGCATCCGATAGCGTATAATTGCGGAGTGACGGAAGAGTAGAAGGGATCACGGGTGTCAAGGAGGGGAGATGGCTGCCGGGTATCGGTTGATTGACTCGTACACACAGGCTCGAAGACGGCATTTTCTGTGAGGGTGATTGCAAAGGACCGGTTAAGATAGACATAGCCTAGAAGCATGCGCAACGGACGCGACAAGTCAGCTAGAGTTGGGGGGAGACCTAAGGCGCCTATAGTGACGCAACGACACGAAAATACAAGTGACTGCCCAACTGGCGGTTAGGAGGCATTAACAACGATCACATACCATCACTAGGAAGCAGAAAGGGAGTACAGCCTGGCGAATAAGACTTGGTGGTGGTTGTCGTTGGATTAGCCCATATTTGGCGGGGAGTTAGACGAGCATCATCCCCCATGGTCAGCCAGACTCTGAAGACGTCTTACGTCGTCGTCGGTTTCAAGGGATTCATAAAAGCCAGAATATCATGCGATAAAACTTCTCTCGATGACCATTCACGCAAACAGATGGAACATGCCTCAAACCCCCATTATGGCACCGTTCTAATGAATGTGGTCATGCGCCAGTGGTCGGGTCTCGATACGACGGTGGCAACAGACAAGTGTGAAGGCGCGGAGAGAGTATCAAGATCGGCTCGTGCTATGAGAATCAGAGTTCAGAGATGATTGTGTAGGGTAGACAACACAAGATGTCAAAGAGAAATGTGGAAAATGCTTGTACGAGGATTGGGATGCGGAGTGAGGTGCGCATAGTCATATTCGCCCGGCTAAGGAGAGAGGAGGCCAAGACTCGGTGCGATCCGATGAACAATCCGCCACCGTGGTCCAGATTTCTTATGGCCGCTGAACACTGCACAGTAAGCCAACATGCCAACATTTCAGCTGATGAGCAGATTTTCTCCGAGTTCAACAGATCGTTTTGTACCATGGTAGATATTTACTGACTGATATACGGAGTAGCTGATGAGCAATTCGCCATGCAGATTCTCTGCAAATCTGAGAGTTGCTTGACTACCACTGTCTTATAATTTCGTCTGCAGACACCTCCATCACTACTTTCTTAGGGCACTTGTATCGCAACCTCAGTAACTTCTATATTCTATCGCTTGAATTTCATCGCCAAATCTAGACCTCATCGTTGAAGGAAAGTGTTCCACAGCAGCCATGTGCATGCATGTGAGTATACTACCTGTCCTGGGTAGAGCGCTTCATTCAGCTCCCTGATGTCAAACATGCTGACACAGAAGGGACACGTTCCCTTTCCATGAAATCTATCCAAATGCCTGCTGTATCTTGAAACCCAGTAGAGTCATGAAGATTAGTGAACAAAACGCCTCATGCTCTGACTGACTGGTCCTAGCTGCCCCCGCGTAGCCCATGATATGGAAGGATCTGTGACTCCGGGTCTATATTGACTTGAACATGCGACATAGAACAAGCGATATAAAATATTCTCACCGCGGAATTATTTTTGTCCCAATCGGATGCAGGTAAATACGGCAAAAGATATGTGTAACCTTGAACCTCAAATTCTGAATCACCTGGACACCATTGAGCTACACGCCGTCTCCTTGGATCGGCTAACAGGATTGCTTTTGACTTTCGAGCTGGCTAGAACTGCTTCACTTGCTAGCTTTTCCGTCGTGCATTGGTAAGAGCGATGAGTTTGGGAAATTTTGGGCCATTCGCCAAAGTACATTGGCATAGCTACATATTCGGGATAGAGCAGGATCTTCGTGCTAATCATATACAATCCATGATCGACACGCTGATCTTCTAGGGAACAGAGCATAAATGTGATTTGAAAATGAAAATCGCATCATATTTCTTTGGACTACATACGTACATGCATTGCCTGATAATTCGGCAAGATTCCAGATGCCGCTAAAACACGATCCAACGCCGGAGCTAGGGTTATCGCTCGCTCAATGCTAAAAGGTGAAGATCATAACGGAAGACAGAGAGGAATTGAATAGACCGCACGTAAGACAGCCAGTGGAACGCCCCGAGAAAATAAGGTGGCAAGGAAATGAACGTGTTTCGTCGTCCTGACGGAGAAAAAGTATCTCTCGTCCAAACGAGGACAAGACCTCAAAAGGATCCGCTTGACAGATTCATACGCTGTCAATTATCTTACCTGTCGATCTATGGTCGACATGGGCCGACATTATCTCGGCGGCTGGCCATAGGACATCTGCAGGGGCGCTGCATATGGTGATACCAGCGCCTGCCCGGTGGCCCTAGCAGCTCTTTCTCGCTCTTCTTCCCGCGTCTTGAATTCCTTTTCGTCTTGTATGAGCGTGCAACATGTGCAGCATGTCGCTCGCACACAATCGGACCCAACATTGCCTCTAATACCGTACGCTTTGCGTGTCCGTGTGTGCTGCACCGTAGCCAGCAGCCCTATTTTCAAATTGAGTATCGAACTTTGCTGTCAGTTTGACTGGAAAACTCACATTGGCATCCGCATAGCAAGGCCATGGCCGTACACGAGCCGTTGCATGTTTCGTAGCCTAGCATATTGGTTGGGTTCTCTTTTTTCGATTTCATCGAAAGGCGATACTGCGTCCTCCCGTAGAGTATACAAGGACACAAAAGTCCAAGACAACATGTCCCAATGCTAGAACATTCGCATAAACCGTGACTCCAGGTTCCACCATTGACAACCTGGTTGGGATGTGCAATCTGTCCCGGTTGATGATAGGACATTAGCGTAGTTGTGTGTGGCGCGCTGGTCACGATCGGTGGAGGAAAGCGTGGCAAGTGGGGAGAATGTAATGGGTTCTCGTCAGGCGCAACAGTTATCTTTCGATACTCCGAGAATTGTCCTGAGGCTTCAGGGTCTGTCTTGACTGGAAGTGGTCCCGGTGGATCGGGGCGAGCGCTGTACGAGTATGCTGGTGCAGCGGTATCAAACTGCGCCTGTTGTGGTGCATCCTCCGCATAGGGAGCATAATGCGCAGGGTGCTGCCCAATGGGCGGACCACCGCCGTAGACAGAGGCAGCAGGCTCATGCTGAAGTTGAGCCTTCTCATTGAACAATGGTTGAACGTCTTCCGTTGCGGTGACCTGCTGCTGAATTGGACAAGCATTTTCTCCGGTCTCTGGCTCTGGCTCTGGCAGCGGTACTTGTCGCTCTATCCTTTGTCCCGAAGGTTGCATTTCTAACGGCGTCTCAATAAAAGAGTATCTTTGAGCTCCCACACCAAAGGAGGTGTCCAATCGTAATTGCCGGTCCATTGTGATGGTATACTTGCTTCTAGCGACGAACGCCTCTAATCTCCCGTCCGGACTGAAAATGCTTAATTCGACATAAGCAATCGCTTGGCGACTGCCGAAGCGCTCTCGACAGGATAAGGTTGCTGTGCGTGTGCTTCGTTCAGCCTGGTGCAGTCGGTCTCATTACATGCATCAGAATTGCGCAGGCTCTTTTCGCTCCTTGATAGAGGAGGTCAGAAACAACAGGACTAGGGATTCGGGTGCTGAAACGAGACGCAAATGCGATGATAAGATCCGGCGACATCAATCAGGGAGATAGAGACATTAAGTGTGTGCTTCATGGAGTAACAGGCGCAACTGAGTGGAGACCAAAAGCGCTGAGAGGTACTTCGATCATGCTGCGGGGGTGGATGCTTGGTCTCCAAATGGTCAGAACTCAATGTATCTCGTGCTTTGGGTTTCATGAGAACTTGTTGCACCAACTGCTTAGCCTGCAGTAGGTGCCATCACTGCTCACCAGTCACAGCAGTGGTTGGCCTGGCGCCCATTCGGAACATCCCGTTGGACTGCTTTTCATCACATCGCTGCCCTGTCGCTGTCACATCGGATAGTGCCAAAAATGCTGTTCTACCAATCATAATGGAAGAATAGGAGCAATTTGTAGGTAAGTTCACTACGCCGCAATATTGTGACAGTTTTGAGAGGCAAATCGTCTCGTATTCGAGATCTTGGGTTCGTTGGATATTGACGCAAAGAGCAAATGTGAGAATCTCCTGCCCGGTTGCAGACGGTTTTGCATCCTTAAGCGGAATGAACAAAACAACCAATGAGCCAAAGCGAATCGAAGGGAGACTTAGGTAGTTGAAGTTCTTATTCTTGATGTGGAAACGAGCCGGAGCGAATCGGCCATGTTGCCACAGCCGTTAAATAATCACACACACACCTACACACACACACATGATAAGACAATTGCTTATTGGCCTATGTGCCTACGTCTGTACCGACTTGCTGGACCATATCAACAGGCAATAATAACTGCTTTGCAAGTCATGCTAGGACAATCATTCCTCAATCCACATAGGACATAGAGCATGAGACAAAAAGCCTACCCAGTTTTCAATTCAGAATAGACAGAGATCAGTTGTCTGAGAGCCAGCAAAGGCATCAGGCTGAGGATTATGAGCTGACTTGGACTTCAAGACATTAGAGCTTACAAGACAGTGTCATTAAACTAATAGGGGTGATTGACTGACTCTCTTGAGATATCTGCCGGGATAAATGATGGGTGGCAACCCTCATTGAAATGGCCATGCTGATGCCCACGCCTCAGCCTCTTCTTTATTATCGCCAGCAAAATGCTCAATGAACTGTTCTCGAACAACAGCAAGTTTTTGCTTGAGGGCCTCATAATCCTCATGACTCACCCAACCGTCCCATCCGCGAGTAGCTCCGCCTAATGATTCTAGTACATCGTCCATTAGTCTCATCCCGTCTACCCACTTTCTCTCTAATTCCTGCTGGCGCTCGATGTCTGCAGCGGAGTACGCTAGAGGGCACGGAGGACCTCCCTTGCTGCTGATAAGTTGATCCCATGTGCTGGCGAGTTTCATCAGGAGTCCTTGTAGGGCGGGTTCTCCATCGTTCAAGAGCATGCCAACAAGGGTGACAATTTCTCCCTGCAGCGTCTCCTGATATCTCAAAGCACGATAGGCAGGCACATTCAGAGAAGCGGAGTAAAGATCGTAGTATTTGTATAGAGTCTGATCGACAAGCAATTTCTTTGTATATTTCTTTGCATCATCATCAAGCTCTTCAAAGTTCTCCGGTAGAGTAGGTGTCTTGAGACCTTCGAGCTTCGGTCCCTTGTAGTCCAGAAAAGCAGGATGCGTGACCTGATCAAATAGGGGCGCGACATGGGCATTCTGGCAGTCAATCAGTCCAACAATCTCCGTAGGCCTCTCCGGGTCCACGAAGATGTTGTCCAGATTTAAGTCCTTGTGCCACAGAACAGGTGCTTGACAGCCGTCATGCGGCAGGATATGATCGACAACCTTTAGAACGTCGCGGCACACCGAAAGCTTGAGAGCACAATCAGGTTGATACCCCCCAGGGCCAACAATTCCTTCAGGTCGGAGGGGCCGCCTTGCGTTCCGGATGGCCTCCATCTCCCGATAACAGATTGCTCTTATGTACTCTTGTGCAGTGTTCCCTGAGGTAAATCAGTTATTCAAATCAGAGTATGCAGTAAGAGAAACAAAAGCAGAACTTACAAGGGCCCCGGTCCAAACAGAGCTCTCCTCTTCCATCATCAAAAAAGCGTCGATCCGTGGTAGGTCCGAGGACCCAGCGTCGACAAGTATCCTTCGAGCCTAGAGCTGGTAGGTGCTTGATCCCACTTGGGATATCGTTGGGATAGTACAAAGAACCAATGCCACCACGGGGGTGGTTCACTACTCTAACATCGAACTTAACAATGGCCTGGATAATATCCCTCTTTTGTTCATTGCTCAAATGCGGCCAGACGTGTGCAAGAGAAGAGCCAGGCACTTTCTCCATAATGATGTACTCTGCCCTGACTGGGTTGTCTGATGCGCGTGAGCTCCAAGCGAGCACCTTCGGGACTGGCATACCAAGCTTATTTCTCACCTGAAAATAGTTAGTGTGTAAGAGAACACTGCAAAAATGAAAGGGTGCTTTGTGCACAGACAAAATCCATCGTCGCGACTTCGCTGGCGGTTGTGTAGTGTGGAATACCAGAGTTGGGTTTAGGAACCCGCGCGACGACTTGGGATCCATTGGCCATAGTAAGAAGAAGACTCTTATTAAAGTTCCCTTCCGGCAGTTTCTCAATTCTGATGCATGATGCAGGCTCCTGGCCGAGGCATCTTGCAGCGATCGCTACTAATGAGCTTATGTTGAACTGAACATAGCGAGCCTCAAGCTGCTGAGCCTCGTTAAACAACCAACGTCCAGCAGTGTAGCGGTAATAGTCAGAGTCAGAGCCCTCATCTAGGAAATGTCAGAATCTTGCATTTGAGACAGACTAATGTGCCTAAAGCAATCTTTACCGTATTCTCTGGTGGAGGATGTTCGTTTCATTACCCTGGGCGCGACGTTTGACCTTGATCTTGGGGAAATAATAGCTGGAATTCGAAGAAATCCCACAGAGCGAAAAAAACATTGATTCAGCTGGGACAAATGAACTCGTCAATCAGTAACTGGAAGAATGGACTTGGTGCGCAGGATGAGCGGAGTCAGCTGAAGTTAAGTTCCTGACTTAATTAGCTGAGGAGAGTGCTGCATAATAGATAAAGAGGTGTGAGAGGAAGGGATGCTTAAATATTGAAAGCATTAAGCAGGAGATAGGAGTTAAGCTTCTCTAGCTGTGCTAGAACAGGTAGTATACGAAGACGGTGGTATTTTCAGTACAGACTATTCATCTCGGATTAATTCAAAGGGTAAGCTACTAAATTTCCTGGCGGCTGTTGTATTAGTAGTCTGCTTTCACCGTCAAAATACCTTGAACGCCATGACGAGGTCGTAAGGTGATTCCCGATAAAGCATTTCATAAGCTGGAAGGGCAATTCAAGAATTGGTGGGAGCTGATATTATTGAAGGAAAATCACATCTCACACAAACCGTCCCCAAACGGGTGGTGCACCAGCGAGCTTGTCGCTCAAAGCAAACTGGCCGATAAGTCCACTCTTCCAAGGCCAGGTATGTGCAACAGACGAAGAGAGAATCACCAAAGAGGCGCCATAGGCCGAATATATTGCGCCAGTCCTGAGCGTCTACATATCGTCTCCCCGAGCCAAGTAACGCAATTCCAGCCAAGCTGCACTACGACCATAAGTAGCACCACCAGTAGCACCGCAGCGATTCATAAAACGACAGTATGCTGCATCAAAATCTTGGTTACCTTCGGAACTAAGTCTCAGATGCCTAGATGCATGATTGCGGGCAGAAGAAGTTCCGGATAAGGAATACAGACATCGAGAGATCGGCTGTAGACTGATCGTATCGCATATGTGACAGGTCACAGGCAACGATCACTTGCGAGGATAAATGATTCCTTGTGGATTGTTCTGCTGTTGGAAATTAAGATGGTATGGGAAGACTTCTACCAGTCTCAAATAATGGAGGCGGGATTGGGCATGAGGAGCAGCCCAATTATGTACCTCACCAGATGGAGGAGCAAATATCCCCAGGCGATGATTAGCGATATTAAATATGACACCGCGATGCTACAGCAATGGACTTGAGAGCAAGGATACCCTGTGTCCGAATTGCCAGCATCAGAAGCTCAGAGGCTCAGAGGCTCAGGAGCCGAGAGTAGAAATGCGGATGACTGAGAAGGGACATACCAAAGATATGACGCAAGGGAAGAAACAAGGATATCTTGATAGACTCTGTTTTCTGAGACCGGTGAGGCTGTGATGAGTATATCTGAATAATATGCGGGACATCGATCCTCTTAGCGACTGTTCCATCTCGACATACCAGTCGGATCGACAGGATAGGTATGGAGGGGTGGAGTTTCGGGGGAGGTGGGAAACCTCGTGGCCAGCAGGTTGCTCACGTTGTCTAATGGTTGGCGTTTCTGAGGCTGAGCCAGTCATGCGCATTCGCAACTCGGTGGAATTTGAACAGAGGGGCATTATTATTGATGCGTAAATGGTATCAATATAACAATCAACCATTCTTTATTGGGTTCCAGAGGCCAGTTGTTTTTCTCAGTTTCAGAAAGAGTCCCCCTCGTAGGAGGCATGGAATTGGCCAGGGATTCAAAAAGGTTGTCTCATTTCTGGATTTCAGTATGGCTGCATGGCGCAGTGTTGTCAAATCTTTAGATAAGAGAATCTATCAAAACAGTATTCTGCCAATTGAGTGGTCAATAATTGCCGACACTCTACAGTGAAGAATGTCGATCTTATCCTCCTGATAATTGAGGCAGGCTCAGCTTATCTAGCTGGAAAGATAACGTAAGGTAAGACCGAGTCCCGTGGGTAAACATATCTAATCTCATCAGTCAACAGTCATCAGTGCCTAGGGGATACGGGAGATAACTAGGTACCATACCTAGTGACACACCTGAATTATGTCTGGGGTATGCTCAGAGAACTGGAATTGACAAATAAACAATCAAATTACCCACACCTTTCACCTGATATTTCCATCTCCTTTCAATGTGTTCATACAAGTACGTACAACCAGTAAAACCATGTGGGGATCTAGGGATCTAGAAAGAGGCTGGAGATGAGGGTTGCCCGAAGAGGAATAGAATGGAGAAGCCATGGCTCCTTTTTCCTGGGGAAATCCCCAATCTCAGGTCAGTGATGATTCTGCACTATGACTGGGAAGACTTGGTTCTTATTGGCATGTTGGACCTGCATTAAGAGCACCTAAACCCGTCCTTAACTCTATCCTACTAAGTGTGGTTCTTAGCGTCGTGTCTCTCTTCTTATTGAGCCAAGTAATTAGATAGTTGATACCTATCAAAGGACTCTGGTCTGAAGATGAGATCTGTCAAGGACTCTTTTACAATGTCCGAATTCACAGAGAGAAAGCAGACGGAAGAGATTGGAAACAAAGAGAAGACTGTCCAGTCCACTATGCTCACTTTTTTTTGTTGTTATTTTTTCTGTACCTTACCAAGGCGGTGTATGATCCGCGTCCTCTTCATCTCTCCATACCTATTTGGAATGTTCCCAAAAATCTCACCATCCTCAAACGCCCAAGTAAACCCAATTGAAAGCTTCGCTTCGTTTTTAGTCCCTCGTTGCTTGCCATTCTACCTTCTTTACTGCTTTGAGAAATGCTCCTCTGATCAAATCAACTATCCATACACCATCATCCTCCTCTCCCTTACTACTACATACCAATAAAAAGACATTATTGATCACTTCATTCCACAGTTTCCCCAGTCGGACAACTAGATTCTAGATCAACCATACTGCATCGATAACGACCTGAATTACGGATTTTAACTCTTCAGGTTGTCCCGTCCGAGGAATCCGTTGAATTTGCTGGCCTGTAAGATTATTTCTCCCCGGAACGTGGCTTGGTGTTCCTTGATCTTCTCGATTTTCCCTACCTACCGCCTACCTAGCTTCTTGTGTAAGTTACTAACAAACTAAATCCGGTGACGCCAGAATAATATCCGCTTTCCGCCTTTGAATGAAACACCAACCATAATCTTCCCTTCAACAACGCCTTTTCCCCTGCTCGGCTTCCCATTCAATTCCGTGCAGCCACCCCCCCCCAACCAATGTCCTCCCCATGTCAAGGCCACCATCTGCATCTGAGAACACCTTGCCTGACACCCTGGTGACACCTGCTGCGTCTGCCCAACATGATTGCTCTGCACGGCCTGAGCTCTCTTCCAGCAAGCAGCGTCGCCACAACGCTCCCGGCCAGCAGCTCATGCATCAGGATGTCCAGCAAGCTCCTTCTCCATCCCGCGCCGAATCCCCCACCGCTCATCAATGGTCCAAACCTGCATCTGGCTTTACCCTAAAAAGGGCCTTGACTCTGCCCCTGGAGAGGCTCTCCCGCTCTGATCGGTCTCACAGTCCCCAGCTGTCCGAAAGGGATTCCATCTTCGCAACCCACTATCTTCCCTCAGACAACGAAACAAGTAATACACCGCAGCTCCCCCCCATACAAGATGTTGATAATGCCTTGACTTCCGACTTGATCCCGGGACTCGATAATGCGCCCACTTCGCCAACTTCCTCTTCCAAAATCCCCTTCCGTCGCCCTTACGTCGATCGCTCCCACATGGAAGTCGACATTCGCAGAAATCATCAGTTGCGCTCCTCTACCTACGTTCCGCCACCCCTTCCCGTCCATCCCTCATCGCTGCGACCCGTTGCAACAGATGTAGCTTGGGACACACATCACAAGGAACCGGACAGGAAACTGAATGCTCCTGTTCGGGAGAGTTTCCTTCCCCCTGGAAAAGGTTTCTCGGATGGTATTGGCACTAGACACACTCCTCTAGAGGACTCCTTTCCCAACCTCAGTCTTATCTCTGCCTCCTTGAGAGACTCTTCCTCGCCATCCCATCACCATGAATATCGGGAACAAACCCGGGACCGAAATTGCGAGACTAGAGTTGAGCGGAGTTTGAGTCGGACCCGACGCGGCAGGGTTGAAAACTCCATCGAGGCCAGTCTGACAAATGCGGAGCCTACCTCTCACGTACGTAGTCGGAAGTCTAGTCATTACCTCGGCTTGTTTAAAGAGAATACGACCTCACCTGACCGCAAAAGGAGGGAAGATAGAGACGGGAAGCACGAGGAGCCTTCGACGCAGGACGAAACGTCGGACGTCACCGTCTGTTCCGAGCCTGAGCAGATTCGGGATCATTTCCACGCACAGGCAGGAGACTTGCCGTCGGCGGACGCTGGTCCTCGAATTTCCAAGAGTTCACCTCAGCTTTCACTAACCGCCGCTCCGGCCATTGAACCGACCGCAAGGCAAGAATATCGGCCGCATACGCAGAGTGACGATGTTACCAAACGCCAACCCAAGTCTCTGCCGCGCAGTTTGCTGGAGGAAATTAGATCTTTCCACTTGACTCCGGGAGGTGGTCGCGGTTCCTCATTCTCGAAGAGTATCCCAACCCAGTATGCAGAAGGGGGCAGAGACTATTTCTCAGAGGGTGCATCTGGTGATGGGCTCTCGCCACCCGATACGTTTCGAGAACAACGTCGGGACTCAGCCCAATTCGAAGACGAAGAAGAGGAACAGATCTCGTCTGCTGTGTACTTTCCGCATGAGCGTGTTACGGTCTCCGAAGAAGTTGACCAAGTCGAGCCTTTTCCTGAGCATGAGCCAGACGTGGAGCGGTTCGACGAGTCGGTACCGAAGAGTAGTCTTGCTCTGGTGCCAAAAGTACATACCGTGCCTATTGGGCAGGAAAGTAGTCATGTGGATATTTCGCTTCGGTCTAAAAATGACAGTAGGATCCTCCATGGCGAGCTACAAGACTTGCACTCCCCTACACTAGAAGAATACGAGCACAAATCTCTTGGCGCCATTTCAGAACGCACCGGCGAATACTCTACATGTGAGTCCGAGTTCGCCTCTGCGGATGATAGTAGCGTGTCTGCTCGAGAGGAGGAATCGAGTTTGACCGACGATGCTGACGTGACCCCGACCGCCACTCCAACTCAGCGTTCTCGCTTCCCGCGTCCACGACGGAAGTACACCTCGACAGCCCCCGTCGGAGCGGTGGAACTAAAGCCTTATCGACATCAAGTGGGTGGTCATACCACAGTTTTTCGTTTCTCAAGACGTGCCGTTTGTAAACAGCTTAACAATCGGGAGAACGAATTCTACGAGCGAATTGAACGGAGGCACCCTGAAATGCTCATGTTTCTTCCCAGGTAAGGCAGGCCCGAGCTATGAAGATATCATTTGATTTGACATTCTCCCTATCCTGACTTACCGAGCCCGCTGACAATTATTCCCTCTATTCAGATATATTGGTGTCCTGAATGTGACCTTTTCAAAGAATTCAAAGCGCCCCAAGGGTTCTTCAGAAAACACTGCTGAACCTACAGATGCTGAAACCAGCAAGGAGCTCACTCACGATGAAACGCACTCAAGGAAACGAAGCATTGGCAAGCCTAGCCAGACTAAAGATGCGGAGCCAGAACGAATTTTTAGTCAGAAACAAGTGACCGGTATCATCCCCAAGGTGATACTTGAGAACAACCGCCATATCATTCCGGCTGATTTGTTTACCCGCTGTCAAAGACCCAGGACTGCTGATTGTGTCACTTCAGGCAGTCAGCGATCTTTGAATGGGAATCACGCGGCCGGTGGGAAGCAATCAGTCGATGGATCTACAGCAGGCAACATTTCCGCTCCCACCTTGGAGAAGCCCATCGCTAGATGGGGTGCGACAACGGTCAACAGGAAGTTGCAGGAGCAGGTCCTTCGAGAGGTCTTCAGCCCTCCCGCCATCCATCATCACCGGCGCCATGCCCGCGGTCACTTGAATTTGCCGAGGACGTCTTCGGACAGTGGCCGTCGACGGGCTAATCTATCCGAGGATCAGAGCGCAAGTCTCCGTCGTTATGCGTCGGAGCGCGGTGAAACAGCACCCAGTCCTTTGAGCATTGACATTTCGAAGCAGTCCAAGGAAGGCCCGGCTCTGTCGTCTTCCGCCTCAACGGCCCTTGACGCAAACCATGACCGTCTCGAGAAGGTTCGAACCGAAAAACCACAACCTCGCGCCAGCTCACTCAGTCGAACCAGGCGGGTCAGAAGACGGCATTCAGGCAGCGGTCTCCAAAGACGGGGAAGCATTAGCTCAAATAAAGCTGGCGGTCAACTGATGTTTTTTGAGGATGATGGCTATGGTGGCGACAAAGAAGATGGTATATTTTCGATGGAAGGCGACGCCCCCTTGCCTTCATCTAGCCACCCTCATGTTAACGGCTCTATTGCGCCGATCCACAAGGATGATAGGTCTGAAGATGTACCGTCTGCACCACTCGCCGTCCGCGATAGTCCGTCCAAGCCCTCCGTTCGCCTGGAGGCGAAGGAAGATTCTCAAATGATTGTCCCTTCTAATCCCAAGGAGGCTCAAACCAGAAAAGACGAAAGGGTGCAATTTTTCCTGTTGCTGGAGGATCTCACGGCTGGTATGAACAAGCCCTGCGTCTTGGACTTGAAGATGGGGACCCGTCAATACGGTATTGAAGCCAACGAGAAGAAGAGAAAGTCTCAAAGGCGCAAATGCCAGTCCACCACCTCTCAACAGCTGGGTGTCCGACTCTGCGGCATGCAGACTTGGAATGTAAAGAAGCAGGAATACACGTTTGAGGACAAGTATTTCGGACGGGATCTCAAGTCTGGGCGTCAATTCCAGGATGCCCTCACACGCTTCCTTTATGACGGCGTTTCTTACATGAGTGTGGCGAAGAAAATCCCCATCATCTTGGATAAGCTGGCAAAGCTGGAGAATATGATTCGCAGGCTCAAGCGTTATCGCTTGTATGCTAGCAGCTTGCTGATTCTTTATGACGGCGAACAAAATCCTGCCGAAAAATCTCAAGTCGATGACACTCACAACGCCGACAAGCGGGCTCCTCTGCAACTCCATGCCTCCGAGGATGGACACAACAATACCGAAGTACATTTGAAGATAGTCGACTTTGCAAATTGCGTCACGGGTGAAGACGAAATTCCCCCAGATGCTCCTTGCCCGCCCCAGCACCCGGATGATATTGACCGTGGTTATCTCCGTGGACTTCGCTCGCTTCGGATGTACTTTCAACGAATTCTCAAGGAAGTGACTCAAGATGAATTCATTGAGCGGGGTGAAGGTGAAGCCATCGCTCTCCGATCTCGTCATTCCGGTCGCGAGGAATCATCGGACCGGTATTGGGACGAGAGCGTGTTGGAGGAGGATCCCGGTGAAGTCAGCTTCTGAATTCAAACGACCACCCCTTTAGCTTCTGCCTCAAGCATGTCCGCTTGAGCAGGGCAATTTTTAATTTTCCGTTCATCTTTCTTGTTTTTCTCATTCCTAATGACTATTCCTTGCTCGGAGTTAGCGGCTCTGCATTTGATCGGATGTTCAGCTCAATGCACCGGAGTATCATGGATATGGCGTCCTTTTTTGCATGACAGGGTGCTGGGATAGCAATGTTTCTGTTTCTGTTTACTTTCTCTTCTTACCTCTCCGCATGTTGGACTCGGTCTAATGACGTTATCAGCATGCTATGACACCATCGCGATCTGAATGGGAATACATGGAGGTCCTAGAAGATCATTGAAGTGACGGATGATACGATACTTACGATTGATAATGATACCATGCTCGCCTCTTGAGTCTTGTCTATCCGTGCCTGGAGCATCATAGAGGAGGATCGTCTGCTCGGGAGAATCTTCCATTCTGATGGCGTGTATGAGATCATACCTTTCTCTTTCGGTTTCATTTCTTTCCAGCTGTTGTTCTCTTCTCGGACATGTCTTAGTGATTATACCTCTCGGGAATTTGTCCGATTCCCTGGGTTATTGTCTTTTTTTCTCTCTTTTTTCACAGGTTGCAGGCATGAGACGCATTCGGATTGTCCATGTACATCAATGGGTACCAATGAAGATAGCTCAAATCATGTAATCCCATAATCCTTCAATTCAAGTAGTCCTCGTCCCCGATGAATGTTGCTACTTTCCTCCCCCAGTGTAGATACCTAAGCATGATCAACTGATGGCTCCTGAGGCACGTCCATGTGCTGCCTGAATTGGAGAATGTCACGTGCCTCAGTGATAAGCGGTGTATCTCCTTGGATGACGTGCCCTCCAGCTCCCCCAGCCCAGCCTTTTTGTCAACAAGAAACCGCTCCTCGTCCGTGGCATTGATCAACAAAGTTCGAATAGGGCACTCAATGATCACTCACACTCTCCTTGTACTCATTTGATCTATCCAGTATCACAATAATAATCTGCTACTTGATCTTACCGAGACGCAGTGAAAGCCGAGTTCCGATATCAGTTCGTCAACTGCTTACCCCAGCTGGCCTGGGGAACTGTCCATCTCGCTGAAACGCCACTACCCAATCTGACTGACGGCAGAGGTATTTCTTATTGAATATATATATTACATTATAACTATTCTCAACCAATTGTCTCGTATGCTATCTCCTTGCGCTCCATAGAGCTGCAGGTGACTCACAAGCACAATGACTGGCTCTGATCAACAGAACGAGTCAGCCATTGATAAGCGGGACTTCGATGCGAATCGACCCCTACTTCATGACATTGACGCCGGCGTCGATGGGACCAGAGAAGGACGTTCGCGTTCCGATTCGAGACTATCCGCTATCCGAAGTCTCGACGACGGCACCGACGGGCTCTTGAACAATGTGGTTGAGGAGATCGTCGAGAGAGACCGTCGTAAGATGGCAATGGAAGTGATGCGTGTGTGCAGCTTTGTCTGGGGGGTGATCAGCTGGTTGGCCATCCCTTTCTCGCAATCCGTAGATGCTGTCGTTTGCCCTTCGTTGTAGATGAACTGACAGTAAGCGTGGCCATTTAGTCTGGGAGCCGGTAGCATCACTGCCTTTTCGCTGTACGGGCCTCTTTTCCTCACTCGACTCCATTACACTCAGCTTCAGGTGAACGCCGTTTCGATTGCGGCGGAGATCTCGATGTACCTTCCCGTGCCATTGTTCGGATACCTCTGCGATCGATACACGCCCTCTCCGCTGGCCTTGCTATCAGGGCTTGTCTTTGGAGGAGGTTACCTGCTGGCTGCCTTTGCATATAGGAGTGGCCCGCCTCCTGACGCGGGCGGAGAAGGATGGCCGTTCTGGGTGATGGTTGTGGCATTTGTCGCTATCGGGACGGCCACAAGCTGTATGTACCTGGCTGCGGTGACCACATGCGCTAAGAACTTTGGACGCGGCAAGCACAAGGGTATCATGCTTGCCGTTCCTATTGCGGGTTTCGGTCTGAGTGGCATGTGGCAGAGCCAGCTGGGAACATACCTGCTATGTGAACGCCACGAGGATGGAAGCCGTGGTGATGTGGATGTCTTCCGGTACTTTCTGTTTCTTGCCTTGTTTCTTTTCTGTCTTGGAGTCATTGGCACTTTTGGGTTGAGAATTGTCGATGACGAAGAAGAGGAGAAGTACATTGATGAGGCAGTCGAGGAGCTTGAGCGCAGCGGTCTCCTCGAGGAAAGCGAGTTTTTCCGGCCTCGAAGCGAAGTGCAGGCGGCCTATGGAACATTTTCTGAAGCTGCTGACGGTGATGTGGCGGACCCGGAGCAATCATTGGCTCTCTCTGAAGAGGAACGGCAAGCGGCGAGACTGGAGAAGGAAAGGGAGGAGGAGGAACGGAGGAAGAAGAACTGGCTGCTGAACTTCGAAACGCGACTATTCCTGCAAGACCAGACCATGTGGTGGCTTGCACTCGGCTTCTTCCTGGTCACCGGTCCAGGAGAAGCGTACATCAACAACGTAAGTATACCTCATACCATTTCAGTAGACATTAAACTAATTGACCTCCTAGTTGGGCACAATTATTCAGACACTGACGCCGGAATCATACCCCCCCAATGCCCCGCCTCCAGCAGGCCTGCCCTCTACACATGTGACCACGATAGCACTCACGTCAACAATAGCCCGACTGCTCACCGGATCACTCTCAGACTTCTTCGCGCCCCGGGCCAATCATCTCTTCCCGGCAAACATAGAAACCGGACGTCCCTCCTCATCGTCTGGTTCAACCACAAACAGACCCTCCCTCTCGCGACTCGCCTTCCTTCTGCCCTCAGCCCTCCTCCTCTCCCTCGGCTATCTCCTCCTCTCATCCCCCTTACCCCTCCAACACCCAGGTCTCTCCCACATAACAACCGCACTGGTAGGCCTAGGCTACGGCAGCGCCTTCTCTCTCGTCCCCATCATTATTTCCGTCGTGTGGGGGGTCGAGAACTTCGGCACGAACTGGGGGATCGTGGCCATGGTCCCCGCCGCCGGTGCCGCGATGTGGGGGATCATCTATTCGCGCGGATACCAGGACGCGACGGAAGGAGGGAACGGCTCGGCGGACGGACAGTGCCATGGCTGGAGGTGCTATGGGCTCTGGGCCGTCGGGTGCACCCTCAGTGTGTGGGTGGCTGTAGTTGCGTGGACACTTGCCTGGAGGGGTTGGCGACGACGGGGTGTCGTCGTTTGATACATTTTTTCCATACTTTGGCGTTTGAGATGTTTCTGGATGGTTGGGTATAAAGATATAGCGTCTTCATGACAATGGCGGGGTTTCCCCTTTCACTTGGTTAATTTTATTATTATCGGCAGCGGATGTGTGTGAGACACCTATCGAATATCATGTTTGTATTTGCACATCCCAGCAAACCAATGCAACCTACTCCATACCAAGGATAACAGATGCCAACGTTCTCACAAAGGGACTAATGACGACCAGAAAGAATATGAGGGTATACATGTACGGCATCGTAACAAGTCCAAAGTCCAATAAACAGATATAGAGCAAGGCAAATCAGATATCCGTAGAAGAGGGGTCAAGACCCATAAACACCTTGTACAACCGTTTACTTGCAGCCGGGCCGATGCGTGAGTCCGTCAGGGCACCGTTCTTGTTTGCAGATTTCTTCAGAGTAGAAGTTAGTGAATTTGATAAGTAAGTAAATGGTAGATAAGGGTTCGAAGAATACCTTGACATCTTCCAGCATGGTCGGCCCATGACGGCGCATCCCTCTCACCAAGTCCACGACGGTGGGATATCTCGCCGCGATACCATAAGCCATGGACGCAGTGACACGATTCACCTCCTGAAGCATCTTGACAAAGGTATCGGCTTTGTCCTCGCCGGGTTTGACCTGTCCGGTATCCATGCAAAAGGCGGAGTCGTTGCCATCCATGCGCTCGCGCTTATACGGGATGGTCGAGATATGCTCGGTGAAATTCTTGATCCATTCTGCCGACTCCGGCGCGGCGCTGGTGTGGTGGATGAGGCAGGCGTGTGTGACCTGGAGTTCGAGGAGGGCGTCTTCGATGGTATCGTCGTCGACGGGCGGGGTGGACTCGGCGGTTTTGGCGGGTGGTTTTCTGCGGCGGGCGGAAGAGGACGAATCGTCTGGGTTCTGCTGGTCGAGTTGCCGGCGGACCTGGGCTTGGAAGGCTCTGTTGCGGGAGTTTTGGTTCTTGCGCATCCACGCGGTTAGGCCTTCGATGAGGTAGATTGGTCTGTGGCCCGGGTAGGCTTTTTTGATGCGGTCGAGGTGGAGTTCCAGCTTGGTTGTGCCTGTTACTGGGTCTGCGGCCGCGATCACCATGTCGACGAAGTCTTGTGCTGTCACGAGACAGAGGACGTGTTCTTCTTCGCGGATATGATGTGGACATGGCTCCCAATGGCCGGCAGCTTCGTTGTACCTGGCTGTGACCTTCCGGCGCCATTTGACGATATTCGGGATAGAGCTCGTGAAGAACGTGTGCTCGACTCCCAACCGTTTCATGAGTTCGATGCTCTGATTGCCAATACTTGTTTCCCTAAACGAGGAAGCGAGATCGAGGATCATCTCAGGCGTGGACTCCTTCTTGTCCACCTTGAGCTTATTGACCTCCGCCAAGTCCGCAGCGAGCTGCTTTTCCCGAGCCTTTTCCTCCTTGAGCTTCTTCTGTCTTTCCTTCTCGAGCTGTTTCTCATGTTCCCGTTGCGCCTTTGCGGCTTCTCGCTCCTTAGCCCGCGCTTCTTTCTCCGCGGCGGTCAGCTTGCTTGTCTTTCGTGCTGGCTTGCGAGATTCAGCCACTACCTCGGACAGATCATCTTCCAGGTCAAGGACATCGCGTTCCCGGACCTTTTCAGAGGAAGCCGCCGCTCTTGATTTCATCCTACTCCCAGTGCTACTGGTAGCTTTTGACCGCTCCTCCAGACTTGCAAGTAGACGGGCCGTCCGACTCGAAAAGAGCGAGTTTTCATGCCCAGATGACTTTGCTGGTCTTGTCCGCCTCATTAACTCGTCAATTTCCGGCATTCTCAGCTGGTCACTGAAGTCTTCGATATGGTCCTTCCCAGGGACGGCATCGTTAAAAAAATCGTCATCGTCATCGTCAATTGTGATCGTGTTAATTTCTCGGGGATGAGTCGTAAGAGACCTCGCTCCTGGCACAGGAGCAGGGGAAGTGAAAACAATTGGATCCGACTCCTCGTTCCATGCCGGGATCTTCAGCGTTGATGGTCCATCAGACGGCAAGGCGACATCATCATCGGAGAACAGAAACAGATTTTTCGTCGAGAATTGGACGTCTACATCCTTAGGAGATCCAACCTCCTCGCTTATGCGACGTCTCTTAGCCGGTTTATCGATATCGTTGTAGGCGAAAAGTGACTCGATATCGTCCGATAACAAAGGCCGAGGAGCAGACGAGAGGGGCGGATCGGACGGAAGCGTGGACACTAATGGCTGCCGGGGTTGAGATGCTGGGGGCGGCGGCGTCGAGGACAAGAGGTTGATGACCTCTGGCATTTTCCTGATGATTGAGACGCACCGAGGTCGTGGATTAGTTGATAACCTATTCGTACTTCGCTGCGACTTTTCTCCAGTTGCCACACGCGTTTCGCGACTATCCCGCGTTGGCATTGCGCGAAGTCACGTGAGTACAACCCATTAAAGGCATGTTTGAGCGAAGGAAGTACAAGTGTAAGATTGCTAAAATACAAATAATAAGAAAAGAAGGGGTATTTGTACAAATCTAGATCACCTTCACGGCCCACACAGCAAGAATAGAAGACACAATCCCCAACAGGGCAAAGACGAAGATTAGTTGGTGAAACCCGCTGAATGGTCGCCTTTGCTTGCTGAGCATGTCCGCAATCTCCTCCTCGAGCCTGTCACCCATTGCAGTCAGCGAGAACTCCTTCTCTACTCTCGCTTTGCTCACGGCGGACATGCGGTCGAAGTCCTTCCGGTCCATCTCGTAGAGAACCCGGTCCATGACCGCAGTCCACTCTGCGACGACCGTTGCGTCCCGAAGCCAGCCCGTTTCACCTTCCACGATAGTTTCCAACGGCCCACCTGTGTTCGATGCGAGGACAGGGATCCCGGCGCGCATGGCTTCGACGGGGACAATACCAAAGTGTTCGTTAATGGGGGTGTAGAGAAGCAACTTTGCCTGCGAGAGGAGCGTATCCCGGAAGGCGGTTGGTACGGAGAGCAAGAAAAGGACGTCGATCGAGTCAGGGATGGACAGGGCAGAGATGACCGTTTTAGAGGTCGCGGTCTGTAATCCCAAACTCGAGGCGAGTTGGTCTAGTTCCCGATGGTACTGGACATTCTCCTGGACCCGATTGTCGTAACCGCCTGTAAAGTAACCTCAATTAATAGCTGCTCTCCCCATTCAAAAGAAAAGAGACTTACCAGCAATCACCAACCGCGTCCCCCTCCGTTTCGCCTCCCCCAGACCATGATACGCACGAATCGCCAACGCCAAATCCTTCTTCCTCTCGAACCGATTCACACTCAACAAGATCTTCTTCCCACCCCATAACGAACCCTCATCAGTCCCAACAGGCGCACCAGTCTTGATATCGACGCAGGGATAGACAATCCGCACATCACCCAGCTTCTCCGACCCAAAGACCTCGCTCACCACCCCGCGGGTGAAATTCGAGTTCGCAACGACCTTATCCGACGCGCTCATCGCCCACCCTTCAAACCAGTCAAACGGATACCGGTAGAGATTCTTCACAAGACGCAACAGCGAGCCGCCCTCATTCCGCCGCGCAAGCAATTGATCGGGGAAATGGCAGTAGAAGAGGATGCGCTGGCGACCACGGTTGCGCGCCGCGCGCGGGCCGAGCGTTTTCAAAAAGGGCACACAAGCGGGGACCTGGTCGACGATGAAGATGTCGTCTTCGGCATCGCCAGCGCCCTTTGGAGTTCTTTCCGAACCACCCTTGGCTGTCCCGATTTCCCTCAACACCGACACCGTCAGGTGCAATTGTCGCAGAACGGCCATGAACACATGCAGGCGGCCCCCGACATGCGCGGGGAAGAGTGTGTTGCCGCGCACGCGCACGTCGAGCGTGCCGTCGCGCGCTTCTTCGAAACAGTGCGATTTGTCGCGGTGGGAGGTGTAGATGGTGACTTTGTGGCCGCGGGACTGCAGCGCCAGCGCCACGTCGATGATTAGCCGCTCCGCGCCGCCGATTCCCAGGTCTGGGTGGACGATGATGACATTGGAGCGTTTGAGGCGGGCCATGATCGCCTGAGAGACGAGATTGTGCGTCCGAGAGGAAGGGGAGTCATTGCTGCGTGGTTGGGTTTGAGCTTGAGCTTGAAGCCACGGGGGCACGACGTCATGTGATGACGCATCCCTCCACCTTATCTCCAATCTACAGAATATCTCCCGTGCCCTCAACAACCAAAGCATCGTTCTATTACTCTATCAGAACAACTCAAACAAGATCCATCAAATAACAACGTCCCTCTTAACCAGAAACATCCCCTCCCCAGTCACACAAACCCCTTCCTCCTCCGCCTCCGCTTCCTCCTCACCACCAACAACGCTCATCCCACTAATCTTCCCCTGCACATAAATCTTCCTCCCATCCACCCTCCCAACCTCCGCCATCGCAACAACAACCCCCGGAACCCTCACCGGCCTCCGATACCCCACATTCAAATAAGCCGTGACCGCACCGCGTCCCCGATCCAGCTTGCTCGCACGGATCAAAGTCCCCGTAACCTGGTCCAGGACCGTAGCCAGGAACCCGCCGTGCGCGATATCGGGCTGCCCCGCCACGCCGCGGCCGAGGTGGAGGAGGAGGTAGCCTCTCGCTTTCGCGGCGCTGGCCCCATCTGATGTTCTGGATTCATCGGTATGGGTACGAACCGGCTGGTAAAGGAAGACGGATTTGAGGATCCCGTTGTTGGACCGGAGGGTCGAGTGGAAGAGGGCGTCCGGGTTGCGCGGATGGACGACGCTCAGATCTGGTTGGGAGAGGACCTCGGCGCATTTGGGGATGGCGTTGAAGAAGGCGAGGGTTTCGGCTGTAGACGTAGAGATAGAATTAGCGGTAGCTGTCATGGTCACTTCCATCTGGTCTTGTCGAATCAATGTGTTTGAGAGACAGTGTTGTCGGCCGATTAACCGAGCGGAGCGATTTTGTTGAATCTCTGGGAAGCGATGAACTTGTCACGTAGCTAACGGTAGGAAGGCTTCTTTGAGTCAGTTGGTATTGGAAAGCTTTCGATTTTGAGATGCGTAAGAATTTCGAGGACGTGCATCGCCATGCTTCCAACCTTCCCCGGCTTATCTCAATATGGTATTGGTGTATACGAAGAACCGAGGCACCTCCATGCGGAGATCCATATATTCTTGACTATACTAAAAGATGTCTATGGGGACTATTTCACAAATATTGCTTCAGTGGCCTTTCAACTGATTCTATGATACTACAACATTACATACAACAAGGCAAAACTACAAATAACCTCCCAACAGTACCAGTGCGGACAACATAGGACCTATAGACAAAAGCGACCACAGGCCGTACGTTCTTTTATGGCATACGACTTGATAACAGAATATAGCGCAAGAGAGTTGCTGGAGATGTAATCACAGGGTAGACAGAAATGTACAGTATCGACATGGGCAAGAATTACCCAGAAGAAGCGTATGTAATGACTCATGGTGAAAGAAGGCGGCGGAGGCTAGGAGTTATCTGAAGGGAAAAAGAATCGAAATGAAAACAAAAAGGTATCAACGAATCAAGAAGAAGGGGAATCGACGTCGAAGTCATAGTACACAGGGCGGGCTTTGAGCATGGGGAAACGTCACGTCCGAGACACTAAAATTAAACCGAATCCAAGAGACTCAAAAGAGTACGATGGATTAAAAACAATTGAGCGTGCTCTTCTTCTTCTTCTTGTTCAGCGCATTCATCCGCTCTTCAAGCTGGGCTCGAGCAGCCTCGGCTTCGCGGCGGGCATTGCGTTCTTCCTCGACGGCCTGAAGCGAGAGGCGCTGCGAGTTGCGCTCCTTGCGGAGGGTCGTCAACTCCTCCTCCAGTTGCCATGCCTTCTTCTTCCAGGCCTCGCAGTCGGTCTTGACCTTGTTGCTCTGCGCTTCAAGGTCGCCCAGAGCTTCTTCCAACGTGGCAGTCAGTTGCTTCTCCGCATTGAGGTGTTTTTCTATCGTGCGGATACGGGCCTCCTGGTCTTCGACAATCTGCACACTGACCAGTTCTTTGCTGGTGTGGCGAGAGCTTGGAGGAGAGACACTACCGTTGGTGGCAGACGGTATAGTCGGCAGGGGCGGGAGGGGAATGGCAGGTGGCGGCGAGGGAAGAGAGGCTGCCGATGAACTCTTCCGAAGATTCGAGGTCAAAGAGCTGCTGCGGTCATGCGAACCATCCTGACTGGTACCATTCTTGATTTGAAGCTAGGGTCCATTAGTCGGGATCTGATTTCAAAGGCTATCACAGCAGCGCTTACCTCGAGCTGTTCAATCCGCACGCGATAGGTCTCAATCTCTTTCTCATACGTCGCGATCTTGACCTTGGCGTCTTCCAAGGCCTGATCGCGCTCTTGCTGGATGACGGAGAGCCGGTTGTGGTGCTGGTCGAAGCTGTTGGTGATCTGTTCCTCGAGTTCCTCCACCAGACGCAGGCTCTTTTCTTTCTCGGCGGTGATCTCCTCGATGAGCGCATCCTTCTTCTTGACCTGTTCGTCCTTACGCTGAAGGGTATCTTCAAGCGTGGCGACGAGAATGGCAAGCTCGTTCACCTTCGCATCCTTGGCCGCCTCGCGCTGGGTAAGCTCTTCCAACTTGTTGGCCTCGCTGTCCTTAGCTTCGAGCTGCTTGCGAAGATCTTCGTTCGCATCTATCAGCTCGGCATACTTGTCGGAAAAGTGTTGCTTTTGCGTGAGGATATCCTGGATCTGGTCTGCGAGGTTGTCCGCGGTGACATCGGAATGGATCAGTTGCGAAACTACCTTAAGCAGTTGCAACAGCTCATTACGTGATGTCTCAATTTCAGATCTCAGACTCTTCATCGCAGCTTCGTGTTCGGCGCTCTTCTCTGAAATCCGCGAGTCATACTCAGCCTGCGCCGCCGCGGTAGCACGCGCCTCAAGTTCCGCCAATTCCTTCTTGTGTGATTCTTGCAAAGACTCGAGGTCCCTCCTGTGAGAATCAGCAGTCGACTTGTGGAGCTCAACCTCCCGCTCCAGTTCAGACACACGCGACTGGAACCCTTCAACCTCAGTGCTGGTACTGTCATTGGTCGCGACGAGATCTGACAGCTGCCCCTGCGCCGTCTTGTGCGATTGCTCGAGAGAAGCAATCTTCTCGAGATGGGCAGCGGCGGTAGCCTCGTGCTCTTCGATCTTCTTCTTCAAGCTCTCAACCAGCTTTTGCTGCTGTGATCTCTCGATCTCCAGCTCTCTGGCAGCAGCCTCCTTCGCGGCAGAGGTCTCGTCCACAGCAGCACGCTCTGAGCGCATGGCATCTGCAGTTGCCAGGGCCTTATCCAAGTCAGCCAAGGTGGCACTGAGTTGCTGCTCGGAAGCCTGCAAGGATTCAAAGGCGTTCTGATGCTTGCTCTTCCACTCCGCCAATTCGCCTTCAAGGTCGTCGATCTTCTTGTCTTGCTCTTCCGCATGCGCATCTTGGGCTTTGGCAGCTGCCTCCTGAGTCTTCAGAAGATCCTTCAATTCCGCGATCTCGGCGAGCAGCTTCTTTTCACGCGACTCGTGTGCCTCCCTGAGCTCGTTGATCAGGTTCTCCTGCTGGACTACCTGATCGCGCAATTGGGAGACGAGGCCCATGTCGACGGAAGGTGTGCCCCCTTGCAAGCTGGACCTCTCACGGGTGAGGCCAGAAATGATCGTCGCCTTCATCTCCATTTCTTTCTTTACGCTCTGGTTTTCTGCCTCCAAGGACTGGATTCGTTCCATGCGCGAGTGCAGCTCATGCATCGCCGAGTCAAGATGAACCTCGAAGTTCTGCATTGTGTCGGGCTGGCCTTCGAATTGTTCTACTGCGATGTTCCTCAGAGCAGCAAGGGAGCGATGCGCACGATCCACCGTCGACATGAGGCTCTGGCTGGTTTTCCTTCGGATGACATTCGACTTGAAGCCCGGGGTTGTTGGCGGGGAGGCAGATTTGGATTTTTGAAGCTCCACTTTGAGCGTCTCTACCAGAGCAAGGGCACCTTCATGCTCGGCCTGCAGCTCGGCATACTTTTGGGTCATAAGGTGAACACCTTCCTGGTGCTCAGAGAGCAGCTGACGCATGTGCTCCATTTCAAGGGAGTTCGTCTCACTTTGGGACGCCTGCGAGTCCTCATGAATTTCTGAGGCGGGCTCAGAATGGCCGTTAGAGGGTTCTTGCGAAGCAGCAGGCTCCCCGACCAAGGAAAATTCCGAGGAGAGTGATTGCGAGAACGAGTGTTGTTTTCCACTCTTCGAGTCGGGGGCCTTCGCATCCTCTAAAAAAGACACCGGTCGAGAGGCTGTGACTGGGGAAACGAGTCCCTGGACGGCAGAAGCCGGATGGCGCGCTTCGTCCGCAGCGTCCTGTTTCAGTTCGGCTAAAGCCCTGATTGCCTCTTCATATTTGGCCTCCAGCAGTTCATATTGGTTCACGGTGTTCTCGTGCTGCAGGCGCAGGTCGAAGAGCTCTTGGGAGACGGTCTCAAGCTTATCAGCAACGATCTTCGACTCGGTAAGGCTAGGTGTCTGGGCTCGAGGCTCTGCATTGGGTTCGGACTCTAAACGGCTTGTTACCCTTTCCAAAACCTCCAAATCAGAGCCATTAACCTGGGCAGCTGTCGCCGCTTCGCCGCTTGATTCTTCTTCAATGTCTGGAACCGTTTCTCCGAGATCCTCATCTGATTCAGGAATCGCCGTTTCGGCTGCTTCAGTCAAAACTTCTAAAGTGGTGGCCCTCTGGCGGGAATTGCGGGTGCTCTTCAAGGCAGCAGAAGGAGACTCGGGTTCTTCCTCGATTTCCTCGTGATTGGCGCCATTCTGGTGGATGTGGTCCAACTCATGGAGAAGGCTATCGAGTTTGCCGAGACTCCGCTGACGCTCGATCACATGTTCCAAGCGCTCAACCTCTCGCTGCATAAGCTCCATGTCTTGGTCGGCTTCCGCGAGCCGCTCCTCCAATGTCGAAATGTATTCTTCGCATCCCGCTTCGCTTTCGCGCGCACGGCTGAGTTCTTTGCGTAGCTCCGCAATGATAGCGGTGTATTTCTCCTCGCCCGAAGACTGGCCATCAAGCCGAGACTCCAGCTCGTGCAGATAGGTTTCCGTGCTGGTCTCACGGTCCACAAATTTCTGGATGCGCGCTTGCAGTTGGGCATTGACAGTCTCGACATAGGCGCATTTGGTCTCACGTTCCAAAAGAGTGCTCTCGGTCACCGCCAAGGAGGAGCGTGTGTTGGATAAGGAGGATTCAAGGCTTTGAATGGTCTTTTCATACTCAAGAACGACCTGTTCGACGGATTGGGCAAAAGAGTGAGACCGCTTCAGTCGCTCAACAGAGCTCTTGCCAACAGCCGAGGCAACGTCATCTGCCTCTCCATTGGCAGAGTGCTCCGAATCGCGAGCGAGTTCGGAAATGAGTTTGGCATGGCGTTGACTCAGCGCGTTATAACTCTCTTGTACGTCAAGCAGTTGGTTCTGAAGCTCCTTCTCCCTCTCATTCTGACGCTCAGCCCTCTCTTGCGGTGCAGCACCTCGTCGGTCATTGTCCTCGGCGATACGGATCTGTTGTCTCAGGAAAGCAACTTCCGCCTTGAGCCTCTCAATCACTGCATGCTTGTCGCTTTCGTCGGCAATATGCTGGATCTGTGGCTTGCTCTGGATAGCCCTCGCTCTCTGGGCATATTGGACAGTGTTCAGAGTTTCACTGAGGTGGAATTCCGCAGGCGTAACACAAGCAATCATATATGTATAAGCATTGCCGCCGAGGGAATCTTGGAGTAGTCGGGTGAGCTTCGAATCGCGGTAGGAGACATGAGCGCCCGATTGACGGGAAGAAAGCTGAGAGATGACCTTGCCCAGGGCGGCTAGACCAGCGTTGATGGATATACCCTCTCTTGCGCGTTCCCCGGAAGCACCGGTGTTCTTCAGCCGCTCGCTTCCTGCCAGATCCACAAAGTGCAGTTTGCTGTCGACCGTGACGGAAGCATCCGAGCCGGAAAGTACCTCGACCGGCATGGACATCCGTTTCTCTCTAGGAGATGTAATTGAGGTTGTTGATTTACGTTGGACAAGATTTAGACTGAAGACTGCGTGGGATCGGGAGGACTTTGCGTTGATCGCGGTGGAATCAGTCTGGCGAATCGAGGAACCGAAGCTCAGGGCGTTCATCAGATCCTCGAATGAATTGATATTGACTTGGTGCAGTCCAGTCAGAATGATGCGACCTTTGGCATCCTCGCGAATCGTTACCGAGCCGCGATCACTCATAGGTGTTGATTCAGGGAGGAGAAGATCTCGCAATTGCTCGTTATAGATCTGCAGATGGCATGTTAGCGAACATCTTCAACTGCCAAACTCAAAATCGGACTCAAGGTGCGTCGTACTTCCACATAGCTGGCTTTCAATTGCCAGTTCTTTTCGGCAGTTGCCCGCCCGAAACTGGAAGTAGAGCTGATCGAGTATCGCGCCGGTGTGCGAAGACCAGTCGAACTGTTGCGATGATGCTTAGCCGGGCCGTCCAGTTTCTCAAATAGGAGTTGAGCCGCGCGAGGGATGATTCCTAGCAATAGTATTAGCTGGGATATTCTGAATGAGATAAATGCGACGCAACCGAGACTAACCCATTGACTGTGTGTCGTGTTGCTCGCTGGGGCCAGACGTTCCCATGGTGTATGATTTGCCGGCGCCCGACTGGCCGTAGGCCAAAATGGAAACATTGTAGCCTTGGACAAACGAGCTCACGCTGTCGCTAAGATATTCCCATATGCCATTCTGATCCGTAGTTTCAGGAAAGACTCGATCAAACACGAACAACTTCCGACCTTGTGGGACATCGACCGCGAGACTCGTCGGCGACATGACATGAACCATAGATCGCTGGAAACGTTGCGGAACCAATTCGTACCCAGGATCGGCGGGCTTTAGCGGGGGTCGTACCCGGACCGCTGTAATCATATCAGCTTGCTGTTTCGGAAGAATGACCTCCCTTGTTCCTCGCAGCTTTCCATGGTCGGGGCCAAGTCCGCAGAAAACATACCGACTTTGACCGCTGTCTTCCCATCCTCGTCAGACGCCCGACTTCCTCCACCAAGTTTACTGCTCATACTCAAACGGCTGTTACTCCGCGGGGTCCGCATGATACCACTGAAAGGCCGCTGCGGCGTAGCCGTGGGCGAACCGGGAGGCGAGACCGTCATGTCCTTTTACGGTGCTGGACTGCGATGCGCGATTGACGTCAGGCAAAAGAAGGATCGACTCGAACGCAATGGTTGAGTTGTCAGAAAGCGGACAGAGAGGGAGTCATGAGTCGTAATCGTTGAGCGGTCCAATTATGATTCGTTGGCGTGTTGTTTTGTCGTTTCGTTGCTGAGCTGGCCGGGCTGCTTTTTCGTCTGAAATGCGCGCGATTTGGCGTCCTGCGGCAATCGGCGACGTTGATGATAATTCTCTATGTGCAGTGAAAGCAGAAGGAAGGAATTGTGATGAGTTCTGTGAATAATGAGAGATGGATAAGAATTAGTTTTGGATGGAAACCCCTGAAGGACATGGAAGCCAATAATTCAATAGAGTTTGGGGTGCCGGACGATGCGCACGCCGCAGGACAGACAAAGAGGCATACATACACAAAACTTGAGACAGGCCCAAGGAGTGAGGGAGTCGCAGAATGAGGATAAGAATGAGCGAAAAGGAAAAGGTAGCCTCCCTACAGAGCGAGAAAGGAGTGGAAAGGAAGGGAGGAAAGGAAGAAGCCTCCGTGCCAGGTCCGGGGATAGCCAACAGCAGTAGCTGGCTAGTTGCTAGCGATAATCCAATGTTATTGTGGTGTGGTAAGGTACCGCTGTAGGGGCCAGCACTGAACTCCTGAAAAGAGCCGGCAGAGGAGGCACTAGACACTAGGTAGACTAGACAACCTCTTTAGACAGTTAGCCGACCTACTAAGTAGGTGCTAACGCCTATTGAAGTAGTGCAATAATCCTAGACCGAGACGAGTCAAGACTTTGTGCTGGAGGACTGGAAAGGTTTGCAGCGAACAGAACTGACGGATGAATCTTACCAGGATGGGTTAGAGGTGTGTATTGTGATTATTCCCGTCTCAAACACCAGGGCGAGACTGGCAGCCACCTCGATATTAAACAAGGGACACCATTCGGTTCAACCTCTATCAATTACATCAAATATTCAAACCTGTGATCTACAATTATCATGGACGTTCGTTGAAGAAGAAAAGAAGTCATCAAGGAGAGGAGTTGGCACTTTCGTCCGAAATACACCGGTGGTAATACCTCGTCTTTGAACTTACGACTACAGGAGGACGCCAGGGGAAAACCAGCGGGGCCTAGACTAGATAGACCTAGACTGGCTTAAAGAATTAAAGAACGACTGGGGGAGGGCATTTTTCATATGAGCCATCGTCTCAAACATCAGCGTGAGCACTCGTACGCAGATCAATTTATCAACTGGCTCAGACAAGATACTCTGTAGTCCGAACACAACTCCTGTTCCTGGATCGGGTCAACAACAGTGCACTACTACCTTACTGTCAACCACGGCTTCCCGCATGCCCGGAATGAGGTTCCACGGTTTGCTACAGTGGAGTACTGTGGACACTCGATAAATGAATCCAGGAACCAGAAGCTTTGTCATGCTGAGATCGGATAACTAACCATCCGCTTGTTTGCCGGGGATGCAAATGTCAAGTGTAATCGATGCATAAAGTTCGTTTGACATTATGGCTAGCTCATGGAACGACCTCGACAAACGTGAGCGATTACTCGACAGTCGAAGAACCGTTCGTTCCATTTATTGATAATCAAGCATGGAATAGAGCCCATGACCCATGTATACTAGACTTACTAGTATCCAGTTATCCACATGTCCTCGCATGTACCTGAATCTGTCACTGGGAAATGAATTAGATGGTGACACCATCGGTGATTCAAGTGCTGTCAAGTGGGTCCAGCCTGCAGGCTTGGTACTTGTGCCATTGACCAGGAGTCAGGGATCGAGAGGTCTGAGGTCTAAGATCAGAAAATGCACATTGCAGTCTGCAATATCAATAGTTAATTGATTTTGATATCAACCTATCGAGTCAGCGTTAGAAGAGTTAGAGATCCTCCGACTTCTGATCCTACAAACGACGGTCTTAATATGCAAGATCTTCGCAACAAATCATACCGAAAGATCAATTCATCTTGCGTGGAAATTCCCGACGCAAAAGCAATATGTCCAGGATGAGAGAATTCTCGTCCAATAGAGAGGTATGTTTCATGGAACATTGTTGCCTCAATGCCTGAGGCTCATCATACCCCTGATCAGTTCATGATCTCTGCATGTGCGTTACATGAAACAAGCACAAGTAGCTTATGTATAGTAGCCTACTGATTTTTGAAAATAAATCCAAAAGATCTGATGATAACAATTGACTGGAATAGTAAGTACTCCCGACCTCATGCTTTACAAAGTAAATTTCGATCGCCGAGTCACATTTGCTAACAAACGGGTTGCAAGACGAAAGGAGAAACCAAAATTGACCATCATGTACCTAGAGAGCTGAGATCTACTGCCACGAGGTTCATGTTGAATGGGTGAGAAGGATTCATTATTATTATGATCAACCAGACATGTAGACACAGTCTTACTAATGAACATAATCAGATAGAACGCTTGAACAGTGTCTTTACCTAGCTATCCTCTTCTCATCTAGTCTATCGACATGTCAAAGAGATTCTTCATTCATCTGTTGTGTTTCAAGAGTCCCACTAGTGTCATCAACACAAAGTCAAGTCCTTGCGATAGATATCCCACAGACAGAAAGTATCCTCATGCTCTCTAACTTCCTTTTCAGTAACACAACACAACAAGTGCCCGCGAGTCCCCGATCAGCCCAGTCCAGTGAGAGCAGTATAAAAGACTGACGCGGAGCCATCCCCCTGTTAAGAAAAGCTGATGAGACATCTGTAAACTAGAAGTTCAAGCTCTCCATCCCCTTACCATTCCAACAATCCGGCCAATGATTTCGTAGCGCTCAGAAGATCCATCGTCTCCATCTTTTGGCGAGAACAGCTCGAAATCATCCCCACGAGAAAGCACCCCGCGCCGACTGGGTTCGCCGAGCCTGAACATCAAGCAAGCACAGTATGCGATTGCAGCTAAGCAGGGAATACCCGTACATGAAGAATGGGAAAACAGTGGTACGGGGAACTCACGAATCTCCCGCTTGGCAATCTCCATGCTGTCAGGGATTATCCAGATCTCTCAAGCAGGCGTCGAATTTAGAAGCAGAAGCCATCGCCTCACTCGGAAAGCTGCATTGGATCTGAATCTGGCTCGTCGGACATCCTGATAGAAAGCAAGGGGCTCCATTGCGATACTGCTACTCGGATCCCGGATCGCAATGCAGATACCTGATAATATTGACTTTGACAGTCCTGCAACTCGGCAAGATCCCTGTTGTATGCAAGGACTCGATGCCGAATTATCAATGCGTCGTTACACCAGATGTATTATTGATCGTTCGATTAGGATCGGCGGATCCTCCGAATGGTCTACCCTAGATTGAAGTGACCATTCTACAATGATGGATGTATCAACACAGTACTGTACTCAACGCCAATTTGATATTGTAAGAGATAACCAGTACATTGTAGGTAGGCAGTAATCGAACATCGTCTGTGGCTGGAATTAGGTTTCTGCAGTTTGCTTTCCGACGCAAGGGGCTGCTAGGCACAGATGTGAGGTATCAAGGTCTGGATTGATAAGCGAAACGGCGAGTGAGCTGTATGTACTTTTCTGAAAACGAGATCTGGCCTTGAGAAGAAAATGAAATTCAAATCCTAGCCTTCGTAGAAATGGAGTATTCCATCTCTGACTATGTTTGACGATATATTGAAAAGAATAACAGCTCCCAGCCTTATGCTAGGGACAGTTTATATCTGCATATATATGCTTCAGCTAGATATATATAGCATTAGTCTTCAAAGGTCCTGCTGCTATTCGCCACCTACAACTCATGTCCCTTGGAAATAGACAATGGTCCCTTCTTGACCATGATGGTAAGAACCTCGTAAAGCACATCCGCAGCGGCCCTATAAAGACACGGTCAATCCCCAACTCAAAGAAAAAAAAAAAAAAAAGAAGGGAACATACATGGTAGAAAGCTCTGCGTTTGTATCATAAGCTGGAGCAACCTCGACGATATCCGCACCGATGAAGTTGAGGCCGTCAAGGCCACGGATGATAGTGCGCAGTTCACGGGTCGACCAACCTCCAGTCTCCGGGGTTCCGGTTGCAGGTGCAACTGTCTGTCGTCAGAAGAGTCATGCTTGAAAGTCGCGGCAGAAACTCACAAGCAGGGTCAAGAGTATCGATATCTATGGAAAGATAGACGGGGTTCTCGGTGCCAACTCGGTCTCTGATCTTCTTGATGATGCCTTCGGTCCCTGCTGGCATGTCAGCATTATTGCTCACTCACATCACTCGTTGGAGTCTAACCGATGGTGTCAATTTCACGCGCCTCAACGATCTCGAAGCCGCAATACCCGTCGTTCTCATAGTCAGACGGCCCAGAAAGGGTCGTCCGGATGCCAGCATGGATGTTGGTGTCGTTCTTCAGGAGACCTTCCATGGCAGCATGGTAGAAGTAGGTTCCGTGATTGATAGCAGCAACCTGACTAGGCGAACCCCCAAAGACCTTGGGCTTCCATGTGTCCCTGGAGACCTGTCAATCCTGAATTCTGTCGTTCGTCATGGACGTGAACCTACAGATGGCTGTCAAAATGAATCACAGTCACGGGCCCGTAAGCCTTATTGATACTACGCAGCAATGGCAGTGTGATGGTATGATCACCACCCAGGGTGATGATCCGTGGCAAAGTCTTTCCGGCCCTGGACAATCCTTCAGCATCCGCATCGGTGAAAGGCTTGCGCATGAGCAAGCTGTTGTGTCCTTCTTCGATCTGCTGAATGGCCCAAGCATTGTCGTACCTAGTCCGTTATTTAGCACAGTCATGACATCGTTGATTGATTGGAGACATACGATGTCACAGGAATATCACCACAATCCAAAACCTTCAGCTCACTAACGAAAGGGTTCGCTTCCAATGGCACATTATAGCCACCGCTAAATCCCAATTTGCGTGAGCCTTGTCAAAGCCGCCATTGTAAGCATGAGTAGTCATTATCAAAACGTACTAGAGATTAAGACGGCGGGAACCTTGTCTGATGCCACTCGGGCCGAATCTTGCACCAGGTCTGTATGAGGTGCCAGTATCGAAGGGAGCGCCTGGGGCTGTGAGCACTCCTCAAAGGTTGCCAGTGTGACAGATCCAAACTCACCGATAAATGCGATATCGTATTTCTCTGCCTCACTGGAGAGACAAGGAAAGTAAGGCAGACGACCGAAAGTGGAGATGCCGGAGAAGACGGAGTCTGCCTGAGTACCACCATCACCTGGAATAGTATTGTACCACAGACTTTGATGCGGACCAGCGATGGCCTTTTGCCGATGATCGCTATGCGCGGATGCAATTGCAGAAAGTGCTAAAAGACTCAACGTGGAGGTGATCATGTTGCAGTACTGACGGGACTATATTCAAGGATGTTATGGTTGAGAAAGATACCATAGGCTACGAAAGGGCGCTGGATATATTTATGACCACAAGTAGTCCCAGTATATAGCTGTAAGATCTGCAACCCTTTCTGTCTATTGCGTGTATGATCTCGCAGATAGTTGAAATCCGCGGAGTCGAAGATAGGTGGAGAGCAAGATCGATTCAGCTGAGTGCTCCGATTTCGCAACAAAGTCAATTTTGCAATCATTGGAAGATATTCTGGGTGAGATATCATCTCTCTAGACAACTTCCTATATCGAACAAACAAAGTCAATTCGAGCTTCAGATCCTATCGCCAACAGAGTTAATTGTCGAGGATTCAGGGCTCAGTGGGCCAGACTCACAACGGCAACCTGCTAACCGATTGCTTGTGCTTCTGCACTTGATCAAATCGAGATAATAGCAGGAGAACTATTGCTCAAGCAGGTAGAATCCGTATCAGAATACGCCGATGTGGGCAGAGAAGCAGCAGTGACATCAGGACCGTTGGCATAAGCCTCGCCTGGGTGGATGGTGGGGAAAGCAATATGCAATCTAGCCATGTTATCTTAGATCCCATTCCCAGAAAGGAAGGCCGGAAGAGAATGAAGACAAGATTCCAGAAATATCAGCGAAGCAAAAGTGAAACAAGGACGAATTGAGAGCTGGGAGTTCTTATCAGTTGTTTCTGGTGGCTTATCTCAAGCTATCTTGAAGTGTGGGGTTGCCACGGATAACAGTCAACCCTATTTCAACATATCAACTATGAACAAACATCATCGTCTTAGATTACTCCGTGGGAGAAAGCTAAGATGCACCATGCATGATGAATTGGCATTGCATGTGGATACTCTTTGATTCCGGGGAAGCATAGCATCTACTGGTCTCGTCATGCTTCTTCTCAATCGTCCTTCCTTTTTAGGCCATCGAAAGTGAACAGCTCTCTGGTCATGGTCGTGATATGGTCCTTTTCGAATGATGACACAAAGTAAAAGAAGAAAAGAGTACTAGTAATAGTGTGCCCTTATCTTCTTAATCTTGCCAAGTAACGTCTGCCGACATGTGGCGCGAAGATGCTGTGATCTACAGATTCAGATGGTGGGAGAGTCTGGAGCACTGGTACCCTTTTGCTTGCCTCAGGCTCAAAGCTCCTGGTGCTCTTCTGCCTCGTCCCTCAACCACCTTTGTAAGCGACCAACTACACAACAGATGAGTCCCTATTGTGTCATTCTCATACTGCAGCGGTCCTATTCTGCGTAGATTCTGTTGGAGAATTCTGCCTCAGCTCTCTATGCACCTTTCATCGTAGGTAGCTGCAGACTAAGGGTCCCGGTTCGAATTGAACAGTCCTCGCAGCCAATTGAAGAGGCTTGAGGAGACTGGGCGGAATGACTGAGGCAGGCGCATTTGTCTCATTTTGCTTCTTTGATATTATGTACTCTATTTTTGATCTATTCTTCTAATCAGAGAAGTTGTCTTCTTTAATTGTCCACTATTCTGTAATAGACCCCGTCTCGAGACGCTCATGCACATCCATCCGCTGAAAGGCCTTTTCCACCTCCGTATCCCAATCGCTAAAAGCCACAATTAACCACTCCAACACTCCGACAATATAAAGCGCAATACATTGTCCCACCCATAGTCCCTTCAGCCCCCACCCATGGAACGCAAGCCAAATTCCCAGAGGCAACGCGCCGCAGTAATAGCTGACCATGTTCACCATAGCGCCCACATGCTGCCGGCCCATACCTCGCAGACTCCCCCCACAGCTCCCGTTCAACCCATCTGCAATCTGGAACAGAGCAACATATGGCAACACCTCGGCCGTCAGACGCACCACCCCTTGGTCGTCGTTGAAGATCTTGGCAAAGTCGTTCCGCGTACCCATAAGCACGGCCAACACCACCCCACCAAGCAGCATACTCAAACACGCAGCCGTATTCGCAGCGCGAGCTGCACCACCCGCGTTCCTAGCTCCGAGAAGATTGCCCACGCGCGCTGATGTGGCAACGCCCACACCAAACGGGATGGTATTGAGGACCTGGTCCGCGGTCATGATCACGCTCTGAGCAGCTAGCGGGATTGTCCCCAGGCGGCCGGCGGCGAGGGCGACGATCTCGAACGCCCACCACTCCGTGCCGACGTGAATGACGCCTAGGAAGGCGAGACGGGCAAATGTTCCGAGGTTGTTGAAGGCTTCTCGCGACCAGCCGCCCCAGCATTCGGAGCCGGCGATGAACCGTGCATAGAGGACGAGGAGGGCAAAGGATAACCAGTACGATATACCTGTTGCAAAGGGAGCGCCTAGCAGACCCATTTTAAAAGTGTAGCAGAAGAGGTAGTTCAAGAAGGCGTTGAAGGGGGAGGTGATCAGGAGGACGTAGGTTCCAGGCCGCATGATTCCTATGACGGTCGATGGTCAGCGGGAAACTTAGCAAAGAAAAGGAAGAGGTAATACCTTGAGCTTGCAGATACTTCTTCATGACCTCGAAATAGATGTACCCCAAACCTCCGGGAATCAAACACGTGAGAAACCGTGCACTGTCTCTCGAGAGAACTGGATCCTGACCCAAGAAAAGAAAAACATGCTCAGAACAAGCCCAAAGAATAGCAACGGGGATATAGAAAAGACCGAGCACGAAAAATCCCCGCTGCAGCAGGATCCCTAGATCATGCTTGTTCGAGCTCCCCGTGAACGAAGTCGAGGCCAGCGTATCCAATGCGGTCGTGCCTCCCAGCGCAATCATCCACGCTGTAATCATGGCGAACATGAGGGAGAAGGCGGAAGTAGCGAGGTGCTCCGGCGATAAGCGTCCGACGATTAGAACGGATGAGGTTTGTAGACTGTTTTGGAGTGTATAGGCTAGGATTACGGGGATTGATCCCTTGAGTAGGTGCCAGAATTCTGCGATGACAAGGCGTCGGTTGGAGACATCATCCTCGCCAGCAAAGGTCGTTTCGCCGTTCAGGTGCCGTGGGCTGTCAATGTCCGTTGGCTTCGGGAGGAGAGAAGTATACTCGGTTGGATTGTCTCCATCTGCGAAGGAGTTACTCCTGCGAGTCGGATCAAGCGCGTTGGGCATTTTGTCGATGACGAGAGAAGGGTCATATATAGGATGCATAGGACAACATCAGGGAGTAGTCTCTATATCAAATATACACGATATGCCAAAAGCGAGAAGCTGACAACTTGGGTTGGCAGTAAGCGTCTTTGAATAGATCAAAAGACCCAATCACCGGTGGTGTGTAAGCCTCTATCAAACAGCCAACCCAGTGGATCTGCGTTAGATCAGTTTTCTATCGCCAGTCTTGCATTTTTCTTTATGGTCACTTTTCTCTCTCCATCTCGTTATCCCAAGCACCCACGAAAAGCGCATCTATGCTATCTCAATGACCGGTGGGTCGTTCCAACCGGCCCAAGAGGAAAGTCAAGCATGGGCTCGACGACTGAACCGTCTATGACAGGCTTACTCTGACTTGCATGGCCCACACAGTACGGAGTAGAGGATAGTCCAATGCAAGGAATTCAGCCTGATGGACCATTGCAAGCAGTCTGGCCTTTCCTGCATCAGATAGTCCGATCACGGAGCCCTTATCAATGCTGGCCGCCACTTGATGCAAGTAGTCGTGGAGGCGAGAACGAGACAACAATTCGAGTACTAAATGGACAGTCTGCCTCTCCAAATATTGACCCAAATGGGAAGGTGATCTGTAACTCCATTTAAGAGTAGCGAGAAAAGGAAAAAGAGCCAAGTGGTCGATTGGCCTCGGAGAAACAGTTACAGAGCCCTTATCAGTACAGTATGTCGCCCCCGCGATTGATAATGACCCCTGATGGTGCTCAGGGTCTGGACAGTCGAAGCATATTTTTTTCGGCTACAAAGCAATCCTATATTTTCTGGAATAGATGCATCTGGACGGGCGATAGCAGTTATTGGCTCTGTTGACGAGAATATCGCCAAGAGGTCATTGGAGAATAAGTCAAACTGGTTGCAAGGGCTCTAGACCAGAAGAGACGACGTCAAAGGCTCGTCAATTTCATGACAGAATACAATTTTTGATACTGACGGTCATCGATCGATCTTCTCTTATCAATTATCTGCAACTGATAACTGGCAAGAAAGTTTCTCGTTGCTTGTGGAATTAATCAGACGCCACTCATCCAGGCTTGTTGCAGGCAGTGCCGCAGTGGTCTAGTAAAGTTCATCGACAGCCCTAGAATTAAGAAGTGCAAAGCCATGTTGCGCCACTGAAGCCCTAATAACAATTTGAGAAAGATGGATATCCAACGAGCCGTGATATGCTTATCACTTACGCAGTCTTAGTCAAGCTTTAGACTTAGCAGTTGATCGCCGGAAGTGTACCCCAGACACAACACGCACAGATAAGGAAGTTCTCCTGCTTTCTGATATCAAGTCAGCTTTTGATTTGACAATGGATTGAACGAGCTATATACCTGTAAGTTCAGATACTTTGGCCTTTAAGGCTCTTCCATTCCATGGTGTGGCTGTAGATAGACCTTTTTATACCTTGGAATGCCGAATCACTGGCATGAGAGAAATACTACAGATCCATCAACAAGACACTCACTTGAGATCGAATGTTCCCGCGTATACCATGGAAAAAGAACAGATCAAAGCTGATCTAGAGAATGCGCAGAGAGTCAGTGCGATTGATGAGAAGCAGTCTGTTCCAATTGAGCTGGGAGTCTTCGGCGAGACCACCATAGAGCAAAATGGAATCAAGATACATCCACAACCAACTTCAGATCCCTTAGATCCGCTGAACTGGTCAAGACTTGAGAAGCATACCATCTTGGGAATCGTCATGTTCAAGTCAGTCCTCGCATAGCTCAATATATCAGTCAGCCATTGCTAATATATGATCGAAGATATTTCCTATTCACTTACATCACAACGACAACAGTCCCTTCATTTCCCGACCTCCAATCTCAGTTCAATATCAGCTACTCGGAAGTCAATTGGACTGTGGCGATTCCTGCCCTAGGTCTGGCAGTCGGGCCCCTTTTTTGGACTTCGTTCAGTGATATATACGGCCGTCGGACCATTTTCATTATCGGGACGGTCATTGCTCTCGCGTCGACAATCGGTGTAGCAGTGGCAGGCAATTATAGCGGATACATGGCTGGTCGATTCTTCCAGGGTTTCGGGGTTAGCCCAGCGGCGACGGTTGGAATGGCAGTTGGTAGGTACCACATCTGCATCATCTTAATCAACAGTGACGGAGGTACTGACTCAATGTTCAAAGTCAATGATCTTTTCTTTGACTATGAACGAGGACAGAAACTTGGCTTGTGGGTTCTGGCGATTGACTCCGGGCTCTTGCTGGGCCCAACTTGTGAGTGATTCAACTAATCCTCCCCATCGCACATACTAAGGCTTCTTAGTCGGTGGCTTCTTGAATGTAGTGAGTGCAGCATGGATAAACTGGTTCAACGCCATCCTCTTCGCCGCACTGCTGGTTCTCGAACTCCTCCTCATGCCCGAAACCCTGTATCCACGTACAACTATGCTACAGCGCATGCCGCGGGAAGGCCATAAACTTCCGACCTCTTCAGATATCGAACAAAGCCCGGCTGGCGAGAATCCTGTGAGCATGGTATCAGCAGCCGAACCTGTCATCCCAAGAACAAAAGAACTCGGCTTCTTCAACATCCGACCTATTCCCGGCATGCGGCATCCCAAACCATGGGACTCCGTCGTTCGCTTTGCCCTCACTTTCCGATGTCCCGTCGTCGTTCTCAGCGTTATCGGATACTGTTTCTTGTGGTATTGGTGGATTTTGTCGGTCATCACGATGGTGCCTGCTGCGTACGCCTCGTACACGCCTTTGATTCAAGGACTGCTGTTTCTTGGGTTGTTTCTGGGGACAGTAACCTCAGAGATCTGTTGCTCAGGTAGACTGAGCGACTATATCGTTGAGAGATTGGCGAAGAGGAACGGTAGCCTGCGTGTCGCGGAGATGCGGTTGTGGCTGGTCTATCCTGCTATCCTCATCACAACTGGTCAGTTGAATGCTTCGTTCAGCTTGCGCAGATGGGCTAACCTGGATGTCAGTTGGACTTATCGTCTGGGGTGTCAGCATTGACAAGAACTACCACTGGATGGTTGGTCAAGTCGCGTTCTTCCTATGTAAGTTTGACCAGCTCATCGAGTGAGGAATCCACAACTCACAGTCCTCAGTCGCTGCCGGAGTCCAGATCGGAAACACTGTCACAAGCAGCTACATCATCGATAGCTATCCCCTTCAGTCAACGAGCGTGATCAACTTCTATGCCGTCTTCCTCAACTTGAGTGCCTTTATCAATCCAGTATGTTCCTTTGAATAACAAATCGTTGATTGCTGAGATGGTAGCTGACTTGACATCTTCAGTTCTTCATTGCGCAATGGCAGGCTACGGCAGGATACACATGGACATTTACCACGCAGGCTCTGATTGTTGTGGTTGCTGGAACGGCTGTGTTTGCATTATTGCACAGGTTTGGGGCGTCAATGCGGAAGAAGTCACCAGTGCCATCATGGGTGAATCCTGAGTTCGACTCAGGGAGTTGACCTGTAATTAGATGGTGCTGTCGGAAGTTTCCTACTATGTACTTTCGAGAGCATAAGATGTACATGAGCTAATCCTTCGTTCCACTACTTTGAACCGCTCACTCTCGTAGACAATCTTGTTTTCCATTGCCTTGCATGGGCTTCGTTTTTCAGTTGTCGCTGAATCCCTAGAGATGATACCCATGCTCTAGACCCCTGTGTGTGGCCATATTGATCAAAGACTCAAATTGTCTGTCATTATGTCCTGATTGCTTCAGGCCACTGTCACAGCAATCATGACCAAGCTGTTTGACTCTCTTTATTCACTGTCTTTCAGTGCCACACAGCCTATTTGTCCCTGAATCTGCTAGATATTCAATGACAACAGTGGATTCACTACCAAGAGGCGTTGCCTTTGTTCAACTCCACCTTCTGGTCTATAAATCCCCTCAGTTCCCCGGCTAAGTCAACGATTCTCATCTTCCTCTCGCCATCGAACTTTTTTCGCCTGTTTCTTAAGTCTTCCTTCAATATGGAGACACTCAGGACTGGCGACCATGGCCCTGGAATATCCCTATTCAGCACAACTCGCGAAGTTTGTGCATGAACCCTTTCGACAAGGTTACCTCGCCAAGCAACCCTTTCTCGTGTCTACCCAGCTGAGCAGGGTCGGGAGTACCGAGGCCCATTTGTCCCTGGCAACTTCAGGCAGAGAGTGAACACCTGTGTTGTAATTCTCTTACAGTGGATCACCGCGTTGTGCATTTCACGAGCCTTTCCACTCTTCAGAATTTGGCACGGGTTGTCCTGTCGAGACTCGAAGCCAACAATAAGAGGAAACTGGCGTAGGATGGAGAGAGTGGAAAATATGTTTCTGCTACGCTTGGTCCGACCACACTGAAATGGTGGGTGTTCCTCAGGCTCTTTGGCCTTTGCAAGCTAGAATCTTGCAGATACCTGAAGACTGACTCTCTCATCTCCCGCAGGCGCTCGTCATATTTGGGACTTTGCAGGCTGAGACGAACGACAATACCTAGTTAGCGGTATTCACACAGTCGTCATTTCAACCTGTGGAGAAAAATATCACACTGGGAGCAGAACACGTCATTATACAGATGCAAAGGCATGGTCTCGTCTCGACCTAATCCACAACCTCTCCATCTCAGATTCCTACTTGGGTGGTCAGTTCAGTACGCTCGAGCTCCAGCATTTTTTACGACAGTTCAAACCAGAGCCTCGGCAGCGGGTGGCAGAAGAGTACGTCAAGCAGATATGCTCATAACCCGAATTGTCCCGCGAGAACAGCCAGAAAGCAAGTATTCCTACGGACTTCAAAGTGCCGTCCTCGTCACGAACGCGCCTCTAGATACTCTATACTGGCATGAGGTAAGCTTTGCGCCCATTTCATCGGCGAGGAACGAAGAAGTCCATGGGGAAAACCAGCATCCAAGACGGACAGTTTTGGCATTATCCCAATATGCAATAGATTCTGGCCCCGGTGCTCCAGCATGCTACTGTAATGCCGAAGGTATATGTGGGCGAGGAACTAAGAAGTCCATGGGGAAAACCAGCATCCAAGACGGACAGTTTTGGCATTATCCCAATATGCAATAGATTCTGGCCCCGGTGCTCCAGCATGCTACTGTAATGCCGAAGGCATATGTGGATGCGGAAACCTAAATGAAGACATCTTACCTTTCGTGGGCACTCCTAGCCTTGCTCATTCTACTACAATGACAATAGCCGTCACACTCCAGTGAAGCAGATCCGGACTCAGACTGACATGCCACCGTCACTGACCCCATGCCCATCACCACTCCTGGTATGGCCACCATTCTGTTCAACCGCTGTTGGACGTCTAAAACTGGCTGGCATCAGCTAGATGACGGTCTTGAGCCAAAGCCGATCCCTGTTCAAGATCTATCCGACATTCCTAGTGCAATACGCAGGATCCTTGACCATGAACCGCAGACGGTCCTTGATCATCCTTTTCAGCGCAAGATTGCAACCTTGCGTGACATGGGACAATTCGGCGCGCGACAACGCCAACTACTCCTCTCCAACGACATCTTCACCCTCCCACTAATGAATATGTACGAGGGTATGTCGGGTGGGCCCCCTAACGCGCCAAGTGCAGTTACCTTCAACGTAAAGCAACAGGAGGCATTCCGCGCGGTACAGAGCCTTGATGGAAGCATCTCACAACTCACCTTCCTGCACCCACTCAATTATGCTCACATACATGTCACATGCTTCCGTCATAACTTACGGCATTTTTTTTGCACAGGAAATAAGACGGGTGTCCAACCATGTGTTCCATGGAGGAGCATATATGCAAAATGCCGAGGACGCGTGATATCCAGATAGGCTCCAAAACAGTCAACGACGTGAGTTTTGGCATGACGAACATAGACGTCTGCCATTGGGTGAACTCCATAATAGCCGAAGTAGACATTCCTTGGGTGAATTCTAACTACTCATGAATGCCTGGAGGACTGGACTGGGTTGGAGTGCTGGAGGTTCGGGACCAGCCCGGATGCGTCAAACAACCCGATCACTGTGATAGCTAGTGTCGAAAGTCGGTCGGTTAAGGATCATCAACGAGATAGTCAGCGGATAATGAGCATCCTCTCAGACTTCGGAGAAAGTTAGCCACCTCCACGGCAAGACGACGTTGGAAGCCCTGGGAGGGAGCATGATCTTCTCATCAATGGATATTCGAAAAGGGGGTTTCCAGCAGCGCATACTTGAGTCTGATAGGTGGAAGATAGTGATAGGTAACTTCACCCATTCTCAGCTGCCAATATCCAGAGAGGAGATCAAGCTTCGAAAGACACTTAGCTTGGTGGGTATGAACATGCACTCTTGCGGCGAACACAGCAAGAGGCAGGTATTCATCCCTACTATTCGTTGATCATGTCTTTGTCAATCCCTGACCGACGTGGAGCAGTCGATGCTGCTGCGCGAGATGCTGTGTTTCCTTTAAGTCGTACTGTGGACGTTGTGCGAGATATGGAGTGGTCCTTTGACAAATCCGGCACAGTCGCCCCCAAGTCGGTAAAGAATGATAGCCATCAGAACGCAGTGATTCTTTACTAAAGAGGTATGATTTGCGATGAGCCCTGCAATCAATGCAACGGGAACGCTGGAACCTTCTGTTCGTGCGTCGTCCCGCCTGAGTACTCCTCTCCTGGTTCGAGCAAGCGGGCCCTGTTAGGCGGTGCTTGTGCCAATTGCGTTTGGAACGGAAAGGGTTCCAAGTGCGCCTACTATCTTGGAAAGGACGGCGCATGGGATCCCTCCGAGGACCTGTATGTATTCTCACATCCTGTTTTGTCAACTCTCATTAGTTTGATGCTAACCGCCATAGTAACATCCTGCAGGATGGTGGCCTTCGGGCCATATTTCCCTGCGAGTCGCGCGAGATGAGTCCGTAGGAACTTAGCAGTTATCCATATGCATGCAATTAGTCAACTTAGTGATAGGTAACAGGCATAGTCTATCACCCAAGCACTGAGAATAGCTTTCATATCGCACAGCTCGCTGCCTGGCGCCAGCGTGCGCACAATTGAATAGCCCTTGGACCAAACCGGGCCCTTGCGCAATACGAACAGGTGGAGGCGAACGCCCCAGCAAGAGGACATTAACGCGAAAGACCCATTCAAGATCGTGCAAGGTATGTTATGTTATATTGTCACTTTCTTGTAACAGATAGGGTTAACATTTCTTAGGGCCTCTCAAAGGAGATCGATGACTATCGGAACACCACGAGCACCTTAATTCTAGCTGGTACATTCAAGCGACCTGTCAGATGCGAAAAGCCAGCTGATGGAGGCGACTAAATTTCGCAACGCCTACCTTGATTTTCACATTGAAGAAAATGAGCCGCCTAAGCGCATATGTGACGAATGCAACGCAGGATTTGACAAGTTCATTCACCTGGCTGCACATAAAAAGCACATGCACCACAACGAGACTAATAAGGAGAGAACTTGTCGCTACTGCGGCAGGATCTTTACATGGAAGGACGCTTATCTCAGACATGAGGAAAAACTATGCAGGCTTTGGCCTGGATATGTCTTGCCTGAACTAGCTCCACCTGGTCCTGCTCCTTATGGCTTGAAGTGCTCTTTTCTAAGTGGGAGTAGATCCACAAATGGATTTACTCTGTATACAGAGATATAGGAGCACTCGGATAAGTGGCCTGCTATCAATGCAGAGAAGCCAGTAAACTATAGGGGTGGGGTGTTTTACTGGTCCGGATGCCAGCGTAAGGTCAGTGTGAAGTTTCTCATGCATGAGATCCATCATCCACCCTGACAAGCAGTTTCGCATTACCATGATGCCGTTGATGCGCTGCAGGAGATCTGCAAGCAGACTCTGACGAACCTTTTCCGGAGTACGTAACAGTTTTTAAGTAACTGTAAGATATACTAACATCTATTCTAAATGCAAATAGGCCCACAGAACACGCAAATCGGTCGACACTCACTAGTCACATGCATGGCATAATGAGCTTTACATTCTGCTTGTCGCTAAGTTGGACATCAATTCCCTGATCAAGTCTCCCCAAGCCAGTTAAGGATGAGATAACATCCTCAAAATTAGTCCCATGTGGACCGAGGGTAACTGGATAGTTATGATGCCTTTTTGCCCGCTGGTCTGCACTTAAACCAGCAGGCACAAGATAGATGCCCATCTTGATACTCACTGTCCTCCGTCTACTCAGCTTCGGGAGTGACTTGTCTACTATACTACACTTATGATTTGATGTCTACTTCAATTCTACCATATATGGTTGTCTGCGACACTATATGTGGCTAGAACTATGGCTAATGTTAGACTACCTTCGTTACCGCTCATCGCGGGTTGGATAGACTGAAAGTTTCAACGATGAGGCTAGCCACAACGCCTTCCTTCTTCCAGCAGAGAATGGAAAACATTCTGCTCCCAGAGCGCTTGAAATTCCGCTTCTCCAAGGAGAAGCCATTGCCCTTGCGGGAATACGTCGCTCGGAAGGTCGTGCTCTTACGTGAAGCCAACATCGCTGATGAATCCGAGCTAGTCGTCCGAGTATGGGAAAACCTCAACCCTGTGCTGATGAACACTCCTTGGATAGTTTCACTCAGCGCCTCTTCCTTCAGGAGGTCCCTCCTAGGCTTGCGTGGCTCCAGCAACAGGGACCCAAACCACCGTCTAGACGGGACTCTGACTCCAGACGCACTCGAGAAGCAGATGACCCATAGCATTTCAGCAGGCCCTCGAAGCAGAGGGTGACGGCCCTGTTAATGCAGCATTAGTTAGTTGCACTGCTGTCCGATCTCTCCATCCGAGTCCGCCTGGTAAGGCTTGACGGAACTTCTATAAGAACACGTACTACTTCGAGCTAGGATATGCGAGGATTACGATCAATAATCAGATGTATCAATCGGGCTTTACCCGGTGTTGGGACTGGAAACATAGTAGGATTGATCGGACCTAATGCACATACATCAGTATCAAGAAGTACTTACGAATTTGTTACATTTCTTGACGATATAGAAGCCACAAGTACAGGATCATAGCCCTTGACCTCACAAAAAGACCGACTGTGTTCTAGTGCTTAGTCAATTGGATGGGTTCTGTACAGTGGTCAATGATGACCTGCTCATGTACTCAATATTGAGGTTGGACACTCACTGAATTCGCTGCAGCAGTAGCTACTTATTCAGAAGCCTCTCACTACGGGCTCCAACTGCAAGTTCTGGGTCCTAATTAGACCAGACAGCGCAAGAACTTAGATTTCATGCTATCTGGGTTTAACTTTACCTAGCGAGGCATCTGGGTTTAACTGCTCTCGCCAATGGAGTGGGTTATACTGAGACGCTCGTACATCTCACGTTGTCAATAGTCAAGCAGCATCAAATCTGCATTCAGGAATAAGATAATCTATATGTTACAAAGAAGCCTGAAGAAAGCATTCCTATTGCAGTCAAGGGGGAATCTCAGCCTTCAAAGCGCCTCCGAAGCCCAAAGCTCTTTGTAAGTCAGGTAAACGCCGATTATGCTTCCATGGAAATACACTCAAGGGGGCAGATGGGCGGAAAGGTAAAAGGGATCAAGAAAATCATGAAATTGGAACGGATAGGAGTCATTTAGACGACCCTAATCATGCTCGACGAAAGCCGTTATCAGTCGCTGTGACGACCCTTGCAGGTGGACGCTTAATGAGAACGATTGGAAGAATGACCCAATAAAAAGAGCAGAAAGTGATGCCGCAATCCAATCTCACTGTCCACTGTAATGGTCGATCACCGATCTCCGTAATGTGCAGCAGCCCCGTGGAAAAATCAGAGGTGACCGTATAACTTCAACCGATAGAAGCAGGTAAAGTTTGCCCCCCAATTTGAATTGACGCGAAAAGCGACTCGGTCTACACGGATGTCGGGCTGGTCGATGATCGCATCCAGACTGAACTCCTGGATGTGGTGATGTCTGTGGATATCATATTTCCACTTCCCTACACGGTAAAATGTCGGACCCAGAGTCGTAGCGTTCCAATAAGCACTCTCTGGTTCATTGTGGTACGCGGGACGAAGATAGCCCATTATATAGTCGTGCAGTGAGAAGCGCTCCGATAGCATCGGAGACTGGTACTCCGTTTCGAGAACTTTAGACTCAAAAGAAAGGAGCCAGTTTAGGTAGGATTTATACCAGGCGGCAGATCCTGCTTCCGTCGGAAGATCGCTAGAGGTACTTTTGTTGACCGCGTATTGAACCCAGAGCTCCATCTCCTTGGGTGCGGCTCCTGGATTAAGGGTAGCATGTTTTGGAATATGCTCGACGACCACCTCCTCCGGCACAATGGGGCGGCTCAAGTGAAGCGCCAGCTGTGACACACCGTTTCGTGGAGCGCTACACCAGCAATCTCCCACACCGTCCCAGGGCACCAAGGCCGTAAGAGGTGAGTTCCGTTTCGGAACCGGATCTGTACTCCAGTCAGATAGCCGGTCCTGCAGCCACTTAGGCAGCCTGGAAGTTTTCTCTCCATAGGTTGGACTTGTCATGCGCGGATCTACCAATACGCCCGTCCCTATACTGAGGAAATTGGGCTTCTTAGGCACCTTGACCGGCTCAATGATAGCGGTTGGGCCAGCGACGTTTTTGACCTCAGATTTGACGACTCTCAATTCCTTGGACATGGAGGAAACTTGAGCTCCTAATCTCATCATTTGGTTGTTGAGACTATTCAGCGCCTCTATGTCAGAAGTGTTCAAGGGAATTGAGGGCGCTGGATTGCGAAGGGGAAAGTGCGAGGCGATGTCGTGTGGTATGCTGGCAAGTCTGTCGCTGTAAGAATAAATGGTGAGAAGAGATATGGCGGTCAGAAACATAGCACCAGCTATTCGGAAAATTTGTGTCCATGGAAGAGTAACTGGTATTCTAGGGACAAAAGAAGTGACTGGTGTTGATCGAGCGTTGTCTGCGAAAGATTGATCTGATGACAGCGCGGTAGAAGTATTGAATGACTGTTGTTTCGTGAAAAAATGTGGAATGATAGTCCTGGCAGGTGCCGAAGACACTTCCACGTGTGATACAGGCTCATTGTGCGACTCCAGCGGCTGATCCGGCTTGGTTTGATCCGATTGTGCCTCAGATTCCACTGTCGGTTCTCGAGAGCGCGTTTTCGAGACAGAAAGACGCGAATCAGGTTCGTCTTCCTCTACAATGGTCTCATTCGCGAAAGCAAGCCCAGAAAAGCGACGGGGCGGTGCAGTAATATTCTTCCCGACTGGCTCTTTGCGATACCGAGAACGTGTCCGTTGCAGGTCATCATCGTGGATATCGCGTTCTACCATCCACGAAATAACAGACTCATTGTCTTCGATGCCTGCATTTTGCGACATTTCTAAAGACATGTCGTTGCGAGTGGGGGAGCCAATGCGCTGCAGTGGTGAAGGATACAGTTGTTCTATTGGCAGAGAGGGATATTTGGAGCCCGTGAGTATATGAGAGGCCGGACTGGACATGGTGGAAAGTGTATGTGGGATAGGAGGAGTTGGGGTAGCAGTAGATCTCTCTGCTTGCGCTTCATTCTCTCCGTTGCGCTGATTCGGGGAGACAGTCGTTTCGCGTAACGCATCAAGCAATTGTACCTGATCTGGAGTCGGTTCTCGCTTAGTTCGCCGGCGAACGGGGGATGCATTAGCAGCCGCTGACCGTCTCCGTGAGCGGGTATTCATGTGAGGTCGATCATCTGTATCATTGGATTCATCTGGGTTATTCTGTCGATCTCGCTTCTGAGCGTCTCTGATGGTTTGATCGATTGATTCGGCCACTTCTGTCAAATCCATCTTCTTCGCGACCAATCGACGAGGAAGGACAGGCGCTGCCGGAGAGCCATAGGCCCAGCTTGGCTGAGTAGGCACATCTGGCAGCGGCAGGTTACTGGCACTTGGACTCGAATGTCCAAAAATAATCGAGGCTTCAGAGCGAGCAATAGCTCCGGCTCGCCGGGTGCCCGCGCGCTTAGGCGGCATCTGTTGCAGGTGGCTGTGTACAGCCGTATATCGTTGTCTATGCGAGGTCAGTTGGAACAGCAGACAACGAGGTCTCAGGGTGGATCCGTCAAAAGGAGGCACAGATGCAAGATAGCAACACAGTCGAAGGCAGATAAACTGCGCTTTGACGAAAAGCTCAGTGTCAAGACTCACAATTTCCGTAAACAGCGCTCGCTATCTGGAGCTGGTCTGCATGAGTGGAAGCCGAGACTACTCGGGCGGCGGCCTCAGGCAGAGATCGTTCCCGTATTGTCCAAGAAGCTTCAGATAAAAGGTGCAAAGAACCAAACAAGCGTCGATAATGAATTCCGAAGCTCTAATAACACCTTCACATACCATATAATCAGTTAAATGGTTCTGCGTGATTTCCAGATTGTTGCAGTAGTGGAGTGTTAGTGAGGCGGAACTGAAGGCAAGATGGCGGACCAAAACACAAGCAATAACGACGATATTCCCGCATTCAATATGGGATACTTTGTCTTTTATCTTGTTGAAACAACAAAGACAACACCAAGACAAAGCGTTTTAGAGAATAAAACGATTCAGTAAAGCCCTGCGAATGAGGTTCGGCGTAGTTAAGAATACCCTCCACGTAAATGAAGGAGTTCGGCGCGCCGAAGCAGTCAAAACGCGGGTGTTTTTCGCGGTTGCTGGAATGGAGATCCACAAAGCTTAAACCCTCCAGACAGAAATGGAGGATGTTCTCGACGGCTCTGCTGATGGATCTTTCAATATCGCGCCTTAGAGGTTATAATTGATATCTCTATAAGGCTGCTTGTAGTGTGGGAAGTGAGATGTCAGGTATTTGGTCAAGTACCGTTCCGTAATGGATCCAAATCGGGAAAAGCTTGGCAACAGCAGCAACAGAGCGAAGTCAAGATGCAATCCAGCAAGAGCACAAAGAGAATACGATGTTTACCTGGAAGTTGAAAGAAAGCCATCATGGAAATACTGAGTAAACTCCATGACCAATTGATGCATACTAGAAGGCACAAAGAAGCTTGAAATTGTTCCAATTCCTTTGCTTTTTGCCATGGGCCATTCTGCAGGCATTTGGCAGGCTTATCAGGTCCCTTATATCACTTTGTTCGACTCCTTGTGCATGTTTCATCTTGACTCAAAACTTCAGGTTAAAATATGTCTTCTTTGTTATATTTGTGAGGAAGCCCGCTGGGTTACCTCCTGTTCATTGGCCTCATCATATAGCCTGCCCTTTTGCCAAACATTGGTTCCAAAATACATGCTAGTATACAATTGTGAAGAATGTTGTTAGAGTATAAGGTGCAAATCATCATGTGCGACGGATCAACATGACAAAGCAGCGTAGAATATAGGATGACAGTGCAAGCCGCTGAGAATCAAGTAGTTTTGAAAGTAGCCGGTGGAATCATTCAACAAGTCCAAGCTGCCACGATACCGTCCTTGCGGCCTTCGAGCAGGTATCCGTCCTTAAGCCGTACTCGCTCGACTGTCGCAGGCGCCGGGCCGGTCTCATCTGCACCAAGCCCGGCTCCACAGTCCCAATGATGTCCATCGGCCTTATCATATACTTTAACAACGTTCTCTCCAGCCGCAGCGACTATGCGCTTTGTGTCGAACATCATGTTGGTGACTGGTTTGTCGTAGGCATACGCATCGAAGATGGAGCCCATGCGTAGATCCCATATCTGTAATCGTGTCAGAATTCAGGAGAAGAGATATCCGTAAAGAAAACTTACTCTAATGCTGCGGTCCTGACTTCCCGTCACCAAGTGCACTTCGTCAAATTGCAAGCACGTGATCGGCCCAGTATGGCCCACGAGACTACGATGAACCTGGCCACTGCGAAGATCCCATAGGCGGACCATACCGTCGGCAGTACCACAAGCGAGCGCTGCATCAAAACACTGGAGTGCGCCGACGAAATCCGCAGATGCGTCCGGGAGGCGTCCCGAAGGCCGCCATTGTGTGTCAGCCCCGAGGGTTGACGCCTGAGCCGCGGCCCATAAGACATCTAATGTCTGGACGCAACGTCCTTTGACAAGATCCCACTGTCGTAATGTTTTATCCGCAGAGCCGGAAATCAGCGTGTCCCCTCGGAAATGGAGCGCTGTCACTTCATCAACGTGGGCGTCAAGCGAAAATACATAGCAGTCTTCCAGTGTTGTTGCAGAGAACAATGAGAAAGCATCCGACGCATTGTCGTCCTCCCCTTCTTCCTCTTCATGTCTGTTGAGACGGTTGTCACGGGTCACAGTCCGAGCACGACTCAAGTCCCAAAGTTTGACCGAAGCGTCCATAGATCCGGTGGCAACAATGTTGTCTTCGACCTGCAAACATCGAACGGAGGCGTTGTGGCCCTCCAAGAACCCCGTACAACGGCCCGTATTAAGATCCCAGACTCTGACGGTGTCATCCAGCGCGGCGCTCACCATCGTACCGAACGGGAAATCGAAGTCAATAGCGGTCACCATGTCAGTATGGGCTTGCATTTCCTTAATCTGCGATCCGGGCGCGAAGTGTTCGTGTAGGATAGGCATCGAGCGTTTCCCTAACCGTTGTTAGTGATAGATGGCAGCGTGGAGAGCTTTGGTAAACAGTACTTATAGAGCGCTGTTTCAGACTCTTCGGCGAATGTGAAGGCAATTTCTGATAGATCGATTCTGACATGAAAGACGCATCCATAGCCGGATCCTCCGAAATGACCGAGTCATCGTTCACTGCCGAGGATTTCGGAGTCGCTGCTGTTACAGGAGTCTCCGGTGTTTCCTCTTGGATATCCTCAAGCTTGTTGTCAATTTCGGTCACTGTCAGGTGTCAGAAGGAGTTCCATGGAGCCATCAAGTTCGCCATCACCCACATTCATGTTCGAGCCCCGCCTCTTCCATCTCTAACCCTGCCAACCGATCCAGCACGATTTTCCTCATGTTGTGCAGGTTAGCGATTTTGTTGTCAATCTCGTGGATTTCCGAGCTACACATATTCTTGCGCACGCCCATAAGGTCCAGCCGCCGGCTCAACAGATCCCGTTCCTTCTTCAAATCGGTCGGCGCGGACGGAAGAGCCGCAGTCGGCTCACCATCCTTCAGCAGCTTCTTCCCTTTGGAGCTGCGCCGTCGGTGAGATTTCCTGAATTCATGGTCGTCTTGGGTGGCCTTGAAGCCCTCGAACAGAGAGTAGGAGCTGGAGTCTTCGGGAATGTTTGCGAGGAGCTCGTCGGGAACGGAAGAGAGGGCGCGCGATTGAATTTCAGAGGTTGAGAGCTTGGAGCGAACGAGGTCGGTCGGAGTGGTCTGTGTCAGGGAGAAAACTTTGCGCTGTGTTGTCGGCCGCCTTAATTCGCGATGTATGTCGGCCATGGCAGTGTGGTAATGCCCGCCATTGCTTGATTCGGTCATCGGTCCCATCAAATGCCCTGCAGTCGATGTGACTTTTCTCCCGAAGGCTTCGATATGCCGGGTCTGTACATATTGAAGCAATATCAGCATACACTACTGGCCATCCCCGTGCCACGAATCCCACAGACGAACGCAGACACGGAGGGAGCAAGGAGAAAGAAAAGAGGCGCACCGTTAAGCCGATTCCTAAAAGACCATCCGGCTCGACAATATCTGATAAACCAGAAGGCGACTCATCACGGCGCTGTGTCGCCATGAGGCTAACCGGAGGGTCTTTCGAGACTGAAAGACTCAAAAACCCATAAGGCTTATCCGGACAACGAAATAGAAGAGTCAGATTGCTTCAAGGGCGACTTTTCGGCTCTCGGTCGGCTCGCTGGAGAAGATCAAGACTTGGTCTGGAGTTGCACGCGATGAATTACCGTGTTTCCGAGCTGCCGTATTATTATTACCGCCAGCTAGCGAGGCTGCCTTGACACCCTGCGAATCCCTTACCTTTGTTGATGGATAAAGGGATGAATAATATATTCTGGGTTTAAGCTCTTTATATCGGCCAAGATGGCAATACTAGAGCCAATTCTCGAAAATCTAGTCTCTGAATGTAGAAGAAAGGATCCATCTGTTTCCGAGCTCTTGAGCTGTGACGACGGAGGCTTAATGTTCCAAAAATACCACATGACCGCAGTGAAATATGAAGACGATAATACCAGGGCTATCTACCTAAGTAGCGTAGCCAGCAGACTACTGCCATCTATCAGCTGAAAGTATCTGATGACTCTTGGATAAAGGCAGAAGTAACAAAAGAATGAGGTCGGTCAAATCCTTTGATTACTCATGGTGTCATACACAATCTGGAGCAAACATGAGCTCCACGGTCACCGTCGCTGTCCTTCCTAGTGCGGCGCTGCAGTGGTCCTACATAACTGGATCAAGCTGCCCGATCATCGGCGTCGACTTCTTCCCCTCTTAGCTCAGAAAAACCAAAGATTCTAGAAGCTGGAGGAGCTTACTCAGAACATTCCCTACAATCTGAGCTCAACAGAAGCATGGACGCGGCAATTGATCTTTCAGACGCTTCCAAAGCGTTGGATCTGGCCAACATCAGGTTCCAGTTGATGTAAGTCCGGAGTTCTATCCTTGTTTCTGCCCCGCACATACATCAACCATCTCCGACTGGGCTTATTTCTTCCTGTTCGCTGTTTGTCCGGATGGATGAGCTCGCTGATTAGGGGCCTTTGACTCCTTTTCTATCTCCAGTCGTCTAGAGGATACAATCACCTTCCACCTGATCGAGCGCGTTCAATTCCCCCTCAACAAGACTATCTACGTCCCCGGCGGGGTCAAGATCCCAGGCAATGAGATCAGTTTAATGGACTACCTGCTCCGAGAGCAGGAGCGCCTACAGTCCCGCGTTCGTCGCTACGAGTCCCCCGACGAATACCCTTTCTTCCCCGACGCGCTCGAGAAGCCCATCCTGCAACCCCTCCAGTATCCCAAGATCCTCCACGACAACGATGTCAACGTCAACGAGACCATCAAAAAGCGATACATCGAGAACATCCTTCCCGCAGTGTGCGCCCACTTCGGACGCGAGGATCGAGGAGAAGCAAAAGAGAACTACGGGTCAGCAGCGACGTGCGACGTCAGCGTGCTGCAGGCGCTTTCGCGTCGAATTCACTTTGGCAAATTCGTCGCGGAGGCCAAGTTCCAGAAGGATCCGGAGTTGTTTGTCAGGTTGATCAAGGCCAATGATCGGGCCGGAATCGATGCGGCCATTACCGATGCGAAGGTAGAAAAGAAGGTGCTGGAGAGGTTGGGTCTTAAGGCCAAGACCTACGGGACCGACCCTGCGTTTCCAACGGAGACAGGGTCGAAGATCAATGTGGATGCGGTGGTTGCCATGTACAAGGTGAGTGAGAGGTTTGACTGCATTGAAAATCGAGCATTGCTGATACTGGCAAAAGGAATACGTCATTCCTCTGACCAAAGTGGTGGAAGTCGAGTACCTCATGCAACGGCTGAAAGGCACTCAATGGGAGTGAACGATTTAACTGGCCTCGCCGGTGTATATGAAGTATTGATCGGAACGATGTATCTTATGCCCTCACGAAAAGAAAAGAAGCAGTAATCTCTGGGTTGATTGATGGATATAGACATGCATGCGTTGGCTAATACTCATACTTTTGTTCTTTCGTCATGAAATCATGGGCTGTAGCCCTGATATGTCTATACAGGGGGTTTTAAGTAATCCGTCACATCTTTGACTGCTGCTTCCAGCTTCGGGCCGTCGATCAATATCAGACTTCCCGATGTCTTGATACCGAGATCCTGGAAAGCCCGTTTGGAATCTGAGAGGCCCTCGTCGTGCTTATGTGTATACTCTATCGAGCCAGAGCAGATCGCATGTCGCTCAAGCACCTCGTCCTCGGGGTGAAAGAAGAATCTCTCGACATTGTTGCCAGACTTCTTCTTCTTCTTCTGCGGCCGCGACTCTTCCATGTCCAGCTTGGATTCAACCTCCTCGTATGTCTTGGACACAATCAGATAGTGGGAGAAATTGTACGGCTCCTTGTCTTCAATGGCCCATGCGATCTCCTCCAGAAGCATGCTATACATTGGAGGAACAACTTCGGCGGGCATGTTGATCAAGCGCTCGGTGAGAATCAATCCAATTGGAGGGATAGGAGATTGGGAGAGAAGCTCTGAAAGGGGCGCGAGGGAAGGATTGGACGAGGCTTTGCGTTGTAGGTAGGAGGTCAAATCCTTGATCACGGGTTTATCCTACAAAAACTAAGCCTATCTCATCTCACGCCGCAAAGAAAGTGGAAATACCTTGTGCTCTTGCAGGTTCAATACGGTCAAGAATGCATATGGGTCGGATTCGTTGCCATCCACCTTCACCGTCGATCCGAGCAAGGGTTGTGCTAGTATCAGATCCGCCAGTGCGGAGAGGTCGAAGTCTTGAGCATCGACATCGAATAGTTGTCGGAGGAGATTCTTGAGTCCGTGAAAATCCACCGCGGGCTGCGGGTCGAACCATTCGAAATCCACATTCACCATATCCATGTCCTGATCAAGATGGATGTCGTTAGCATGAAAATGCGATAGGAGGACGGCGAGTGTATACCTCGTCGGACTCATCGTCCTCCACAGGGCGCCCTGTACCGCCCATTTCCACATCGTTATCTTTGAGCTCTTTTCGCTTTCCCATTGTGAATGTCTCTTAATTACCAATATGATCTGTGGACTCGAAATGCGTCTGTCGGCAGTCAAAGTTCACCAAACTTTCTCCGTCGGCGACCGATAAAAGTTGCTCCGATAGGGCCCCTCACTAAACCATTTTTTCCGACTTTGGTTTATCAGCAGCTTATCTTAAGCACGTGACCTGTTCACTTCTTTATCTGGGGATCTCGTTCTGTCATCGCGACAAGAAGCGTTCAGAAAGCATGTTGGGTGAAGTTGTCTCAAGAATAATCATGGCCCGAGTTGGAGGCAGGGCATGACTTTCTGCTTGTCAAATCTTAAGATTGATACTGGAGCTCAAGTTGTGACTTGTCACGATGAGACGGCAAGTCGAGCTTTCTCTACTACACTAGCCTTTCATCGAAGAAAAATGCATGCCTTTTGCGGCTGTCTACCGTAAACAGACTCATACGTCAGCTTCCACTTCCTCCACAGTAGGAACCTTGTCCAAAGTTACGCCAAAGAACCGCGCCGCCAGCTGTACACAATCCCAAACAACCTGCACCTCCTCCTTGGAGAGGCCCAACCGCCTCGTACCGCGAATATGCCAATGCGTCTCGGTCTTGAGATTCTGGCTCATAATCGCCGGCAGCACGACCATCTGCGTATCCACATCATCCAGAGCCTGCCGATCAGACAAGAACAACCCGTAGGTGATATCCATCGATAACCAGGCGAAGTCTTTGTGCGCATTGAACAGGTCCAGCGTGTTGGACGCGTTGCGTGCGTACAGCTTGCCGAACCAGTCCATCCCGCGTTCGTGGTTGGCCGCGTCGCATTGCCAGTTCTCCCGCGTACAGGTGTACTCTTTATCTTCGTCGCGCTCGACCTTGCTGATGGCTAGGATGGCTTCGATGGGCTTGCAAACGCCGACGATGATGACGGATTTGAAGAGGGCTTCTCGTAAACGCTTGACGAGGGCTTGCCTGCTGCTGGGGGACTCATGGCCTGGCCGATTGATGAGATGGAGGTAGAGCTGGTCTGCGCGCTCGGGGTCGGAGCTGGCGACGATGGTTGCGATTGCCAGGATGTACCATTTGTCTGCGGGGAGGCTAGTGGATTTGAATCGGGATTCGATTTCTAGGAAGAGTTGTTCGTAGCGAGGGTCGATGGATGTCATTGTGATGATTTTGAGGCAATGTTCACGGGTTGAATATCGAGGCAAGCCGAGAAGAATGATTAAGTCTCTGAATGGGCTGTGGTGATGATGGGAGTATGCATGGCTGATGCCCACTTCCAACCCCACATCTCAGGCTCAATCCTTCGGATGATGCATCCAAATGTACTCCGATTTATGATGGAGCTTTTGACTCAATTGAAGGTCCAAAATCATGTCTGCCTGAAAAGACTTGAATAGAATATTCTTGTGCTGCAAGACCACAGACTGCTCGCATGGTAGCCAATACTCCATCACCGTACGGCGCGAAGAAATGAACAAGATAGAGATTACAATAGAGAACGCGGACAACGGACTATCCAAGAGTTTTTCTCTCATAGTCACATCCGAATCGCCTCCACCTGGCTTATGATAAGGCAGATCGTAAGTGGTATGGGTAACTTGTTCCCACGTCAACATCATCAACAGCAGCCAGGAACGGGCAGTCTGGATAAAGCTGTAGATTGCACCATGACACCATCAACCAACAACACCCACCACGATTCTCCCTACGACAATGTTTCGAATCGAATTGAATTTCTCGTCTTCTCCACACTATGATCAAATCCAACCCAGCCAAACGTGCCTACCCTCCTGTTCTCAGGATACATCACCAGCCTAGCCCCACAAATATGATCTCAGCGACTCGACCATATGACATCACAATGTCCAGCATCTGGTATAAAGCTCTATGAATCTCTCACCACGACCGACACACACTCTTGATCTAACGCAAATACAATACCCTAATTGACCTCACGCAACCTCTTACCCCTTCTTCAAATCTTCAACTCTAAAAGAAAACCGCCAAAATGCCCACGGCAACCCAGAAATCCGGTAGCTCATACGCCGGCGGCGGCCAGTCGAGCGTCGGCCAGCCTTCCGTCTACGAGGCTGGCGATCAGCGCAACGAGCCCCAGTCTGCCCGTAACGAGAGGGAACGGTACCACGAGGGCCAGAGGGAAAGCCACAAGAACTTGGATTCGAGTATGTCGCTCAAACCACGTCACACAACCCGCTTGGTCTGGTATCAACATAGCTAATGAGAGTAGAGGATGAACGCTCGATTGCCAATAAGCTCGCTTCGGCGGAGCAGCACCCCAACCGTGCCACGCCATACCAGCCTGAGGCAGAGTTGAGCAAGAGGGATCCCACTGCTCCGGTATGTTTCCGTCTCTGTCAGCGAGAATAGTGTCAGTGATGCTGATGAGTGTAGGCGACTCTGCACGGCCACGAGCCCTCGAAGGGAGCCAAGATCGATAAGGAGCTGCAGGAGGATGATGAGCAGCGGTTGAGGGAGAAGGGTATCAAGAAATAAATCGGTCGTTTTGTTTGGCCATAATGCAAGGGACATCTGGATATGTCCCTCTGACAGGAGTTATGAATATTTTCTTCACGAGGAGCAAATGTAATGTTAGCTTTCATCTCAGGAGAAGAATTAAATAGGCTTGCTCATGAGGCCGTGGTCTGTGCAGTGTAAGTGCTAGATGAAAAATGTGGTCACAAATAATGTACATGCAAGATTCGAAGGGATATATACAATACATGTGGCGGTATAAAGGCATCATCAACTCATGAGAAGCATGTCATACTGAAATGTTCAAGGGCTATGCCCGTCAAATGACTCCGTAGGACGCAGGTGGGCAAGAGGCCTTGTATGTTCGAAGCAGGAATCGAATGGCGAGCAATGGCCATGGAATCCCTTGAGAATCCCTTCAAGATCCTTGGGGCTGTTCAACTTCATCCGTAAACTTTGGATCGTCCTCATGTGGTTCGGCGAACACGTTCTGCCAGTAGCTCTCGACCCTCTGGCAAACCTCCGCCTTGTTTTCCCACGTCCGGAACTCAGTCTTAGGATCACAACTGACCCACTTGATCTCCTCCCAGTAGTTCCTCTCGACATCGTAGCCGAAACGACTGACGACATCTTCCGGTGCTGTCCAGGCACGCCCGTCCGAGCCATCGGCTTTGAGCGTCGGGCCCGTTTCCCACTTCGCCCCGAAGAGATTCTCTGCCGGGTTGAACTTGGGGTAATGCGCATGTATGAAGAACACGCGCGGCGCTTTCGCCACGGAGGGATCTATGACCCGCCGTTTGTCCTGACTGATCAAGGCATAGTCCTCCGCCGGGTCGACCTGCGCCATGGCCGAGCCAGAGAGCCCTTGGCCGTCCGGCTTCCAATGACCGAGAGCCTGCACTCTCTCGCTGACAGCATAGAACGGCTCCCCCAGCGCCGTTGCCGCCTGTAGAAATGTCTCCTTGTCCCCTTCCCCGGGAGCCCCTTGCGACAGCAGCCGGAAGTAATGCGACGGCCCGTAATAATTATAGTAGGCGGCCAATAAGAGCGTTGTCAAATGAATCTCCTTAGACACCAGAAAAACGCCCGTCTCAGACGACTGTCGAGCAGACATCGGTGGGGTTGGTTGCCGAGACAGTTCAAAGTACGCCGGAGATGCAGTCGACGCCCAGAAGTCGGGCCAAGTGACCAAGCCGTTGGTCTTGAAGGGTTCCGCGTCAAGCAGCTCTTCAGGTTTGTGCAACGGGAAGCAGTCCGCATCCATCCAGATGATCTCCTCGAACGACGAAAATAGAATCGCAAAGACCTTGAGTTGGTAATGCGCGATAGGGTTTTTCCCGACGATTTCCGAAAGGATCAGGCACTTTGCACCTAGATCGGGAAGCACGTCCTCACAGATCTTCTTTTCATATTCGGTTGCATCCTTCATGTATAATTCTACCGGTAAGGTAGAGCCTGTACGGCGCAGCATCCGCAAAGACGACACAAACACCGGAAGGTATGAATTCCCCGCAGTCGAAACCAAGCCGCGCTTTCCAGCAGTGTGTGGTGAGCGCAATTTCTTCGATATCCGGATATCGCGAACATAATTCGCATGCGCTTCTTCCATCGCCTTTCGATCGTCGTCTTTGAGGAGGGTTAAATCTGGTCGCGGATCGGTTGAGGTGGCATCGAAATGGACCGCATGAGCATCGGCCCGGGCAACTGGTGAGGGACAGTTCGGCGAGTTCTTTTCTAGGATGGGCTTGAGGGCTTTCCAGAAGGCAATCTGACGTTCGGTGAGAGGGACTTCAAATGCGGTGCTGGGGACCACGGATGCTGGTGCTGGGGTCCAGTACAGATAAAAGGTCGAGATCAGAAAAATAGCGCCCATGGCAAGGAGGAGCGACCTCAATCGGCCGAACCGGAATGTTGCCATGGTTGCGGTTCGTCAGTTAGCCGTTTGAAGAGAAGTTTTGACGAGCGTAAGTCAACGTTTTCGAGAAGCGATTCGAACATAGAGTCGTTCGGTTGTGTTTGATTCTGGGTTGGGGTGATGATAGCGATGGTAACTATCGACCAGGTCAGAGTAACACGAGCATGTTAGACGGCTGGTGGAGGATTCGAGCCAATATCTGCAGGGTACAAGGATAGAAAACAGAATTGAAAAGAAAGCTCAGGTCGAGGACTTTTGCAATCAACATTAAGGTGTACCATCATAGATGGCTGGAGCTGATGCCCCCTTTTTCAGGTTTAGTGCCGGCCTAAGAAAAGCAGCCAACTTAGCCAAGATTTTAGTCAACTTGTCTATTTATGCACATAACACATCAATTCTTCTCAACAATACACTCTCCTAAGGGATAATACTACGTGCCATGTGCCAAAACAAAGGAACCCCTTACAGCCACGTAGTGTCAAGTGGCATTACTTCAACATTCTGTGTCATTGTACCTCGAAGTCTGAGGGGACGAAAGCTCAGATTAATTGGCTCGACAGCCAGCCCCATCAGCACAAGATCGTGATAGCAGGAACCCAGATTGTCCATAAACATGATCACTACTAAATTGCGCAAAGGTAACTGCAATTTCTCTATTAAAAATATGATCCATAACAAGTTGCTCGACAGAGTGGGCTCCGCGACATCTCGCTCAAGGAAGAAGACGAGAAGTAGATTGCTGCCCTTGAGTGGGAGTCAGATGCATGCAAAAACAGAATTCACACAGTCCGGCCTGCTAAGAGAAAGCAAGGAGGCCAACGCGGTCAGGATTAGATTCAGAGATGTGAGCGAATTATTGTTCTTAGCTGTCGAACCTCATGGTAGTTTGTGACGAAGTCGCGCCGGACTTGCCCATCAACGTTCAACTGTATGAAGGCACCTAAGGTGCCGGCATTCCCTTCGCCAAGGCCATCGATGAAAGGTCAGTTGTTCCTGTGTTGCTTTTGGTTGATGTGAGGCCCCTCTTGGGATTTATTGGATGACGTTTGTATGTCGGGCGTTCGGCTCATCCTAACGCCAGTTGACATTCCATCTGACTTCAAATTGATACTTTCTGACGAGCTGAAATACTCCCAACTCAATCAAAGGATTCTTCTTGTCTCTGATTGACCACAGGTAGGCTTCGAAGTTGGCGTTGAACCGTTTATTATTTCTGAAGATCTTCGCCATTTCCTTAAGATCATCCTTTTTGATCAGTGCATGGGGACCACCAATCTTCCTCAGTAGTGCGTGGAGGCCAAAGAACACAACATATAAGGAATTGCTAGAGTGTGACCGGGGAACCAGACTACATGGCTTGAATCGTGTTGACCGTCTCATTTATTGCTCCGTGGTTCCTGGCTAAATGGTGCCACTGAGCTGGGCTTGCGGGGATGAAACTAGAAGCCTCTAAGAGGCTCTGCAAATGTGCAATAAACATAGAGACATAACTCATTGTTATGATCCTGGACAGACACCAGTTCATCCATGTTGACAGTCCATTGATTATTGCCATCACCTATAACAGCCTCAGTCCAAGTAATATCAGTCGGGACTTTGCCCTAGGTTGACCGGCAGGCTGGCCCAACCTGTGCACTTGAATTCAGGCATGATTGTTTCTAGGAAAGCGAATCTCAAAGTTGAAAAAAGTTGTCCCATTTCGGGGTTAACCTGTTCAACCAACTGCCCATGTGAAGACGTCTGTGTTCGTTCACAGATTGTACCAATGAAATCAACACTGGTGAATGAAACCTGCCATGGATGGGTGATCGAGGCCCCATCACAGCCGGCAGTTGGGCGCTGTACACCAGAAGACAATAAGTCGACGCCTGAGTCGGAGTCACTTCATAGGCTGTGCATTCGTTTTGTGACAGACGCTCGAGATTCGTCGATATCTGCTGCACAGGTCGGAGGCCGTAATGGGAAATGTCTTAATCTCCAGAAGGAGGTGGGTCGCAGGTGACCCCCATGGGTATACTGATGAGTCGTTGTCTTTAACAAGGGTCTTCCCAGATGGGCGTAGTGAAAGGGTGCCCGGTTTCCACTGATGGCTTAGTAGGTTGGCCTGGATTTCAGTAAAAGTGCTGGTATCAAACGCATCACAGTATTTGGCTGATTTATCACGTTGTTTGGGCAGGTCACTCTTTCGGATCCGAGGCCATATTGTTCTGGGACCCACGTGTGATATGAGCGGCGCTTTGTCCCGGTTTGGCAATGAATTTTTCTCTGTCATATTGCGATGACGTCTGACGATCTGCTCCACTCGTTCCATCATCCACATTCGTAGACCATGATGTCGTCCGAGTCATCTTCGGCAGAATTCTGCGCCAGCCAGCTCCACTCGGTTGTGGAGGGCGAGACAGGCATCAATGTCTGCCAGAAGAGACTCATCGAGCTCGAAACCGAATGGGAGATTCTCCATCTCGATGTCCGGTGTGTGGGACCGTTCCAGCCAACCCACTTTTGGGCTGCACAGTTGGCATAACTGCATTGAGAGACCAGAACACTAGTAGCGTGTTCCAGACACTTTTCTAGCGTAGTAATGTTGAGCGGTCCATCAGGTGCTATGGCTCTGATCTTGTCTTCAGGCTTTCAAGCATTGTCAATGCTGCAAAATGCGCAACTCAGACAACAAAGGCAGGTCGGGCAGTGTACCATGTGCCATCTCGCCAATGCCTACTTGGTAGTTAGCGACGCAACATTCAGAACGATAAGGGTCTTCAAACTTGCCTCTTTTCAAGGAAATGGTGTTCCTGTTTTCGTTGAACACCTCGCTGATAGAGAATCACTACAGGTGAATTCCAGGCTCTGCAGAAGGAATTCATGCGTCGCTTCAGTACTACCCTTGTGGTCCTTAGAAGCACGGGCGATGAAGATCACAATTGGTTCCATGTCTTCTTTTTTTTGAAGAAAGAAACCCGAGAATGCATCTGCTGTGGTTGCACACAGGAAAAGTTGCGACAAAGTCGCAGGACGAGCCGGAATGCCGGGAGCAGGGGCTGCCCAAGGCAGCACGGAGCATCGCCCGCTGAGCGGGGGGACGGACGCAGAAAGCCGCACGAACACGGCGATGGTGGCTTGCGGGGACCTACCTGATGTCAACGAAAATCCGCCAAAGGCAATCGCAATGCGCCATAGCGCGGGAAAAGAGAACACTTACCGGGACGCATTTGCGCTTCCTGGAAGCACAATGGTTGCACGCCTTCTGTCGGCGGCCACGAGCGGAGAAACGATTGCGGCATCGATGCCGCGGGTCGCGAATTTTTGCTTGCGTGCTTTCAAGGTAAACTTGCCGACGTGTCTCTTGTCGTCATTTTCCGCGCCTGCGTTCTGCTTAATATCTCGTAGATATTCCAGCCATTGCTCTGAGAGCGTTATTTGCACCCTGATAGGCTTCCTGAGTCCACTAACCCATCTTCTTTCCATCTTTGGGCCGGTTGGCGTGGTGGGATTTCCACAGCGCTCTTGCTAGAAGGAAATGCCCTACTGTCATCTCCGACGCTGACGGCCAACCACCCACTTGACGAAGACTAAGTTCTGAGACCGTTTCTCCCATGTGGTGATCTGGTGGATGATTGGCAATCTGACTCGAATCTGCGAGGTGCAACAACTTCCACAAGTAGAGAAATCACAGTGGGCCTGAGACGTCGCGGCCGGGAGAGACATGGTATGCCCGAACAACGTGACTTGAAACCCAGCATCTGGAACCGTGTGCTGTGCTTGCAGAAGAATGGAGATATCAGGGCAAGAAGGTTTTCTGGAGATAGTGAGAAGAAGAGTGGCGAGCAGGGGGCAGCAGGTGATATTTATACTTGATCAAAACAAGCGAATAATACTAAGAGAGACCTTTCACTTAGGTCTATATCATTCAATATCTGAGCAGATTCTCTAGAACTGCTAGAATATTCACTCTGATTCAGTGAATATACACAAATCTAAGGAAAATTGCCAGTGACACAACTAAGAGAAAGGATATATCTACCATATGTTCCCTGCATGGTCTCCTAAGACTATTACATGAATGCTATAGTAGTATGTTCCTTTATGTTCTCTATACTACTGACGGGAGATCCTTGTCAGAAAGGCAATACACACTCTTTCCCTTAGAAGGTATTATAAGTCTTTGAGTCTGCTGTACAAATCCTAGCTTCCTATGATAATACATCCTACTACTTCTCCCTGTCACTCTGTTAAGACGCTCATTCACCACAGCCTATTATGGCACTCCAGGTGACTACTATGTACAGGTTAGAAGTGAATAGACTGGATGATAGATAAATGCTAGATTATCTTCTACATCTTCAGGTAACTGCAATAAGCATTACAATGAGCTTTGACTACTTACACACGTGGCGGATCCTCAGATCTAATTACTTATCAAAGTCAATACATGACAGTATCACAGGCTTTTTACTATTCTGGTATTTTCTTCATTTTCAAGGATCGCTTTCATAATGCAATGGACTCATCACTTTCTGTTCTTGTATTGAGGATTAGGTGCACGAGAAATGGACGACTGAAAGGCAACATCAAACCTCATGACGTGCCTGAGGAACTTACGCCAACAAATTACCTACTATCATACTAGTAGGACATGTCTGATGAATGGACCGCAGATTTGACAGTCGCTGATTGTGGCGTATAGCCCCGATGAGAATATGGCATGGTCACGGCATAGAAAGGGGAGGCATATCCATGTCATTATGCCTCTCTGAACAGCATACTCTTATTATGCTCATCTTATAAGTTTGACCTTATCGAGAACTAATATCCCCGACGGAGTATTTCGGCGTTTTCGTTGAACAGCATTTGCCGCTCAGCATGGATCACTCAGGCGTGAATAATCGTCGAGCGAATCAGACGTGCTGGGTAAACCAACCAAATCTGCCCTGGTGAGGAGGTGAATGGGCTGCAGATAAGGATACTGTCAGATCGTCTGAATGCCTGCCATGGCTCAGAAGCGATCGAAGCTTGGGCTGGAAGGATGTTCTTACTTCAGGGTCCAATTATGAATGTCTTCACTTTCGATTTGATAGATACTTATGCTTGCTGTAGCTCTGTAGATGCTCACAGGATGATGATTATCATCATAGTCGTGGACTTATGATGCAGTGGCTTATGAGATGGCAAAAACACTCTTGATCATCATTGGCTCTAGAAGAGCGGATGAAGCCGCCGTGGGGAAGTTGGAGCATATCAAGCCTCAGGCCTTCAACCCTTCATCATCCACCTTGGTTAACTTCCTTAGTTTAATTAAACCATCTCTCTTCCTCCTCGACTCCGCGACTGGGGGCGTTTTCTGGTCAGAGCAGAATGAGCGGTCTAGGACCGAATGGATTTAGACTTCAACTCTATCATCATCTTGATTCTCCTTGACGCGACTTGACTTCCTCTTCCCTTTCTATCTCCTCACTTCGTTTTCCGTTCCTCCGATTCCTCTCACTCAACAAGTACAGCAAACACCTGCGAATCCTGCTGTGTCGATCGTTCATCTACCGGTTACCGACAGCCCGATAAACTATCAATGGAACCCCGCATTCCGGATCCATCCAGCTGATTCCGATCGTTGACGATCACCCTCCTTGCTTTCGGACGGCGGCAACGGTCCCAGCACCGATATTGAGATCGCCGGCATGGAGCCGGCCTGTCAACCCTCGATTCGCAAGTCTGAGTCGACCTCGGCCTCTGCTCCCAGGAAACGACGAAAGAGAACCGTTGTGAGTGGTGCAGCGGATGACTGCTTCACATGTGCCCGGGAGGGCTCTGTCTGTGACCGACGACGGCCATATTGTTCGCAGTGTTTGAACCGTGGACGGGATTGTGCGGGATACAAGACCACGTTAACTTGGGGTGTGGGTGTTGCCAGTCGAGGCAAATTTCGAGGATTGTCTGTTCCAATCACTGGAGCGCAACCAGCTGCGACTGCAGATAGTCGTCATCGTTCCGGGGGTCCGCCAAAGTCGGGACACACGATCGCATCGCCAACTACGTATACCTTTGCCTCTGATGCATCTCCGGACACTGCCTCCGACAATGTAGAGAGGGCCACCTTTCAATCGCAGGGATCGTCGAGTCCGGACACAAATGAGAACGCAAGCTGGATGCGAAGGGGCGCGGACCCGCGAGCCTGGCCAACCCCAGCGGCTGATTTCTCGTTTGGGAATCCTCCAGTTCTTGGCACTAGTTCTCCTTATACAGAGTCCCTGAGACACTCGAACACGACAAACCCTTCGTTACAATATATGCAGACAGTCCTTGTGGCGAATGGTCACCCTTCCCTCCAAAACAATGCTTGGACAGAAAGCTGGCCAAAGTCAACCACTTCTACGTTCGAACAATGGCAGGTGCCACCAGCTTGTAATACTTCACAACCTCAAGAGACTGAAGGAGCTGGCAAAAATTCAACAGCTTCAGAGGCTTCAGGCAGTCCTCGACGGATTGCACGCCATTCCCCGTCATTTTCTCAAATGCTTCTTGCACGATCGGTTGGCCGCACACCCCGTCTGAGATACTTGATAAGCTACTATGCGGAAGTCATTGCGCCGGTCATTGTAGCTTTCGACAGCCCAACCAATCCGTTCCGCACTCATATTCTGCGTCTAGCGCAGGACAGCGAGTCCCTGCAGGAGGCGATCGCAACGCTAGCCACTAGCAACCTGCGGCAACGACGAGAGAGCAAAACCATGCCGACAGACAGGACGCTCCCTTCGCGCATGTCATCCTTGGCACATCGAGCGCTGACCGATGGAACCTGCCAAGATTTTCAGGATACTTTAACGGCTGAGGGATTCGCCCGCGAAGAGCAATATCATCGAGGTTTGGCGGTTAAAGCATTGAATATGGAGCTCGCCGATCCCCATCGAAGGATGTCCGATTCCGTTCTGGCAACCCTGTTTATCCTATGTCTCTTCCACGCTTGCGATACTGGTGTGGCGCAGTTCAAAACGCAACTCGCAGGTGTGACCAAGCTTCTGGCTCTCCGAATGCGCAGCTCGCCGGTCCTTTCCGATGAGCTGAAGTGGTTCATCCGCGTATTTACCTGGTACGACACGATGGCTGCCACCACCAATGATCGCGAGATACAGCTGCGCGGCACATGTCTGGATATTGCCGCGGTCTCCGACAGCGAATGGGGGCTTGAGAATCTGACTGGCTGTGATGCCAGCTTATTCAAGTACATTGCACAACTCGGTCGCTTGAATCTCCTGAGCCAGAAGCAAGAGGTCAGCACGCCTGCCCTTCCCGACGTGTTTGTTCCCACAGTATCTCTGCCGCCATCGCTACTCTTCGACGCATCGATGGCCAACGGTTTTCCCGGGATGAACACCTCCTTCAGCTTTAGCATGCCTGTACAATCGTGGTCAGTTGAGCGAAGCAGCCGATCTTTGTCGCCAGCATTCTGGGCCGAGTGGTTCGGACTCCGGCAGCAACTAGAAGCCTGGCGACTTGCGCCACCGCGTGGTTCGGTCCATATCTCAACTCCTTCTTCCGCTCAAGCCTACATCTCTCCACCATCCTCGCCATCTACGCAGTATGCTGTAGCGCCTCAGAACATTGACGACGTATTCCACATTTCGGAATCCTTTCGCCATTCGGCAATACTCTACAGCGAACGACTCGTCTACCCAGAACTTCCTTCCAGTCATCCTCGCATTCAACACCTAGTGCACCGTGCAATGCACCACATCTCACTGGTCAAGTCGGATGTGTACCTGCTATGGCCGCTCTTCATCACAGGATCGGAGTGCGTACTCGAGAGTCATCGAGATACAGTCCGACAGCGCTGCAGAGATATCTCCCAAGACTCTGGTTTCTTCAACAATCTAACATGTCTTGAGTTGCTGGAGAAGATCTGGGCGCAGGATGCTTGCGATACCGAAACAACGTCTGTGCATTGGGACACCAGAGTGCTTTACGGCTTCGAGATGGCACCATCTGCGGTAATGGGCAGTGATTACTTTATGGGAGGGAACTCTGTATATCCGGCAACATCCAGGTCGCGGATACAGGGCTTCCGCTGGCATGAGCTGATGCAAGCCAAACGAGCAGAGGGAGAGTATCTGGTGGTTTGACCGGATCAACCAGCTTACACACTACATTATTATATACCCCAGGCGCCAAAAGGTCACGTATCTATTGCGCTTTTGATGATAACGGACATGACAGAGATTATCTATACAATGTTCATGAACATAGTTTCTGATAACTTCATGTACATACTACGAGGACACATTCACTTCCCATAATGATATTCCATCAATAACCCAATCACAAATTTACTTTAGCTGACCATCAATTATCAACCACACTTGAGAATCATCAAGTCAACTAAATTAGTCGGCCAACATGCCTGACGCATCTCAACCCTGACAGATTGCTACGCCAGCGTGTCACTCGCTTATTTGCGGGGCCTAACACTTGACCTCCACCCTTGATGCCTTACTCCTGCACTAGACACGCAGCCCAGCAAACTGTTAGACAGTGCAGCGTACATGATAGTCTAGTTCTACATCTCCCGGTACTCGAGGGTATTGGTCCACCCACAGGATCACGAGGGGTCGTTCTCGTTCTTGTTCTGGAAATCATGCAGATGCAGATTAGGGAGGGATCCTATTCGCTATACAACTTCTAATGTCTCTGTCTAGACTAGTTCATACAGGATGGTTCTGGTCTGTTTTTTTAGGGTTCACCAGGTATAACATTCCAGTACGGAGGACTTACAAGGACAAGGGGACGTGGAAATACCACAGTCTTATTGACTTTGAAGTCTAGGCATAGTAGCGAGAGGAATGCTTTGATCGGCCCTGACGGTCTCCTCGATAGGCTCTGACGGTCCAGATAACTACCATTTGTTTCTCGACAGTTTTGTCATCCTAATATTTAGACTCAGACACGCAAGCACCCGCACCCTAAGACGCTACACACAGAGGCTGGCGTAAACAATATCATTTTGAGCCGGAGCAGGTATACCTAAGATGCGGATCCACGTAACCAACCACAGCATTGTAGAATTGCTTGAAGAGGGTTGGTAGAAGGAGTTTGCGGCTCTTTGGCCGAGCTGAAGCCTTTTCTCACGGTCGAAGAGCACAATGTCATTTAACAGTCCGCTGCACTCACTGATCGGACCTTATAGAGACTGGTCGGTCTGGACCGGAGTTCACGGAGACTGGTGCTGATGTACGTTTTGGGAGGTCAAACGCGTGGGCCGATGGCAAAGATGGTATGATATGCCTTTAGATGTCAGCTTCAACATGGGCAGTGCCTTGGGTTTCATTGCGCGCTATACCGAGGACATCACTTGTGCAGGGGGTTCAACAGCACAGTATGGGAATATCAATGTGGTCAGTACATCCATTTGTCGCTGAAGAGCACGAACAGGGGAACTGGCCGTACGACCAGCTTACATGCCGGAGCCAAGTTATAAAGCTGTGGCCACGGGGATGTCTAGCGAGAAGACACTCCTCGAACTCATGTCTGGGCTGGTCCTTATGGTTTCTCGGGTAATGTGTCTAGGACCTGTCGAAGTTGTTATCGTGGTAACGGTCCCGGAGAGTAGGGAAAAGGTCGGACAGGGAGCCTTGAGGTGGAGTCGCATTGTTGGTTTCCTCTTTGAGAAGAATCTGGAAGATATTGCCAGACGCGTGTATGTATGCTGAGATTGTCGCTAAGACTGCCGACCCGCCACAACTATCATCTACTAGGATGGAGCAGGGGAAGGAGTCTCTCAGGCCTTGGAGGCATCGTTGAGACTGCAGTGGACCCTCACGAGTCGTTATGGATGTAGTCCAGTACGAGCAGATGATGGACTCAAGATACCGTATCTGCTAGAGAAATTTGATCCCAGGTCCATTAGACACGTGAATTTGCTAAGTCATTGGCGAGTTTTGTTCTCATCCAAGCTCTTCTTCTTTCCATCTGGACCCTCCCGTCCTTCCTTCATCTTAAGATCTCATTGCGAGGACCAGAATGGATTCCATCAGCATCAATAATCATGTCTGCATTTTGCTCAAATGAAACGGCACACTTGCCAATTAAAACCCGACTCTTGTCCTCGCCGAGAGCATTATACAATATTTCTAAGTGCTTCCACCACGCAAATACTGAGCTGGTACCCGTACCTGTTCGCTGCGTCTCAGCAAGAGTCTTGTTTAACAGAAATACAGAGTCTACGCTGGTCAATCGTGCCCAGATGGAGGAATGCTCCTGCCATGAACTCTTTTAAGCAAACATCCGTATTTGAACCAAGTCAAACAACTCCTTACTTCGACGGCGGTTGATGCTATCACCCCCATGCGCCCAATCGATCGACAATCGGGCTCCTTGTCCAACAATGTCAATACTTTGCCGGTGAGGAGTAATGCGAGGTCTTCTCTGCCCTCAAGAATGGTAGGGCCGATCTGGTGTCTGGATAGACCATTCGTCAAAGCGAGGCATCAGCCAGAGCAGCCAAGAATGGCAGCTTGACTCGACAGTCTTGGGGAACCTATTAGCTCTCAGGTATCTCGCATGGTCCTTATCCTCTATAAGGGATTTGTGGCCATAAATATTGTTCATGAGAATACAGTGTAAGAGGAACTGTCCTGTAATGCTTGATCGGGCATGATCTAGAGTATTTAACTTCACGATTGACGGGATCAGAGAAGAATGTCGAGATGAAAATAGCATTGGCAAGATCTATCACATTCACACCGTCTGCTTTCGCTTCATCGACTTCTGCTACCGCCACTTACTTTAGCTGACCGCACAAATGTCATACGCAAGGGATGTTGCTCATCGCCCGGCAATACTCCCACTCGCTCTTATCCATCCGGTCACAATTCCTCAACCGATGATTTTATCAATATTGAACCAGTCAGAATCTCGAACTTCGGGATCTGGGAACAGGATATGACTGAGCACAAGTTTTACTGTTCAGCCCCTTGCAGTACATGTGTCCATGCGTGCTCCAGGGTACGTAAACTGGCCATCCCACAAAGCGCCGGCTACGTTGTCGAAGTTCCAATGCAGTCACGACATGGACACATCCGAGGTCCGCGAATTGAGCAAGACGTCAGCTGGTGTCATCAGCTGGTCATGACCCCGAAATGGAGATCTTTAAATTCAGACCAGAGAGATGATCCCTCGCTCCGTTGGATTATTTCCACTAGTAGGCCGTTACAGGACATTGATCAACCCTAACCGATGAAAATGGACTCTCACCATGCCATTGTCCAGGAAATATCTTTTCAGGTAAAGCGATTCTATGCGGACAAGAAGCCATTCTATATCTACCATGGCTCGACGAACTCGACGCGCGCTTCGAAAAAGTCCCGCTCCAACACCGTTGACACCAGCAGACTCAACCGTGTCCTCTGTATCGACCGGGTCCGCAAAGTCGCCCTCGTGGAGCCCAATGTTCCTATGGATATGCTCGTCCAGGCGACTCTGCCACAAGGACTGATCCCACCTGTTGTTATGGACTTTCCTGGTATCACAGTTGGGGGCGGATTCGCAGGCACATCCGGCGAAAGCAGCTCCTACCGGCACGGCTTCTTCGACCGAACAGTCAATTGGATCGAGATAGTCATTGGCAACGGGGAGGTATTGAAAGCCTCGGCCACGGAACATCCAGACCTATTCTTCGGAGCTGCATGCTCCTTTGGGACGTTGGGAATCACGACTCTGGTTGAGCTGCAATTACTCGGGTTGCCGGCCGAGCCCGTCGTTGAATTGACCTATGTTCCCATCTCGAAGGGCGTAAATGAGGCCGTACGCATAATTGAGGAGCTTACTCCTGACGCCGCGTACCAATACATCGACGGGATAATGTTCAGCAAAGACAGGGGTGTCATCTGCGCCGGGGCGATCAAGAGTCGTGCCGCTACTGCGGCCGTTCGGATGCAGACGTTTGCGCACCCGACGGATCCTTGGTTCTACATGCATGTTGAGCAACTACTTTCCTCTTCAACCTCCGGAACGGGTCCCGTGAAAGAGCTGGTCCCCTTGGTCGACTATTTATTCCGCTACGACAGAGGCGGCTTCTGGGTAGGCAAATACGGATTCCAATACTTTCTCTTCCCGCAGACCGAGTTCATGCGATGGTTGCTCGACGACGTTATCCGCACAAGGGTCATGTATCATGCCGTCCACAAGAGCGGGCTGTTCCGGGAGTACACTATCCAAGACGTCGCCGTGCCCTACGCAGCCGCAGAACAGTTGATCGACTACCTCGACGACTCCTTCGGCAAGTACCCGCTGTGGCTTTGTCCCGTGCGGCAGACCACAGCGCATGTAAGGGGTCTCATTGCGCGACGGCGTACGGGCTTCGAGGCCGAGCACGCGCCGGATATGATGCTTAGCGTGGGAGTCTGGGGACCCGGGCCTAAGGGCAAGACGCAGTTCCTTGATTTCAACCGACGGCTCGAAAAGTTGGTGCGTGCACTGGGAGGGGAGAAGTGGCTTTATGCGCGGACTTGGTACACGGACTCGGAGTTTTGGTCTATTTACGATCGATCTCAAATGGATGAGCTGCGGGAAAGATATCATGCTGGGTATCTTCCGAATTTGTATCACAAGGTTTGTGCCGAGCGAGGGGAGACAGCTATTGCAAAGCAGGGCTGGGTGCCCTGGCTGATGGAGAAGGTATTTCAGCAATGGCCAATATGCGGGGTTTATGGATTGATACACACTTTTTGGAATAAGGAGTATTTGCTGGATGATTCAAAGAAATGAGAATCCTAGGCAGTCAATGATAGACATTATTTCATTTTTAGTTTGTCCCCATGAATATCCTATGATTTTGTGCCCTATCCCGTACTGCACCATCGTGCTCTGAACCAGTCATATTCCATGGATGACTCGTCCAGGAAAGGATGTAACTCAGAAGTACAACCATCTGACAGGATAGTGGGCACCCTTGAGGCTGTGTATCAACAGGAGCCGTTGCCTAGGCGCATGTGCTCTATTTTAGGCCACATATCAACTCTCTCTTCATCTGTCTATAACCATAACCGAGCATCACCATGGAGGTCAAAAACCACGCGGCCATAAAATTCAGCAACACTGTGATGAGAGTCAATGCTGAAGTTTACCTCTTGACCAACCTAGTAGCCGGGAGGAGCATCGAAGAAATGGGAGAAGGAAAGGTTGTCTTTTGGCCCATGGGTTGAATGACTCATTCTGGAAGATCTGTATCGCTTAGTCGAATGTCTTAATTCAGACTCCATCTCACACTCTCCGTCATGATGAAGACCTGGCCAGGATTATCAACTGGGCAAGACGCGAATTCAAAAGGAGATCCGTTGTCTGAAAGAATGCTCGGAGGTCCACGGTATACCAAGGCTTCTTGATCATGCGCAGCTTGTCCAGACTGCTGAGCACGACCCTGGCCGCTATATGAACATTCTATCGATGTCGCGAGTTCCAGGCATCCCCGCAAAAATGATCCCGGGCTTGACTGATCCCTGTTGCGTTTTCTGGGAGACGCAAAAGCTTCCAAGGACTGGTTGCTACGGACCTTGTCAAAGGCAAAGAGCAAGATCATCGACGGGACGATCTATTCGACATCTTCCCCTGAGATGAATCTCGCTGCGTTTGGCACAAGAGCTCCTTGACCAATCGCCGTCATCATCCCAGTTTTCGCGTCGCTCAGCAGCCCAGTCACTAAGGAAGTCTTTTCTTGCCTTTAGTTGCCTTACGACTCAATTATCATCTGCGCGGCCGCACCCCAGGCAAAGATCGGCTCTGGCGGATACCACAGTCCTTTCTCGTGGGTCCAGTCCTTCGCGTTGCTACAATGAATTTTTCCTGGTTCTCTGCGTCCCTACTTGACCGGGCTGTCCGAAGCGTTCAGAACGCCCCTTATGGACTTCTGTAAATGTCCTCCATTGCGCTATGTGGTCCACGGATGGACTATACCAGTGAGCTTGCTTTTCCGTATGAGTAATGAGGAATCCCATGTCATAGACGCCTGCTCTTTAATGTTCTTCTTTGAAGCTGGAATCAAGGTGATAGAGCTGTTCTGTATTACTTGGATTATGTGCTTCCCTAGGTGTATGAAGGTAAGGTACTTGAAACTTTCTATTGTTAGATCACTTTGTTCACCAACCATTTCGATATAGCTAAATCCTCACACATTATGAACTCACCTTGCACTACTAATATTTACCTTCAAATAGGAATCTATGCTTTTGCCTTGTGATGCTTGAGTGGTATCTTGCCTTGCATTTTTCTTGAGCATTAAGCCACAGAACGACTTATCCAGTATCCTAATCCATTCTGAGCCCTGAATGGACCCTCAGCACTTTCAAGTAAAGAGTGTAATCTCACATTCTTAGTACATTGCTAGGGCATAGGGCAAGGGCAACACTAAAGCCCTAGATACGCCAACGCGCACTGCCATTCTAGAATTCCTGTAAGCTCATTCCAACGCGCTCTGTTTCAAACAAGAGCACCAAATGCTTACAGGAAGAATTCCAAGAACTGTACAGCTATCTTACTTACTGACCATTACTGACCAAAATCAAAACAAAGCCAAGGGCTGAACTGTCCATCGAATCCATCAGACTTGAATTGCTGAAAAATGTGGGTTGAGTATGCAGGACACCGCTGTAAAGAACCGAGTACGATAGTACAACCTGGTACAGCCTGGTACTTTCGATTACATGGAATATCTTGTTCTGTGTCATCATCTTCAGGACCTGGGCCGTGTGCATAACAGGAAGACATATTATCATCCACGGACAGTGATTTCAAATCATAAAATGGAGTAAATGAACAGAGCAATTATATTAATGTCTCTGATTATTTACCCTGTAAGAAGCAAGGGATAGTAAAAATTCTGACTGTCCGACTGGCAGGAAACTCGCAGCGTGTTGTATTTCCTACAGAAGACTGACTCTCTGGAGTTACTATGGTTTAATGTCGCTGACTTCCTACCCATACAGGAAGACTGTACTGCACCTCTATCTAAGACTAATGCATGGTACTTGCGAGTTGCCTTGTTATCACACACAGATAAACTCCGAGATGGAGTCTTCGGTTCTTTAGACGGGAACCTGTTGGATCATGGACGAAGCTAGTGGAGTCTCCTCCATGGTACAAGTTGCTCCAAATGATGACATCCATCTGCACTTGAGCCGTTGACGCCGACGCTACAAGGTTCTTAGCTGGTCTCGGTCTGACTCGCTACCTTGTATGCTTATGGATACTCCGAGGAGTATCTATGCTACTGTTTCAACCAAATCGATTAGAATGATGGACAACGTAAGCCGGACTCATCTTCCCGCACATGGAAATTTTGGACGCCCTGTACGACGTGGAAAAGCCTATCCTTAAGCCATCAGACAGAGATTGCAGAGGATTGGTCTGCCTGGGCTTCAGGGGTCTCGGCCTCGGTCTGGATTAATTTTGGATTTGGAGTCACATCAGTGGAAGTCTCACGTATGTGCCTTATTGATTAGGAGAGGGGGGGATAGATGGGCTTTTATTGGTGCGCGGAAATTGTCGATATCAATAGCGTTCGCACATCTCTCAGGCCAGTCAGACTCAGGATTGGGAAATCTTCTAGAAGGACTTTCCAATCCTTACTGTCGAATAAGCTGGTCGCAAGGTAGCCGATTTAGCTGTGTACCTGTGTAGCGCAAGTACGACATCCTCAGGTGCAATTTCTGTATTTTTGACCATGGACGACTCACATGTATTCCGTACTCTACTGTCTACCTCTATCCGTTCAATAGCCTGGATCCGGGTAGATCTTTTCTACAGCTGAAACTGAGTCAACCGTTTTGCTTTAGAGTTTTTTTCTCTTGCTGTTCGTTTTGATCTACAAGATACTAACCAAGTTGCGGTCTGCCCGTTTTCGTTGCTGGGTTGCTGCCCAGCAGGTCGCAGCGGTAAAGCCCATCGACCACTTGTTGCCTGTTGCCTGTTGCCCAATAAGCTGTCTTGCTTCGTACAAACTACAAAGACTGGCTATAGATTGAATCAAGAATAAAATGCCATATGGCTCCACTCGAGAGCAAAATCCTAATCTATCAACTATCGAGAAGAAAGTCTGCTAGAACTGTTGTCGTAGACCCGTTCTGAAGGGCGAACCATGGACGGTGTACGGGAGTGTCCCGTAGCAAATCCATGGAACAATCTGTCATGTTCCAGCACCTTATATAGACATTGGACGTCTTTAACATAAGTAGTAGTGATATCCATATTATCTTTGTGTCGCGTGAGGATGATTACCATTCCTACCGTTCAACCAATGCTGAGTATATCGCATATCGCCACCGTCATCAACGAGTTTATCTATAAGTAGATTTAAAGATTCAAGCATTCAGCTTTATCCTCTCCAATGACACGGGGATCATAATCAGCTGAGCCACAGTGGCAATAGCAAGATTGACTCATATGTGCTTGTGTCTCCAGGCTCCAGTGCAGTCATGTTTAGAAGCACATGAAGATGTCGTTCATAGGTATCATCTGAAGTAGAGAAGAGAGAACTAGCAACGAGTAGATGAGTCAGCAATGGCACAGACTGACTCTTATCATGCTGCGATGATGGAACATTCATATGGCTGGTTGGTCGAAGGCCTAACTTCGTGCCGAATCCTGTTCTCTCTTTGTTAAATTTGAGCCGTCCAGAGTGTCAATACGATATACGATGCCCACTCGAACGTAACCTATGAAGGGGATATGATGTGACTATCTATATGACTCGATGGGACTTAATTTCGAACACCATAATCCGTACTCTGTAAAAAGTATCGAGTTGCTTAAGTATAAAAGCATCAAATCTTCACAGCTTGTCGATATTCATAGAATATAGGCGCCCATCCATTCGCAAGCATCTTACACCCCCCTTTCCCTCAGCCACTGTGGTTGGGCCCAAAAATGTCAAGAATTCTGATTTTCATTTCTCGCCTCGCGCCCAATCGTAAATTATCTTTCATGCTGCGTATTTCACTAGGTTACTACTAAAAATCGAGCCGAAGTACAGTAAGACTAAGACTAAGATTACGGAGTACATTAACCCCCAATACCTGAGAGATACAGCCCCACCTCTTAACGCCACGGCCTGTGCCAGAGTGCCTTGATTATTCCTACAAAACCAAGCGATATCCCCGGCGAAACCCCCTTCGCACCAAACTTATCCGCCCTATTTGGGTTCATATTCATCCTCCACGTTGTCCTTTCGGTGACAAAATAACCTCTGAATAGTTCCTGGGTCAGGTGCCGAGGACGAGCAGCATCAGAAACTCGCTACGAGAAGAAGATCGATATTCTGTATCGTGGAATATCGCTCCGCTGGATTTCTCACACTGAGACTTGTGTGTGAAGTTCGCCTCCCGGTGACGAACGAATACATACATAACCCCTTGGCTCAGCGATCGGTCAACCGACGACGCTCAAATGCACTCTCAGCAAACACAATTTCAACCCTCCTCTCCCCTGCAAACCGTACCACGGTGACGGTCCTCATCCTCAAGTCTGAATTCTTCTGCGCTGTCCGCTATCTCGTTTCATAACCGGCGTCGATCGGCTTGCTTCGAACGATATCCTGTACAATATACTCTGGGTTGTTTTGTTTCAGTCGTCTGTTGGGCTGTTTCTCTGATCGCAAGTCTTTTTCTCTTTGCTTTGAAATCAGCATTTACAAGCAGTTGCTTTTGCCTCGATTTTCCATGCTCTGGCGATAATGTATCACTACGCTTCACCACCGCCTGGGTGGTCCTCGTTCGACTACATGAACGCTCCTCCGACCTCTCCCCACTACGCCTACTACGCGACACAATTTGCGAGTCCCTACGTTTCTCCTCGAGGCACGTCGAAGCGCCACAATCGCAAAGCCAGCTACGCCGCCCCCAAGGAATCGGGAGCATGGCATTCCGGGTACGGCCAGAGCTTCTACGAAGCGATGCCGGAATATGGCACGCCGCCACGCAAGCACGAAAATGTAAGTGCTTTTTCTGCTGGCTATTCATCCTGTCCTCGTCGACGGGCCATGTCCAGCGCGACAGGCCTGTGGGACAAGAGCGGTTATCATTTCTATGAGAAACCGCATCCGTCGGCACAACGTCGCTCCTCCATCTTTGTGGATGTGGTCGACGATGTGTTCGATGACCGACCGCCCGGGACATCGAAGCGGGACAGCCACGCCCAGCCGCGTCGACAGCCGTCGTGGTCGTCTCAACGCAAGGCAAGGCCACCCACTGATCCATATTTCTCCTCTCCCCAGGTCCCCGCGTACGACGACTATGATTCCCCCAAGCGATCGCGGGCGCGCCGCCAGTCCACCTCCACGCGCACCCCGTCCAAGCCCAAGCCGTCCGCCACCTCCAAGGCACCACCCAAGGCGACCGAAGAGGACGCCGCGCGGGCCGGAATCCCGCCGGGCTATTCGATCAAGAACTGGGATCCGACCGAGTCGCCTATCATTCTGCTGGGGAGTGTTTTCGATGCGAATTCGCTAGGCAAGTGGATCTACGACTGGACCGTTTTCCACCACGGCGCTTCGACCCCGATGGCCGACGTGGCGGGCGACTTGTGGTTGCTTCTGATCAAGCTGGCGGGTAAGGTGAAGCGAGCGGACGAGTGCCTGGATCGAATCAAACGACCCGAGGCGCAGGAGGTCGTGGAGGATTTCCTGGCAAGTGGCGAACGCCTGTGGGCGCGGTTCAAGAAGCTGCTGCGCACATGTGAGCAGTTCATGTGGAAGGCAGCCAAGCGGGAGAGTGGTGGCAAGGGCCCCGTCTCGATGGGCCGCAATGCGGGCTGTGAATTCGTCGAGTCGATTTTCGGGCGCGACCGCGAGTTGGAGAACACGGAGAAATTGATGAACAGCATCCGGGTGTGGAACATGCGCTTTGATGCAAACTGCGAAGAGATCCTACGAAGACCGTCCGCCGCTTAGCCCACGGCAGTTTTTCCATATTCCCTATTTGCCTATTTCCCGATTTCCCTATTTCCCCCAAATGTTGGACCCGGTTTACAAAAGTTTGTGTTTTCTTTTCTCGTCTTCTTTCTGCTCGTTTCTACCGTCTAATAATCAGCGTCGGTTCGCAAGCGCAGGCGAAGCCTCTTCTCGCCCTCTGCCAGCTTTAATCCTTGTTTGTTTCTTTCTATTCGACATGTCGGATGCATTCTGAGCGCGTTTGGTTTGGCACTGGATTTGCTCGTTTGCGGTTCTGATACCTCCTCCCCGACTACAAGCGGCACCAACAAACACCCAACTCCCCGCTATCAGCGCGAATCATCTCATCGGTTTCTGGCGCCCTTTCTTGAATTCTTTTTCTCTGACTCATTCCTGGGACGGGTATGTGCTTTTGCTCTTGTCCGGCGCGGGAGTCGTTTGCATTTCTCTACGCAAGTTGGAGTCTTTGCTTTTTCACTTCTCTTCGATGATACCATTTTGCGTTCTCTCTGTCTCGGGCACGGTTGGTTTGATTCATTCCTTACTGCGCATGTCTTGCTTTTCCTTTGTTTTCTGCTTGTGTTGCGTCAAGACCCGCGTCATAGACACCAACTACCATCGTACCGATAGACTTGAATTTACCACTTTTTCACTTGGCAGTTCTCACCTGGAGCATATCATATTCTTGCAGTAATTATCTGAGAAGATACCTCAAGTACTTTGTAGTCTTAGTCTTAGTCTTAGCTTAGTCTTACCCCTCCCACTATTCAGATACTACCTAGGCTGAGTCTGATGTCATCTGACGGGCCATAGCCATGTTCATGCGCCAGCCATGCGAATGATATGATGTGATGTGATATGGCCTGCATCGCGGCAGTGATCATCATTCTCAGTGATCGGTGGCATTGGCATTGGCATTGGCATTTACCCCTCAGCCTGTAGTAGTGTAGCGCCTAGTCTACCTTACCCCTCTTGAGACCTTCTATTCTTGCTAGTCAGACTGCAGGATCAGGCATCGTCGGGCGAATCCAATCCCCGTTTCCTGTGGACTATGTACTCCGTCTGCATGCACGGTTATTACACGCTAGGGTACCTGTAGGTTGAGTAGGTACTCCGTATTACGCTTACCTTGGGCTTACACTGTAGGTACCTAGGTACTCTGTACTCTGTAACCTTGGGTACCTAGGAGGTATGGAGGTAGGTACTTTACTGATGAGTAATATGTTACTGGCCATGTGTGTGTGCGACCACGTGTTTATGTGGTGTTTTCGGAAGTCATAGGACCACTTAGGTATTCTCTTAGTAAGGAGTGGTGGAACAGATGATGATGTGATGAATATAAGGTGATAATTGAGCCAAGTAGACTTCTCAAAGCACCAGGGGTACAGACATACAGGGGTACTGAGGATGGGTGGTCTCTGCATGTCGCTGACCAGCATTCGAGTCTACTTCTATTATGCATCTATCTATGTAGGTATCGGTATCAGGTATCTACTTCTCTTCAGCCCTCCAAAACAACCAACCCACCCCAATCACAAACTTGAACCCAGCCGCCATCCACAGCGCAGACTGCATCCCCCCGCTACTCCGACTCAACCACCCGCCCGCAATCGCCCCAACAAGCAACATCACCACCCCTCCAACCCTCCGATTCCGCTTCGCATTCGCGGTCGGCTTCTCCCGCAGCTTCGGATCAGACGCAACGTCGAAATACACACTCGTCAGCACCACCGTCGGAATCTCGTTATACCCCAGCGCGCGGCTCGACGTGATCGACCCCGCAGACTGGAACGCCAGCAGCGCGATCGGGATCAATTCGAGGAAGAGCGAGCCCCCCGTCAGCGCCGCGTCCTTGGCCGTATGCGGGATCAGATCGGCCTCGATGAGCGCGACGGCGATGACGATGAGGATGGTTTGCACCATGAAGGAGGTGAAGAGGGTGCCGCGGCGGCGGGCGCCGGTGCGACGAGTCACGTTGGAGAAGATCAGCGCGCCGACGAAGAACGAGGCGATCGAGGTGAGCGATTTGAGCCAGCCCCAGGGTTTGCTGGATGGTTGGCCCGAGGCGCCGAGGCCGAGGAAGATGGTGTTTCCTGTGCTGCGTTAGAGTTGCTGGGAATAACCATGAGGGGTGAGGTGAGTCATACCCGTTTGCATGGCGAGGAAACAGGACCAGGCGTTGTAGGCGCTGCTATCGCAGAGGCCTGTGTTCAGGCATAGGAGCAGACAAATGAGGTCTGCGTAGGTGGTATCGACGGATTGCTTCCAGCGCTGTGCGAAGGTCCGGCGTTGTTTTTGTGGTTCCCCTCGGGGGTGGGCTTCTAGGTCAGGCGCATCGGCGGTTTTGTCGGCCATTGTCGCTGAGCACTGCCAGATTCAGGTTCTGAAAAATGTACTCCGTACGGCGGACGCGGCTGTCAAGTGTCATATAAATCCTCCGAGGTGACAGCGCGGAGCTCGCCGAGTGCAAAAATTTGCGCCGATAAAAGAAAAATCAAGAAACGGAGAATATCCGACTACGGAGTAGTAAACAAGTCTTTTACTCTCTCCGTACTAGTCTGGTCTGCAGCTATGACTAGATCGGCAAGATATTTGCTGCCTGATTCCTAGGCTCGAAGCTATCCATAGAAATGCAGGTTGCGCTCATCGAGAGCTTCGATTGCGACATTGGACCTCCTAATGCTGGATTGTTATTTGTCAATGCATTGTCGTCAAAGAAGCTGAGGCAGTTGCCAGTAAGACAATGTGGGTAGGGCCCACGTCCCCGCACACGTAGGGCTGAGGTTGGGGCATTACAACTCTGAGGTTAGACTAGGTAGTTGTCGGTACTCAAGAGAGAGGCAGAAAAGAATATCTGGTACCTCTCTAGTAGATCGAAGAAAAGGAATATAGTTTTGGAAAAATGGATATTGAAGTCTACTTCGTGATGTCCGGAGTTTATTATTGATTATTGATGACTTCATTGTGCTGTCAAGGCATCAAGGCATCAAGACATCAACGCAACAAGGCAACAAGGCAACAAGGCAACAAGGCAACAAGGCAACAAGGCAACAAGGCAACAAGGCAACTTGGATCACATGGCAATCAAACTGTCAAACATCCTCTTCATGGATATTTGATGAAAATAATAACATTCGAGCATGCCCTAGACGAGATCAGTCTCGAGCTATACGCTATCTAGAGATGTCTCGAGTTCTAGGCCAGTCCACCAACCTTCCAGTCGTCCACACATGGTCGAGAGGAGGCGTACATGAGGATGCCACCTGGGGATGGCGACTAAACTTTAGTAACATAGTTACCCTGTTGTCCTTCATTGCAAGCAACCCATATGTGTTCGGCACAGCTGCTTCGACATCTTGCATCCTCATATGGTAGTGAAAGGAACAAGAACCCTTGAAAGGAAGTATCAGGGTCCCTCAGGAGTAAATCGCGCAGACATTTGTCGTAGATTGGCACGCGACTCCAGTTCAATAAAGTCAAATGATATCACTCATACAACAGCCAGTCATGACATTCCTCCTTCGAGAATATCAAAGAATCAGTGGCACAAACGATGGCTGCAAGTGGAATGGCCACAAATGATATCTTTGTGCGGAGAAGCTGATGTTGCTGAGTGTGGGCGTCATCGTCGTGTCATCGACGCCACCTCTCTTGTGTGATCGAATATAACAGAGCCGTATCGGAGGCAACCCTTTTGTTCAAACACAATCTGAACAATCGAAGCTGCACCAGAATAACATTGTATAGGTTGGTGAGTAAGATCGGCTAGCTCACCCACGTCCGTCATTTTGAGAACACCTTCAGCAAGAGGACTTATAGAATGTCTTGCCAGCTGATATTAACTTCTCCAGATCACACAGGTCACATAGTCAAAATGGCGGGATCGAAAACTGAGACCGCTGTGCGCTTCCCTGAGAGGGACAGCCAGACCCGTCGTCTGCGCAACCAAACCACCCAAGACCGCAAGGCTGTAGCTCGGATGCGTGCTCAGGCTTCTTCGGCTCAAAGCAGGGTTGCGAAGGCTACTGCTGGTGAGGAGTGGACGCCAGTCGAGAACTTCGAGACCACCATGGACCAGGACGGCAACCCGGTGCCTGATATGGCGTATACCGACTATGAAAAGATGACCAAGCACAAGGGTACCCAAGACGAGGCCGATGACTACGAGGCTGCCAATGCAGACTTTGACTAAGTCGACGACTCCTCATCGGCTGTGTACATTCCAGTCACTCGATATGACGGACATGTGAATTCTTGTCAAGGAACAATGTGTACTTTCGCATATTCGCAGAGGTCGTAAAATATGAAATCAAATTACCCTTATACCTCGCTATGACTAGATTTAGCAATTGCTTCACGAGTAGTCCGGGTCGTAGGTCATAGTTGAAAACCAAGCTCAATCGACGGGGAAGGATCTTTCTTCCAGGACCTAGGATTGGTGCCTTTTAACAGTATGAATCTGTAGAAAGCGCTCATAGGAGCGGTGATAAATCCGAGGCTTGTCTTATTGCTATGGCAACCCATGGCAGCATATCGGGATCCCGGTGCCTCAGGCACCCGCAATCCCATTCTGGCAAAATCCAAACGATGCCTGAGAGTATTCAGCTTCACGACAGCCGGAAATCCACCTTTGGTGGACTCAACTTGTCATCCCTGATCGCTTTTGCGACTTCAGGCCTTTGTCCTTTGAATCTCATCTCTTATGCTGTTGCTGCATGTTTCTTTCTTTCAATTTCCATTGCAGAAGTCCCTCTGATTTGACAACTTCTCTGTTTACCCCCATGTAGGCAGTACAGTTGATGAATCCGACATCAAGAGACCAGGATATCTTGATTTACTTCTTACAATATTTCGCGCAATTAAATTGATCTAAATTTCTCTCTTGCGCCGAAGGAAGGCTCTGCCAGCGACGACTTTTTAAACTAAGATTCCATCGATCCTCCTCTATTCACAGCCGCCCGCTGCAACTTCACTCTTTCCTTCTTTTGCTGGTACAGCTGTTTGTATGTACCATCACCTGACCCAGCGCTACCGTGAGCTCATCACTCATTTTATACATTTATTGAAGGAACACAGTCGAGACATGGCGCTGGACCCACGCTTCTACCACCATCTCGGCCACGGCACCGGACCTGGCTCCCACATCTCCTCCTCGTCGTGCGGCGCTTCAGCAATCACAGGTATAACCAGCCCTTCAGCTATGTCGACTTCCGCCTCCGCAGCCACGTTGCGTTCTACAGCCTCCATTCCGTCCCTTCGCGCGAGAGAAAGCGTCGCTGTCCCCGCTAGACCTTCGGATGGCATGTCGAGTCCAACACCTGGGGGTAATGTCAAAGTCGTCGTCCGTGTGAGGAAGTTCTTACCTAGAGGTATGTCGTGGCTGGGAAACACAGGTACAGGCATGGATAGAGTGAGCTAATCTCGGCCCGAACGGCCATTGAATGGTATAGAAACTGAGCGCAATGCGGAATGCCTTATCGAGATGGATCCTCACACGCAAATGACCAAGCTCAAAGCGCCCAAGATTGACCCAGACGATGAAGGAAAGCCAAAGTCTCAAGCTCGTGGCAAGGTCCTGGAGGACAAGGCATTTGTCTTTGACAACTCATTTTGGTCCCATGACGCCAATGACGAACATTACGCCACCCAGGAGGACGTCTACAATTGTCTCGGCGAGGAATTCCTCGACCATAACTTTGAAGGATACCACACTTGCATATTCGCGTACGGGCAGACAGGTTCGGGAAAGAGTTATACCATGATGGGGACTTCAGAGCAACCGGGCTTGATACCTCGGACCTGCGAAGACTTATTCCAGCGCATCGAAAGTGCCGAGTCGCCCGATGTCAGCTACAATGTCCGCGTGTCATATTTTGAAGTGTACAACGAGCATGTTCGCGACCTGCTGGTTCCCCGAACAGACCCTCCGCATTACCTCCGCATTCGCGAGTCTCCCTCGGAGGGCCCCTATGTCAAAGATTTAACAGAGGTTACTGTCAGAAACTACAACGAACTCATGAAGTACATGCGCAAGGGCGACGTGTCTCGCACCGTCGCGAGCACCAAGATGAATGACACTTCTTCCAGGTCACACGCCGTCTTCACCATCACCTTGAAGCAGATACACCACGACCTTTCGACAGATGAGACGACTGAGCGCACGGCCCGAATTCGGCTGGTCGATCTTGCCGGATCCGAACGAGCCAAGTCTACTGAAGCTACCGGTCAACGACTTCGGGAAGGGTCCAACATCAACAAGTCGCTCACTACTCTGGGTCGAGTCATTGCAGCTTTGGCGGACCCTAAACATGGGCGTTCTGGAAAGCGCAAAGGAAAGGACGTGGTGCCGTACCGAGACTCAATACTCACTTGGCTTCTCAAGGACAGTCTTGGCGGCAACTCGAAAACCGCAATGATCGCATGCATTTCTCCCTCGGACTATGAGGAAACACTTTCCACCCTTCGCTACGCGGACCAAGCGAAGCGTATTCGCACTCGTGCTCGGGTTAACCAGGACCATGTGTCTGCCGCGGAGCGTGATCAGCAGATTGCAGAAATGGCGGAGACTATCCGAGCCCTTCAGCTCAGCGTGAGCCTGGCCGCTGCTAACAGAAGGGAAACCGAGATTCAGAACGAGCGACTTGAAGTCTACCAGCAAAAGGTAGAGAAGATGCAGAGGCTTATGGAAGAAACCAAGATGGTCAGTGAGTGCAAGATTCGGCAACTGCAGACCGAAAATGAAGCGCTTCGCAACCATCTGAAACTCGCACTGGACAGCCTCAAGAATCCCATACCCCTGGTAACCATCGAGAAGCGCAAAAGCGGCTTATCTGCTTTGGGAGAAGAGAGCGGCAACACAGATGACGGGGTCAACGAGAACCGGCCCGAGTCACCGATTTCTGAGGCAGGACCAGAGCCCGACCTCATCTGGGAAGATGATGACACGATCCGCATCGAGGCAAGTCAGGTCAAGGCACAGGAAATGCAGGCCGACATGGAAGACTTGCTGGTGGATTTGAACATGTTTAAACGCAAACTGGCCTCCGACCATGAACGATTTCGATTCATCCAGAAGCACGAAACTCGCAAAAGACGTCGTGCGCTGGAAGCTGTTTTGGCCAATAATCGCTAGGATATCTCGCCGGACACAATGCTTTCAGGGTGGCTTTTTTGTCGTATTTCAAGAGCAAGCAGGAGTTTGGACTCTGGAGTTTCATGGAGTTCGTGTTTATCTGTGCCTTTGAAAGCCATTCCAGGATACTCGACGATCATAGTCTGACTCGGAACTTCCTTCAAGTCTCTGGTGACGGATATCTGCTGGTGAAGCATTTATTGGAGGCCTTTTTGTTCTTACAGCGTGTGCTCTTTCTGTGACTCTGCAATGAAACGATGGGATGATATTATGTCAGTACGATACACGTGACGAATTGGTTAACGAGATAGTAATGAAGCCAATAATTTATTTTCTGCATCCAACTCCCAAGTATGAACGTCGAAGGCATTCGCACATTGATCTGGATTGCACTTCCAGTATTTAAATGCAAGGACGGAGTTACACCGCCTGAATTTTAGGGCTGCCTTAGTGCCGGCCTTGGCCTTTCCTCTTTTGGGTGTTCTGACTCAACTTTCGGCGTGACTTGAGGCTTTCGATCCCGCCGGACTTCCTCCCACCCCCACAATCACCAAGAAAAGTCGCCAATGCCCCTCTCGCCTCCGTTATCGCGGTAAATCAATTAAACCTGAGATGGCCACTCCTGTCAACCCGCCAGTACCTTCGTCGACGTCAGAATCTGCCACTACCGCGCCGGCGCAACAACAACCTACCTCAGAAATGCAAGCCCAGCAACAGCAACCGCCCCGCGAACCCAAGGGAGCCGCAAGTGGCGCATCGAAACCCGCCAAACAATCCTCCAAATCCAAAGAGGGCGCGTCCTCGGCCGATGGAGCCTCGCAGGCAGGTGCAGGATCCGAGAAACTTACCCCCGCCGAACTAAAGAAGAAGGCCAAAGCGGAAAAGGCCGCCCGCAGGGCGAAGGAGAGGGCTGAGAGAGAACAAGCCGGTGGTGCGGCGCCGGCGCAGGGCGCGAATCCTCCATTTGCGAAGAAAGGGCAGTCCGGTGCCGGGGGAGCTGGCGGTGCGGGCGGGAAGGAGGCTGCTGCTGCGGCGCAGTCGCAGAAGGGACGGGGGTATCTGCCGCGTCGGGGCTCTGCGCAGGCTGCGGGGGTTGCGGAGCAGAAGAAGAAGCAGGAGGATAAGAGCGTGGCTGTTTTTGGACACCTTTATGGGCAGCAGCGGAGGACTACGGTTGCTGGGGCGGGCAAGGAGGTGCATCCTGCTGTGTTGGCTTTGGGGTTGCAGATGAGGGATTATGTGATTTGTGGGAGCAGTGCGCGGTGCGTAGCGACGTTGTTGGCGTTCAAGAGGGTATGTTCTTTTTCTTTTCCTTTTTGTTGAATACGCTTTTTTTGAATTGGGGTTGATGCTGATGTGGTTTTTCGTTCCAAGGTGATCGAGTCCTACACAACGCCTCTTGGTACCTCTTTGGCTCGTCACTTGACTACCCACCTCTCCCACCAGATCACCTATCTCTCCACTTGCCGCCCTCTCTCGATCAGCCAGGGAAATGCTATTCGTGCGCTCAAGCTGGCTATTTCCTCGATTGACCCCTCCGTCCCAGAGGCGAGTGCCAAGGCGTCGCTAAGCGACTTTATCGACAGCTTCATCCGCGAAAAGATCACGGTTGCAGACCAGGTCATTGCGGACAGTGCCGCGCAGAAAATCCAGGATGGCGATGTGATTGTGACATACGCCGGCAGCTCGATTGTCAAGCAAACCCTTCTCACCGCACACAAGCAAGGCAAGAAGTTCCGGGTATCCATCATCGACTCTCGTCCGCTGTTCGAGGGCAAGAACATGGCTCGGACATTAGCCAAGGCGGGTCTCGAGGTTCAGTACTCGCTCGTCAACGGCATCAGCCATGCCATCAAGGACGCTACCAAAGTGTTCCTCGGTGCCCATGCGATGACCAGCAATGGTCGGTTGTACTCCCGCGTCGGCACGGCGCTGGTCGCCATGTCCGCCAAGGAGCGTGCCGGTGGTGTGGAAGTCCCCGTCATTGTATGCTGTGAGACCGTCAAGTTCACGGACCGAGTTGCTCTTGACAGCATCGTCGTCAACGAAATTGCCGACGCGGACGAGCTGGTAATGAACGAGCCTTTGCAGCAAGTGACAGGTCTGCCTGACCCGGCTGCCGTTGCTCAACCAGAGCCCAAGAAGGGCAACAAATCCGCTGCGAATCCCAGCCCTTCCGAGTCTACTGCGGTCACACAAGGGACTTCGCCTCTGAAAGACTGGAGAGACACTCCCAACCTGCAACTTTTGAACATCATGTACGATGTGACACCGGCCGAGTATGTTGACATGGTCGTTACCGAAATGGGCAGCCTGCCGCCAAGTGCCGTCCCAATCGTGCACCGGATGAGCACAAATATGTGAAATGGTGTGGCTATTTCAAATCAAAAAAGGAATCTGCTCATAGGTTGATGACACTTCTCTGTCGAATCTGACATTCCTTCGGGCCCTGTTCGGGGAAAAAGATAATTGGTCATCTGAATGATCCACATCGCAGTGCATTGATTTCGAAAATGAAGGATGACAGCTGCGTCAGTTGACAGGACTACTGCAAGTATCCGTTGTATCGGATCTGCATCCTGCATGGTTTCGGTCTGGGCAAAGGATCTACTACTTGGTTTTGACTTTTCAATTGTGTAATGATATTCGGCTATTCATGCAGCTTAGCGGGTCAATTAGAGAAAAGTTTATCATCTGGTTATGCTCCTTTGTAACAAGATGTTTTGTAATTCAAGACATGATGCCTCTCGTGACATCTTGAAGATAGCCGCCTCAGGCAACAAGACAGGAATCGATTGAGAAGGCGGTGTACGGAGGTAACTACCAGCTCTTATCACGGCTCTTTCATCGCTACTGTACTCTCATCGTGCCAAACAAACATTCAGGGAACTCATATTCGCCTCGCATTTGAAATTCGTCGAGCCTCATCACAGCAAATTATACTTCAATAAGAGTTCTATTTCGATATTCGCCGCAATCCAAAATGGTTAGTCCTCATCCCCACCACCAATCCATCGAAACATACTCCGTAATAACCACCCAACTGACCCCGACCCTCTACAGAGCAAAGACTCCTCCCCCACAAACATCCACATGCATCATCCCCGGCTAGCCGACTACTTTGAAGAATTCACCCGCCCACACACCTCCCAAACAGCCAACGTGACCGCGTCCGCTTCCGCCTCCCACCTCTACCAGCACGGCTATAGCCACGGCGTCACGTACGGCTCCTCCTCGCCGACGCTGGTCCCGTCATACCTGCCAATCGAAGAGATCTATGTGCTGCCGCAGTATCAGCCGCCCAACCCGGAGGATGAGGATGATGTGGTGCCGGACCAGCATGCAGCGTTTGGTATCACGAGGGCGATGGAGCGGAAGAGGGAGCCTGTTTGGAGGGATTTGGGGTTGGAGGGGTTGGTTGCTGGTGGAGGGAGTGGGGGTGGGAAGGTGAAGGTGAAGGTGAGGGTTAAGCAGGCGGGAAGGTTGATGGGTGGGAAGAGGACGGTTTGTCTGCGGTGATGGACCCTAGTGTGGGTCGAGGGTTCGATTTCGTGTTTTGGGTGTTTCTTTGAGAGCGAGGTGTTATGGTTTATTTTCATTATTGATACCAGGGTTCAGGGAAAGGGAACAAGGTCATTATTATTGTCATGTCTATCGTGACTCCAAACGCCGTGTAGCGGCTGGTAATATACAATTATATGCGAATAACGTCCACCCGTGCCCGTTCGTAGAGCTTATGACTTAGCTGTTTCTGTTCTCGTTCGTCGTCTGCTATTACGCGTGGGTGAATCGCCATCTGTGCATATGTCCCCGCTGCTCGTCGTTTGGATAATGTGCCGGGGTTGATCACCAGGACACTGTCAACAACCTGGATGAAACGGTGTTAGAAATGAGAACGAGAGCGAAAGACACTGGGGGAAATACCTTGACAAATGGGGGAAGCAGACTCGGGGTAATCAACACGTCCGGTCGTACATTCCACCACTCTCCTAGCTTGGAATAGCTGAGGTCTAACATGGCTCCCGTCGCAACACCGTTTTCCGTTGCCGGTTTGGGAAGATTCTCGCGGGAAGAGGGAGGGAACATGGGGAGGAAATGCCGTTGTTCGATGAGATATTTGGGCAACCGAGTCAGGAGGCTGCCTTCCTTGGGTTTGCCGTGCAGGACCTCCTCCCGTCGTAAATCGTATAGCACGTCATACGAACACATGCCGATGACGGTCTCGTTGAAGGACAATGTCACGGGATTGGATACCATCCGGACCTGTTTTGGTAACCCGAGCTCCTTCTTGGGCAACTGCTCCTGCGGCCAGGAGACGTGCTTACTCAGTGCATCCCGAACGGACGGTATCATCACGACCGTAATGCTGGGCACAGCTGCGACGAGTTTCTGTAGCGGCGCTGTGATGCAGTGCCTGAACACGGTTGCCAATGTGGCAGTGTCAGGGTCATATCCTTTCATATTGGGCAGGTCAAAGTCCCCTGACGACAACAGTGGATGCTCAATATCCAAAAACGGCCCCATCAGTACAAGACTATCCGCATAGTTCTCAGCGGCTTTCTGACAGATCTCGTGTAGCGGCTCAAAAGCGAGATTGTCATCTGCTGTGTATGGCCCAGACGCGATCAAGACATTCAATGGCGAGGTAGAGCCGGCGTCATCGAGCCTCTGATTGATGCCGTCCACAGTAACCGCAGACGACGCCGCAGGCGGTAGTAGGGGTGGGGGCAACACCTCCTTGACGGAGAAATAGTTCCCTGAGGCATTGATCCCTCTCAGCGCAACTATCTGTCCGGGAAAAAAGTTCGCTGAAGGTACTGAATCCAAATTCAATGGTACACGTAGACCAGCGCCTGTTCGTCTGGAGGTCTCAAGAACAAGTGACGCTGGATTTAGCTTCCCTTCCAAGCTGTCCGAAGCAATGCGTCCGACAGCAATAATCTCGCTTGTGCTCTGAATAGCGGCGCTGCCAAAGTTGACATCTTCCGTTTCATATTCCTTCTGGTAGATTTCGGTGAATTCATCGATCCGATCGTCCAAAATTTCGGATGCTTCAGAAACCCGCATCGCCATCGGTTTATAACCGAACTTCTTGAGGTCCGTGTTCGCAGTGGGCCTTATCCTGGCTTCTGAAAAAGGTGCCATTGGCGTCTCGGGCATGGACAAATGCGCATTAAGGGTTTCGATGGTCTGTCCGGGATTGGGTCGTTCCGAGAAAGGCACGAATCTGTTCTCAGTCAGTCAAGCCCTCAGACCGCACGAGACTGATCCATACTGTAATCCATCGACTGCACCGCCACCGTTCACAGCTATTGAAGCGGTTTTTGAGTTCGGAGTCTTGTCATTGTCGGTCTTTCCGACCTTCGAAAGCGAAGGAGATCCAAAGTCTGATTTGCGTTTCGCCGAGCCATTCACACTATTCGGAGTCCGACCATGGGCGTTGGGTGTCAATCCGTCCAATCTAAGTAAGAGTGCTTGATAAGCGCTTCCGATATGACGAAATAGTAGTATGAATACTTCAATAGCCTTACATTCCGAAAACATCGGACGCATTTGCAGCTCGCGGCGTCGCTGTCACTGCGCTTCGTTTCTCTGTCTGTCTGCCTGCCTTTCCTCGACTTTCTCTCTCCAATGCTTCCTGGACATCACGCTTGAATAACCGAACTGTCTCCAGATTCAGCTTGGTGTCTTCTGCACCCATCTTCAGGCAGTACGATTCCCATTTATAGAAGAGCTCCTGTGGGGGGATCGAATGGACACGCAGTATAGACTGCAACTCCGCAAGGACATCCTTGGGTAGCCCATCTGGCGACGCGGCTGCGAAGAGCTCATTGAGCTCTGCTGTAGCATCGTCCATATTTATCAACTTCGGTTGCAATATCGATATCGAGGTGGTTTTGATGCAGCAAGAACGAGCAATTGCATTGTCGGTTGCTGTAACTTGAACCATAGACAAAACGCGTCAGACACGCGTGGGGCACGCGACGCCCATTAAGTGGTTACCGCCTACTGCTTTCTGATATTCTGCGCCGTAATCACTAATCGGTCTATTGTTATCGTTCAGTGGGCCTGTCGATCTCGATGAGGCTTGCTGGCATTCGGTGACGCTGCTAGGGAAAAGCAAAAAAAAGGAAAAGTTCTTACATTCTGTGACATAGCTTCAGCATTTGTTTAGACCTTTTGACGCTTAGATTTACGAGATATAGAAACTTGGTTTGAAAGCATAATCTCGATCACAATGAGTGCACCGTCAGAATTTCCCGCTGCTACTACAGCGCCAGTCACCGACTCACAGGCCAAAGCTCCAGCTTTGTCGTCTCCGTCAGTTGAGGATCAAAACTCTGCTGCGACTACATTGCAACCTTCGGCTCAGGTTCCGCCTTCAGATATTAGTGCGAACGATGAGAAAGATATTGAATTGAACCTCCCCTCTTCCGCTGCTGATGGCCTGATTCAGAAGCCATTCCCCCGCCCTCTTGATACAGCAAAACCAGCGGCTCCTGCTCGGCTTACCCCTGATCAGCAATCGAAATATGAGGCAGTCCTGAGGGCGGTTTCCGAATGGTCCACTGTTCCGACAACATCTGCAAAAAATGCTCCCGCAGCGCCAATCACAGACGATGAGCGCATGTTCTTGACCCGGGAATGTCTTCTGCGGTACTTGCGCGCTACGAAATGGAATGTCGCCGAAGCCATCACCCGGCTACAGCGCACTCTCACTTGGCGGCGCGAATATGGCCTGGAAAAGCTGACCCCGGACTACATCTCGATTGAGAACGAGACAGGAAAGCAGGTCATCCTCGGATACGACATTCATGCACGACCCTGTCTCTACCTCTTGCCATCCAACCAGAACACAGAGAAGAGTGACCGCCAGGTTGAGCACCTGGTCTTCATGCTGGAGCGCGTGATCGACCTTATGGGGCCGGACCAGGAAACTTTGGCCCTTATCGTGAATTTCAATGAGACCAAGTCTGGGCAGAACGCGAGTATCGGTCAAGCTAAGCAGACGCTCAACATTCTTCAAAACCACTATCCGGAGAGACTGGGGCGGGCATTGGTCATAAATGGTAAGTGATTCTGCTGGTTTGATGGTCTACTCAATTGTCTGACTGCCTTGGGATCGTAGTGCCGTTCGTCATCTGGGGCTTTTTCAAGCTGATCACTCCGTTTATCGATCCATTGACTCGGGAGAAATTGAAGTTCAACGAAGATCTTCGGCAGCATGTGCCTGCCGGTCACCTGATGAAATCCGTAGGTGGTGATGTGGAATTTCGATATGATCATTCCATTTACTGGCCGACTTTGAATCAGCTGGCCGGTAAGAGGAGGAACGAGTACCGACAGCGCTGGATTCAGGGAGGCAAACGTATCGGAGAGTTTGAGCATTATCTCAAGACCGGTACCAGCCCCAGTCTGTCACAGACCGAGGGTCCCAACGGGTCTGGCGAGAAGTCATGACCGGAGCTTGAGGCATCACCGGACTTCTTTGACTCGAACACAACCTCCTACGGCAATTACTTATGCGCCGTCCCTTCGTTGTTCTTCCTGTTTTTGTACATGTTGGTCAAGCGTCTAATAATTGCTTAGCGTGTTGCTGGAAGTATTTGTGCAACACTGGGCGTCTTTCTCTGCTGGAAAGTCGGCTGTATACTTGCTTGACCTTCAGCCTTGTCTATGATTAATGGCTTCTTCTTCCCCCCAACCCCCCGCCAACACACATTCTTTTTCACGCCTTGTTGATATTCTGAGGCTCGTCTATCTGCTTTCGGACTGATAGATGCTTATATCACATGCTCGTTAAGATATCATACTCTGGGAAGAGCGGCATGTATATAGATCTGCACCTATAAATTTGAGATACAATCGATGCTGTCATGCAATCATTGAGAGTCACGTGTCATGGCGGGGCAATCATTTGGATATGGGTGTGAGAAGCAACAATATTTAATGGGATTCTGGTCTAGAGTAGTATATTTTGAGTCCCCATACTAGGTCTGAATATATTTGTGCTTTTCAATGACCATTGAGACCACAGTGCTGTCTTAGTGTTGCTCGTTCAGAGGTATGGAGGATACCGTCATCCACGACTCCGCAGTCCAGATAATCCAGCACCGTTCTCCATCTCTGGGCAACTGTTAAATAGTAACAATCAAGTCTCCAGATGTCCTTCTATAGTCTAACCTACATTTAGCAAAAGGACCTGCCGATCCGGAAAGCCAACAGCATCCCCTTGTCTATCTAGTCCTATTCTGTCTTGTTTTATTCTCTTTCTCAGCTCATACCTTTTGTAGGTCCGTCTCCGGGAGGACGTGTATCGAGATCACTACAGCTCAACTTGCCTGTCAGGGCGCGAATATCACAAGTTTCTCACCGGACCAACTCCCATCTAGCTTTACAGTACTTCCATCTTGAGAACCCAACGCGGCAAGGGCGGCAATCCATTGTATCCCCGGTCAAGGACAAGCTAAGCTGCAGCAGAGAAAGAAGCAAACAAAATCCAGTGATCCTCATTTGCAACCGCAGCCATCCTAAGGCGTCCTAGTTGACCACAAACCCCATCCTCTTCATGCGGCTCTCCTTGCAATAGACCAAGGCAGTCCATCCCCTTCCCTTTATCCTAATTAATAATATTATTATTCTGATGATGATGGCGGATCCTGCTTCACAGTGGATGATGCAGCAGCCCCCCACGGGCAGAAACAGCTTGCCGCCCGAACCCACCACCGCAACCGCAACGGCCAACGACACTACGACTCCCACTGCCGCGCATGCTACCACCTCCGCCAACACTACCACCACCACTACTACCACCATTACTCTCTCGACGACTGATCGTAATCTCGTCCACGGTCACGAGGGCCCTTTCGTGCAGCCCTCATCCTACCTTCGGCCGCGAGGTTTATCACATCCAATGCCCCCAGCTCAGCCCGAGAGGGCAATTGATCGGGAAGAACGTGAGGGTCTAGTGAGTTTACCCCTCTATTTGCTTTTTTCTTGCTCTTCTTGGTCACCTTTTGTCGTTTGCAATTATTACTTTTTTTTTATATTGTAATGCCTTCCTTGCAAGTGCTCAAGTTATCCAAAATCATCCCACGTGCCCCATGTATCACTGGTTGGGTCTTTATATCTGGCGGGATCTTCGAGAATTAGAGCTCTTCATGCGGCACATTTTGTCATTGCATTCTCCGTCTGTCTCAAGCGATGACGATTTAAACGCAATTTGGCTAACGGTTCTCTTCCTTGGATATGGGGTAGTGTGCCATCCGTAACTTCCTCAAAGTCCGCACCAGTTACGATGTTCTTCCGCTCAGTTTCCGGCTCATCATATTCGATACTTCCCTCTCTGTCAAGGAGAGTTTGAATATCCTGATTCAAAATGGCATGTATACACTCTTCCTGCTTACGGGAGTGGTCCCTCGGAATGCCCCCGAAATACCCTCCGAAGGCCGCAACTATCCCAATATTTCTACGGTCCAGATTGGAACACAATAAGCTGACTACGTTGGGTGTGCGCGGTGTAACCTACAGGTATCGTATCAGCTCCGTTATGGGATTCGAAGACCTCGACCTTTGCAGGTCTTCTGACCACTTCCGACTACATCAACGTCATACAGTATTATTTTCAAAATCCCGCGGCACTGGACCAGATTGACCAATTCCGACTGGACAGTCTTCGAGGTGCGTGTCTCGTGTCTCGATACTTGTGAATTGACTCTGTGCAACATGAAACTGAACAATTGTCGCAGAGGTGGAAAAGGCTCTTGGTGTTGCTCCGCCAGAAACTATTTCGATCGACCCAGAACGGCCGCTTTACGAGGCCTGTCGGCGCATGCTCGAATCCCGCGCTCGCAGAATCCCTCTCGTTACAAATGATAGCCAAACGGACCGGCCTCATGTTCTCAGCGTGGTGACTCAGTATCGAATACTCAAGTTCGTGGCTGTCAATGTCGGTGACACACAAAAGTTAAAGAAGCCGCTTGGGGAAATTCTGTTGGGCACCTATGATAACATCGCCACGGCGTCAATGGATACACCAGTAATCGATGTCATCCACATACTCGTGGAGCGGAGTATATCTAGCGTGCCCATTCTGAACTCGGAAGGTATGCTCGAATTGTCTTCTCGCATGTCAACTCCAGTGTCGGGCTTACCAGGAACTCCCAGGTGTTGTCTACAATGTCTTTGAAGCAGTAGATGTTATCACACTGATCAAAGGAGGCGTATATGACGACCTCAGTCTCACGGTCGGCGAAGCTTTGAAGAAACGAAATGCGGTACGTTTTTCTTCATTCTACAGCCTTCCCCGATTCAATACTGACATCAATCTCAGGAATTTCCCGGTATTTACACCTGTTCTCTGAACGACGGTCTGGACACCATTTTCGATACAATTCGCAAATCTCGCGTGCACCGCCTGGTCGTGGTGGATGGAGACTTCCGACTCAAGGGTGTTCTCACTCTGAGTGATATCTTACAATATATTCTCCTTGAGGGCGAAAATGACGAATCATCATGATATCAAAGAGATTTTCTACGCACAAGCGGTCCCGGATATATCTAAAACTTGCATGGAAACGGCGTTGATATACTTCTACTTCGGATCGATTTTAAGGTTTGCAGCATCAGGTTTGGCTGGCGACAAGGGGCTACGCCGCATATTCATGTTCCCCCGTACGCCATTTCTTCTTTCCTACTGTTATTCTTGTCTTGTCCTTATTTGAGGATGCCATGATGTTCTGTGTAAAAAGCACGAAAGGTAATGGGATGGTGTCCTGGGCTCCATCTGCGCCGTATTCCAGTTTTGTCAACGATCTAGCAATGGCGCTTGGCTCGACAACAATAGATTTCATTTTGATGCTACGTCTCTATTTTCCAACAAGTCATGTTTTTCTCTTTCTCCTCTGTCATTCCTTTTGTCATGACTTTTCTTTTGGGATATACCTAACACTCAGTGAGGCAAATTGACCCCCAAGACATAAAGGAGACCTAGGCTGGAAGGTAATTGCCGTTGTTGTGGACACCTCCCTTTTCTTGAGATGAGTTCAAGGAAAGAAGGAGCGAAGGACAGCACATTGATCTCGCTGCCTGCCTTCTGTCCCCAATATCTCCCACAATTCAGGAAAGCGCACAGTGACCACGCCAATATGCTGACGGTCAGGGGGAGGGCAAGGATAATTTCTCGTCTACGTGAGATTAGACCACGCTTCATATGCTAGACGAACGTTTCTTTCTCAGTTGAGAATGGGACTCTTCAATACTTTCTTTAGAGCCTCAGAGCAAGGCAACGAGAAACCTTCAGAGGGCAGGCCATCATGGAACCCGATACGCCGCACACGATCGGGTGGTGTCACACAGGATGCTCACCGAACGAATCCGTCTTTAAAGCAAGCCTCGAATGAGCAATGTACAATCGAAACCGACACAACCAACAATGGCCACTGTTCCAAGGAGTATCATGTCAATGAGCCTGGGTCTAACGCCACATCAGGTGGGAGTCTCGAACAGGCACTTGCTTCTGGTGACTCCGACCCTTCCTCGAAATATCCATGTCTTAAAGCGGACTCGCAACAAGCATTCACAGTATCACAGCATTCAGTGCCAGGCTCGAAAGGACTTGCAGGGTTTATGACGTCCCTTCGCTCTCGCAAGCCTCGGCACCGGAAATCGCTGATGCGACTTGGGGGGTGGGCTCGACACAATGACTGTACCCTTCACGGCGCAAAATCGAATTCTGGATGCATTCACTCCAATGAGGACTCTGGTATAGACAAGAATGGAGATGAAGACCAGGAGTCCCGCAGAGTCAGTGACAAGACTCTCGAGTCTGTCAATTCTGACCTCACAACCGAGACTGTCTGTCGTCACCCTTCCCGAAACACATCCAACCCGATTCCCATTATCGAACGGGAATATGCATGCGAGAATCCTTTCGATGAAGTTGAGGAATCGCCTCAATTGAGAGCAGACTCCAACCCATTCACAGACCAATTCAAAGCCACCTCTCGATCCAGCAGGGACTCAAGCTCAAACTATAGTCTTACCGAATCTCAGAAGCCGCTGAACCTCCATGTCAACAAAAGGGCGAGAAAGCCTGTCATCTGCACCGACCTGGATATCATGGGAAGCTTGTCACGGGAGAGTTCTCTCCCCATATCGTGCTTGGATGAAGGCAATTGGTCAGACATTTTCGATCGGCGCAAAGCTGCCATGACGTATAATGATCTAGCTATCAAGCTGAATTTGAAACCTTTGCCCCTGAGCAATACTGAACGCCATGGGGACGGCGGTTGCGCTCATTCTCATCCCATTCCGGGTAGGTTGGGTGGCTCCCCATCGACGGCATTTCAGTGGACATGCTGACAAAATATTTTGCCCCGAATATCAGTCTCGAGGGCCTGCGACGTTGCGGGGGAGCTGCCTCGGCGGCGGGATAGGATTATTCGTCGGATCAGAACCGTGCGATCGACCTTCCATATTAAGACCCAGAGTATGCCACAGGAGCGAAAGTTGCGTCGAATGAAAACATTTGCCAACCTCTCTTACTGTTCTTACCGGATGGATTCACTTGCTGGAAAGACTTTGGAAACTCTAGCTCGCCTTGGGGGTCACAGCTTCTTGGCTTACCCCGGAGACTTTGCACCGACGGCGCTTAAATTACCCGTGTGCTTTGTGGCGACGGCGACCTATCTGAGATGTCGTGGTATGCATTCCCTGGATTTAGTTGATCAATCGGCCAGTCGGCCAGAGGTGAATCATCTGCTTACCAAAGCGAGCTGCAGGTCCACTGGTACGAGACATGTTCTTGGATCCGGGTGATTTGGGCGCAGCTGCACAGATATATGGTTATTTCGCCAGCCAGGTGCTATCTGCGGAGAGAGAGCAGGACAAGATTCAGATGACGATGAGAAGTGGCGAGATGCCGTCCGAATTGATGAGTATCCTGAGTTCAATCCAGTCACAGCGACATTCGACTCACATCCTCAGCGTCGGGTGGGTGTTCAAGTGCCTGCTCGCTGGGCTTCCTGGGGGCATCTTGGGATCCACATACCTGTACAACGCCCTGTTGGATATCTACAGCAAGACTCCTTCCTTGGAGGACAAGCTCAACAGCCCCGACCAAAGGCCCAAAAGGACGCGTAGCTGTCTCGGAGGACTGACCCAAGCGAGGTACACCAGGATCAAAGCGATTGGCCTTGCCATTCTAGCGTTGGCGAGTCCAATGCAACTGGAGCTGATGTGCGCTGTTTTCGGGCTATGTGCCTTTTACGTACATGAAACTAGACGATTGTTGGAGTATGAGCGGCACGGGTTCAAGACTGATGTTGGAAAACTTGGATTCGTCACGCGATCGCAGATATTGGAGGGGCTGGGCCAGATCTTCGGGCCCCTGCTGACGGATCAAGGGCCGGAAGAAGGTGCTTATGATCTGGAGACCCTGCGCATACTTGAGACGAATCGCACGTATGTGGCGATGATGCTGATTGCGAACTGGCGAGCGGTGAGTCGCCAATTGCGGGTCTGGGAAGATCAAGCCCACGTGCCGGAGCGACTTACAATATCTTGGTCGTCTGAGGGTTCAGGATAGCAGTGGATGGAGCAGGTGATTGATCCTCGATCAGTGCTTGGTTCACGGGCCGGCTGTGGGCACGGTACTCTGGGCTTTGTATCTAGAGTGATTTGTTGATAACTTGATGGTGCTTGACGTTTACTCAAGGCTGAGCCGCGGTGGAGCCCGACCAGACGATCATTCTGGAGATTCGATCAATGAGAAGGCGGACAGCCAAGGGCATCCTGGTCGAGATTCGTGTGCAATAGCTGAAATAGTTGATAGACAGTGTGAATGCGGGGAAGAAAAGACAAGCCCAAGCAGGACTTTTTATCATGATGACACAAGCGGCTTGCCTGCTCTTTACCCCTGGCGGAAGTACAAGGGTACGACAAGGAAACATCAGCATGTAGACTGCAGGACTGTCCATACCATTGGTGGGTGAGTGCCCTCTAGATCTTTTCTATTGGCAGGAATCCTACCATATATGGAGTGTTATAGTGGGTAGTTCAGTAGACCCTTTGAAGTTCGAACAGGTCTGAAGGCGGATCAAGCAGGATCAAGCAGGGATCAAGCGTTCGATATATCTACTGACCACTGTCTCATATCCCTAATCTGGGAGTTCCGACCGTACGTCCACAAGTATTCCTACTGCAGACAGGGGTCTGAGTTCTTTACTCTGTAGGTAAATCGTAGTGTATGTATGTATGTATGTTGTCTGTTTGAGTACGTGGAATGAGGACAAGAATATGTGTCTCTGGAATTTGCCAGTTGCCAGTTGCCGTTGCCAGTTGCCGTTGCCAGTTGCCAGCTTGACACGATGGCTGAGATCAGGTTTCTTGAAGTTGGAATTGGAATTGAGTTAGGTGGAAGATGAAACGGCTAGTGGGAGGGCCTTTGCCCCTTGGGCATTGGACGAGGACAAGCGATCCGAGGTGGAGCAGATGCCGATCGCTGAACGGTGAGTTGTCGGCTTTCTGAACCGGTTGTTGATACTGAGTCTACTGCCACTGCTCGAGTACCTTGCCTTTGCCTTTGCCTATCTAAGGTAGACGGGACCTTTTCCGGGAGGGGACCAGAATCCGGTCTCGAGTCTCGACAAAGTGATGATTATGATCCCTTGGATGCAGTGCAAACCTGATTCTCTGGATCTGGACTCGGATTCTGGACTCTGGACTTGCATGTCCTCTGTTCTCTGTTAGGTACTTTTGTGTACTCTACTCCGTACTTGTAGTTCCAAATCCAAATCCAAATGATCTACTCTGAGAACTCCGTACGCTGTAGATACCTAGTTGTTCAGTGGAGTGTTTGGGACAGGCTTGACCCGAGTGGAGCGGGATGCTGGAGGTGACGTGATCATGAACATCATACCTGGCCTGAGCCATGAATGTTCTGAACTGTAAGTTATCTATCTATTTCCTTTCTCACTCTGGATGATGGCTGATTCCATGGTTATGGAGGTTGACAGCAGGGATGCCGTGGTTGATGGTGTAGGTATATACCTTAGTGTTGAGCATCTGATGTGGTCTTAACTCTTATTGTTGAGCTGTCATATTCCTGAAATAAGCCACCGAGGGATGAAGATGCACGTGTGCTATGCAAGGGTGGAAGACTGGATGTACGGACTTTACTCAGGCCCCCATCAGGCATGCAGTGGTAGACGGTAGAACATTCTTTGGGAGGAAGCAGTAAGCACCAGTGGCGGATCAGATGGGCAAGATGCTGAGTCAGCCTGTCAGTGACGTCATTCTTTTCCAGCTCTGGTGGGGGCAGGACCTGTCCGGAACAAAACTCAGGCCAATCAGAGTGGAGTTCCGTGCTGCCCCTGCCTGTTTAGGAAAGTACCTACCTTATCCATACCGAAGTACCGTCGGACTGTGAAGTGTAAGCAAGGTACTTTGCTTTTCTTGGATCAGGGCATCATATTCATGGCTTGACCCCCGGCCAGCTAAGGTAGGGAAACAAGGAACCCCGTTGATTATTAGTTGCCTTATCCTGTGGCCTCTTCATCGATGAATGTTGCTCCCTCCGCTTATCTCCCAGCCAATGATGCTCCCTACCGGCATCTTCAACCTCATCAATCTCCGTCAATTCCATAGCTCTAGAGTTCATCGTTCTGGGTTCTGGATGGTCACAGGTTATAAGATCATCCTCCACCAACTGGACTGGTAGAGGTGGCCATCACATCGTCATGGAGGGTTCCCTCAATGGAAGTAGATAGACAACGCTATAGCATGTAGTGTAGTTCTTTCGATTTTCCTCATTGGGTTTATAAAAGAAGTTTCCATTGTACATACTTACTGTTCTACCGTACGTACCACATTACTACTCCCAATTAAAGAGACATAAACAGGGAACAAGAACAAGAACAAGATTAAAAGAAAAATATCAAACAGATTAAGTGCGCTGTTTGTCGTCCAGTAAATGATTGTCCTACTTCCACATCGACAGTGGCAGTTGCAATTGCAATCTCCATCTCAACCTCAACCTCAACCACTGTCCATCATCTGTACATGGAAGTGATTGATCTGTCTGTCTGGTTTCATCAAAACTTGTTGCTTCTTTCTCTCTTTTCATCATCCTCTTTTCCCTTGAACTGATCTCCTCCTCTTCTTCAGCCTTCTCTCTCTCTTGTCTAGCCCCCCCCACTTTGTTCTCCTTCCATGCTTTTCGCGCTCCCTGGTTGCAATAACTCGGATCTGACCACACCCCTCCATTTCCTCATCCTCATTCTCCTTCTCATTCTCCATTCTCCATTCTCTGGCCTTCGCTGCGGATTCTAGACTCATCTTCGTCAATTCCCTTTTCGTCTCCCCCTCATCAACCCGGTTATATTCTCCTGTCCCTTCTCATTCGCCTTTTCCTCGTTCCCTCCTTCTCTGGGATCGGATATCCACGTACGCCTCGTACCACAAACTACGGTACTCCCATTCTCTCCCCCTCTGCAGCTCCCTTGTCCCTTGCCTCTAAAAAGTCTCAAGCAAAACCTTCCCGCCGCCCCTCCCGCTCTGATTGTTTGGCCGGATCGAACTGTCACTTCGCGGCCCGCCACTTATACTCCCGCCTATCAAGCCCCCTGGCTTCCAAACACTACTGCTATAGATAATCTACTCTTGCTTCTTCTCTTTGTTTTCTTCTCTCTGTCTTGCTTCTTTGATACCATCTCGACAGCTTTCTCTCATCCATACCTAATTCAAATACCATTGTCTTTTTCCGCGTACTCTTCAGCTGAAACCACTTGTACAACGCATCGTGCAACCATCGCTCCCCATGTCGACTCTCAATATGTTGCCGGAGCAATCCGCCTTTGGCCGCTCTGATGCTGTCAATCCTGGCCCCTCTCCGTTTGCTCATCCGAATTCCTTCTCCGGTGACTTCCTTGGACTCTCTCTCCCTGAGGAAGAGCACCTCTGGGGTATGAGTCCAATCTCTTCCTCCATGCCCTCGTGGAACGGAAAGAACGATCAGATGTTCACCAATCCCAACCTAGAGCGCGACCTCAAGCATTCCCATGTCCGCAATGGCCAGCCTACTCCACCTCCATATGGTGACAACAAGTCTCACACGGTCGGTGATCTGTACTCGCTGTCTCAGTGCCAATTCACCAACGGAGCACAAACTTTCCAGACCCATGGCGATCGTAGAAGCTTCTGTGAGCAGTCGGCCGTGAACAGCCACGGCGGCAGCTCCAAACGTCGCAAGGTTCGCGATTCCAAGATGTCCCAGGCCGAGTACGACGAACAGCAGCAGGAGAAGGCGAAGCGGGAGAAGTTCCTGGAACGCAACCGATTGGCCGCCAGCAAATGCCGGCAGAAGAAGAAAGAGCATACACAGCTTCTCGAGTCGCGATACAGGGAGCAGTCCGACAAGAAGGAGCAACTGGTGTCTGAGATTGCCCGCCTGCGCTCGGAGATCCTGGGACTGAAGAACGAAGTCCTGAAGCACGCTCAATGCGGAGACGAGCCTATCAAGCTCCATCTGGCGCAGATGGTGAAGAAGATCACCTACAACGACACCGCGGCCCCGGAGTTGACCGACGTGGCGGATGCCGCATCGTCTTCGGAAGGACCAATGACCCCACGACCTCAGCAGGCACTGTCCTTTGGCTTTGATGACCCGCTGCATCTGGAACCATCCCGTTCCGGCGAGTCCCTGGACCAGTCCGTCCGTCGGGACTCGGAGGCTTCGGTCCTGACGGAGAACTCTTATGCCTTTTCGACCGACGACAGCTTCGACGATTTGATCAACGTTTGAGCTCTTTTATTGCTCGCTTTTGAACCCCCCTGATGTGATTATGACCTCGTGCTTTCCTTTGATGACTACTACTACTACTACTACTACTACTACTACTACTACTACTACTACTACTACTACTACTACTACTACTATTACTATGATCCATACTGGCGCCTGGTTGGGAAAAGTATGGAAATAAGGGTTTGCGTATTAGCCTGTTGCTATTTCACCTTATGGCGAAGGAATCTGATTGATTATTCGGAGTTGAATGGGGTTGCTCGGGCAGTATCATTCTTACAATGGTTTATGGACGGCTGTTTTTGCTTCGCTTTGCTTTTGCTTTTACTGCTGGCTTGCTCAATGGGAGGTCTCTGTGCGACTGGGTACCGGGAGTACCCATGAGGATAGTAATTCATGAATGATAGATGTACATTAGGCGAACAATCGATGGCTGGCTCAATGCTATTTCTTCATCTTGTGCTTTGGTTACAGCATCCAATGGTAATCCATGGGAGAGACTTGGCCGACTTTCTTCATCTAGTAGCAACCAGGAGTGTTTATGATTGAGTTATGGATAGATGATCGACTAGTGATTCACTAGGCAATATACGTATCAGGTTAAGACGAAGCACGCCCAGCCTCCACATGCAATATACTCCCATCCTTGCCGCCATCACCATCACCATCACTAGCAGCCTCACTACCAGAGTCACCCCCACAAGTCGACGGACGGCAATAGCCCGCCTCAAACAAGGCATTAATCTCCTCCAAGGTCCTCCCCCTCGTCTCAAGCACGAACGCCCACACAAACCCCACAATGAGCAGATCCAAGCACCCAAACAGGAGGAACGTGGCCCATTCGATGTTCGCCAGGAGGTACGGCGTGCTGCACGACCACACGAAGTTGAACGTCCACTGCGCGCCGACCCCGAAGGCCACGCCGGGCTCGCGGAGGCGCGTGGGGAAGAGCTCCGACGTGCAGGGCCAGGGGAGCGGGCCCCAGGAGAGATTGTAGGCGATGATGTCGAGGTAGACCAGGGCGATGGTTGCGATGGCGGCGGGGGTGAGCGTTCCCGGGCTGCTGTGGGGGTGCGAGTGGGCGACGACGGCGGCGGTGGCGAGCATGCAGGCGGACATGGCTGCTGCGCCGGCGAGGAGGAGCGGGCGGCGGCCGAAGCGTTCGGAGATGAAGATTAGGAAGATGAGGCAGGCGGATACTTTGATGGCGCCGAAGATGCCGGTTAGGAGGAGGGGGGTGTTGGTGTTGGTGGTGCTGTTGCTGTTGACGAGGAGGGAGAAGAACTGCGGGGCGAAGTAGGCGAGGGCGGTGGCGCCTGTGGACTGTTGGGAGAGGAAGAGGCCGAAGGCGAGGAGGAGGCGGTGCGCATTGGGCCGGGCGAGGAGCTCGCGGGGGTGGAAGCCGGCTGTTGCGAGGCGCTCTTGCTCGAGGCCGTGGCGCATCTGGGTGAATTCGGCGGAGAGGGCGGGGGAGTCGGAGGCGCGGATCCAGACGAGGCTGGAGTGGGCGCGGGCGTGGTCGCCCTTGGCGAGGTGCCAGCGGACGCTCTCGGGCAGGGTGCTGGTGCCGAGGCCCATGAGGGCGCCGGGGACCAGCTGCAGGGCGATGGGGATCTGCCATTGGGCGGGGGAGGCGGGCATGAACTTGACGGCGTAGTCAACCCAGTACGAGACGAGGATGCCGATGGTGTAGGTGAACTGGTAGCAGCTGCCGAGGCGGGCGCGCGTCTCCTTGGGGCTCATCTCGGCCATGTAGATGGGGATGACGGTTGCGGAGCCTCCGATCCCCAGGCCGCAGATCACCCGGCCGACGTAGAACAGGGCCAGCGAGTGCGAGTTGATCACCTCGAGGATGACCCCCGCGCAGAAGATGGCGGAGCATGCCATCATGGCGGGACGACGGCCCCAGCGATTCGTCACGGGCCAGACGGCGAAGCAACCTACCAGGGCGCCGGCCTGCTGGATGCCGACGGCGATGGAGCTGACGCGGGTCTTGTCTGCTGCGCTGTATCGAAAGTCGTGCTCAAAGGACTCGAAGGTGAGCACCCCTCCTGTAGGTTCATCAGCCTCGCATCTGACAAAGCTGGGTCAACTTAGGCCTAACCAATAACCCCCGAGTCATACCCAAACAACGCACCACCGCAGCAAAGCACAGCTGCCAGCCAGTACAGCCTCAACCTGGCAAGACGAAAAGCCATCTGCTCGGTGGAGTGAGGAGGGACGAGATCAAGATCGCCAGGATCCTGTTGAGGGAGCTGCATGTACGACCTCATTTTGAGCAAGTGTCAACAAGAACATCCCGTCCTGCATTAAATAAGGTGGATAGCTATACTGGGTTCTCCGCATGAACGCGGGGAACGGATCAACGTGGTGACGCGCGATCAGATAGATCAGAGGATCACTTATTGAAGAATCGAGCAAGGTAACGATGGCATTATGAAAGTGTTGTTGACGCTGAAACTGATGAATCGAACAGAACGAGATTATGTCAGGGCAGGATGACGCATGGGTTAGCCGACTGCCGACTGCGCAACAGAGTGGAGAGATCACGCCATGATGGACTGTCGGAGAGACAGAAACAAGAGAATACCGAGAAGAGCACAGGATATCAGACAGAAGAACGATGCCATATCGCAGCTGCGAGGACGTTGTGTGGAGAATCCAAGGCGTCGCTGATTGCCGAATCCGGACACCCCACAGTTACCTCGTTGATAGGGATAAACCTCCACTCAAAGCTCTGTCCCATGGAGTTTGATGATTGACTATGATTCTGTCAAATGAGCCAATGATGCTCACCATTGTGCAGCCAAATGTTCAGGCACAGTTCCAGGAGGGCTACACAGCCGACAGCCGATGGCCGATGGTCGTCAGTTGGGATGATCTTCAAATAGTCCTACTGGACTGTTCTGGATTATGATTATCAAGATAGATTGTCAAGCCCAATCAAATGCACAACTCGATTGGTCTGCAAGATACAACGACGACAACAATCACTGGTGGCTGAGTGGGATACATAATGGCGGCGCTGCTCTCCCCTCATCTTCCCCTCATCTTTCCCTCCCCTAACCTCTTCTCTCAGATCACCCTGCCTCATATTCGTCGACGGTAGTACATCTGATTCTTCGACGCCATCTCCTGTTGCTCTATCATGGATAAACGTCCCAATTTCCTGATCATCGTCGCCGATGACTTGGGCTTCTCCGATGTAGGCTGCTTCGGAGGAGAAATCCACACGCCCAACATCGATCGTCTAGCTCTAAACGGAGGCGTACGTTTCACAGACTTTCACGCTGCGGCTGCTTGTTCGTAAGTGCCTTTTCCCTGGATCTAAAAAGCCCTCTTGGGCCAGAACTAATCGCGACAGTCCCACCCGCGCCATGATCATGACCGGGACAGACCACCACATCGCAGGTCTCGGCAACCTGATCGAATGGACCAACATCTCCGGACAGAACGGACCCAAAGGCTCACAGATGAGCACGGCGCCCCAGCGTGGCATGCCCGGTTATGAGGGATACTTGAACGAGCGCGTCGTCGCGCTCCCCGAGTTGCTGCGGGATGCGGGCTACCACACCCTCATGTCTGGGAAATGGCATCTGGGCCTCACTCCCGAGCGATCGCCGCACAAACGAGGCTTTGAGCGCTCCTTTGCCCATCTGCCTGCTTGCTCGAACCACTACGCCTACGAGCCCCAGCTCCAGGGGTCCGATGAGACGCCCGCATTCCTCGAAGCGAGCTACATCGCCCTCCACATGGAAGATGATCACTATGTGAAGCAGTTGCCGGAGGGGTGGTATTCGTCCGACGGATACGGCGATAAGATGCTTCAGTATCTCTCCGACTGGCATGAGAGAAAGGACGAGCGCCCCTTCTTCGCCTACCTGCCCTTCACGGCACCGCATTGGCCTCTCCAGGCGCCCCGCGAGTACATCGACCATTACCGCAGCGTCTACGACGACGGACCGGATGCGCTGCGCCTCAAGCGACTGCAGCGGCTCAAGGAGCTGGGGATGATCCGTCCGGACGTTGAGCCGCACCCCGTCGTCGCGGAGGAGGTCAAAGAATGGGCCGACTACACCCCGGAGGAGAAGAAGAAGTCCTGCACCGCCATGGAGGTCTACGCGGGCATGGTGGAGTGCATCGATGCCAACGTCGGCAAGGTCGTCGACTACCTGGCCTCCATCGGCGAGCTGGACAACACCTTTGTCTGCTTCATGTCCGACAACGGCGCCGAGGGCGCCGCCTACGAGGCCTACCCCATGGTCCAGAGCGGCGTCATGCCGCATCTCCAGAAATACTACGACAATAGCCTCGAGAATTTAGGCAAGGCCAACTCGTTCATCTGGTACGGGCCGCGCTGGGCGCAGGCCGCCACCGCCCCGTCCCGTCTGTACAAAGCCTACACCACTGAAGGCGGCGTCCGCGTCCCCTTCCTGGCCAGGTTCCCCAACAACGTCTCCGCGGCGCGGAGTGGAATTACCGACCAATTTGCAACAGTCATGGATCTCGCACCGTCTATCCTCGACATGGCGGGAGTCAAGCATCCGGCTCCCACGTACCAAGGCCGTGAAGTGGTCCCCATGCGCGGCAAGAGCTTCTACCCGTGGGCACGGGGTGAGTCGCAGCGGATTCACGAGAAGGAATTCATCCAAGGATGGGAGACCTGCGGCCGTGCGGCGCTTCGGTTCGGTGACTGGAAGATCGTATATATTCCCAAACCGAAAGGTCCCGAGCGATGGCAGCTGTACAATCTGGCCGACGATCCGGGCGAGGTGCACGACCTGGCGGATATCCATCCCGAGCGGTTGAAGCAGTTGCTGAGACTGTGGGATCAGTACGTGATCGAGACGGGTGTGATTCCTCTGAATCCGGATCTGGGTGACTTCATCGAGGCGACCGAGGCGCAGATGCCGGAGAATGCCTGGATGGAGTATGATTACTGGAAGAAGGGGGCTCGCGATGAGCCTGAAAAGTTCATGCGGAAGCCACAGCGGCTCCAGAGAGTGGTCAAGCAGTTTTAGTTTTGTGTTGCATGATATTTTTTACCATGCGCTCAATATGAACGCTCGTTTGCAGCGATGTCCATGTAGTTTGTACGTAAGTAGTAGACCCGCTAGCTGTCAAACATACCTTTAAAGATTCTTCTTGAGCGCATATCCATATCCGGACAGATATTTCACCAGACAAGCTATATCAGAACATAAAAATCAGTAAAGAGCTCGCGCCTCACGCATCGCGAATCTGCCCAGGTTCGGGACGCATCTTGTCTCCGCGTCATCTCCTCCAAAAGGAACAGTACTTTGCTCGCGTTGGGATGCCGCTGCGTCACCTCGCTGTCACAGGCCGCCATGCGCTGCATCTCCTGCACGATCCACCGCCGCTGAGTTAACGTGCCCTCCAGGCCGGCTATAAAAAGCGGCCAGAAGAAGCTGACGGGCAGGTGTCGCTGCGTACTTGCCGACTCAGCCGTCGCCAGCTGGATGATTTGATCCACAGCTCGGTTGACTCGGTCAGTCCGCGGATAAATAGCGAATGCTACCCGGTGCAGATAGATGAAAATCGCCAGAAAGTTGGCCACATACTGTCGGAATGTGCGGCATACCTCGTCCGCCACCGACCGACTTAAGGAGTCAAGCAGCTCTTCAGGTCGGTCATAGACGTCCAGCACTGGTGGGCGGCAGTTCCATAGTGTCTCCAGGTCAGCGCCCACTCTGTGGGCAATCTGCAGAACCTCAAATTCATCACCCAGCGTCCCGCGACTGCGATGATGGAGGTCAATGCACACGATCCGCCGGATAATTTGCTGAGCTTGAACGAAGAACCGAAACGCGGGCCCCACAATGGCATCGTAGACAAGATAGCCTGGTTTCGACAGAAGGTAATCTTCTGTGACTTTCTTGTCTACCGGACGATCTTCCATAATCCCGCTGCTGATGGACGATTGTCCGGAGACGGCGCCGCTCGATTCGTTTTGCGCGGTCGAGAGCTCGGCCAGGCTGCCAAGTTCAATCAGAGGATCACCGTCTCGGCCAGCAATCAGCGATTTCACATCCAGAAGAGAGACCCACGAGACCACCAGGCGCCCAAAGCCAGTCCATGACTGGATCTGGTCGTGAAAACGCTGCAGCAATAGGTATGCTGAGTGGAGAAAGGATGTACTGTGGCGGCCCAGGTCTGGGGATGATAGCGACTGTACTGCGTTTAGTCGAATTCATTGACCGTAAAATTGGACATGCGTTACATACTTCAGATAACATGAGCAGAAAGACTGTGGTAAAGACCTTCCCCAACGTTGGCTCATCCACGTGCCCAAATATGTATGACTGCCCTTCCAAACTTGCCTGCTGGTGGTACGTCGATGCCGAATTATGCTGATTCCCTTCCTTGATTGCCTTATGCACCTCTGCGAAACAGTAGATGCTATTCCGCAAAGGACGAAAGTCGCGCGATTGCGCTGCGATTATCTCACGTACATATTTCCACTCGAGGTTCACGGGTCCGAATATCGTCGGGGGCGGCTCAGAGTGGAGGAAATATGCCAGCAGATGCTCTTCGTACGCGGCTCCAGTCTCCGGCCACATACCATCCGTAGCGGGGGACTGTGATTGCGTCCGCTTTGAATAAACACTTGAGTCCCAGCTCATCGATCGATCAGTATGCGGTACATTTGTAGTGTCGTCCGACGCCTTGGAAGACGTCGCATTGGGGAATTCGGATAAGCCGTTTGTCAGATCGAGGTGTTTGCGCTCCAACTCGGACGTGATCTCGCTCATGAAACCAAGCATATCAAACGGTCCGGAGGACGTCGCCCCATTATCCACTGGTGGTAATTGTGAAGCGTCAGCTACATGCTGCGGTCGATAGGTCTGCTGCCCATCAGGTCGCAGCACTGTACTGAAATAGCTCGCATCCGGTCTCTGGAAGGTGTTTGCGGTTGGATTTCCCTTCACAGCGGCTGTGTGACCATTAGCCGGTCGCGGGACGGCTGCAGGCACAATCGTTCTGTAAACACAACCCAGCCGAAGTCGGGTACAGTTGGCACAGATCGGTTTCGCTTCATCACACCGAACCTTTCGCGCTCGACATGTCAGGCATCCGGATCGTCTTCGAGGACCCGACCTGCCTAATCCTCGTGCTCTGGGAGGAGCCTGGATGCAGTCAGAAGAGCTGATAACTCCACAAGCAAAAAATGGTCGCTAGAAATATGAAAGACGGTTAGACAGGTGTTTTACCTCCATAATAAGTCGGCTGCCCCTGATCAACAGGCATGGTG